TTACTTTACTTTACTTTACTTTACTTTACTTTACTTTACTTTACTTTACTTTACTTTACTTTACTTTACTTTACTTTACTTTACTTTACTTTACTCTCCCCTACCTTACTTAAGCTTAGTAGCTAGCCGCGTGTCGAACTATTAGTGTCCGTCCTTAGGACGCCCTATCTTTAAGCCGCGCTTTAGCCCGCCCTATGTCTAGCTAGACTAGAATCTAGATATATATACGACTAGTAGAGCCTCACCGTGCTGGGAGACGCTGCTATTACCGTCGCCTAACCACCCGTACTCCCCGGCTAGAGTTTAGACTAACGAGCGCTCTAGTCCGCTTCCCGTCCCCGTGGCTTGCGGGGAGGGTGGCAGCTCGTAGCCGACAGCTCCTCACGCTCTGGAGTCTAGACAGACGTCCCCCGTTGGCGCCCAACCGAAGACGCTAAGTTAGCGGGACAGATCTTGCAATGGCCGCTGGCGATCACCAGCACCCAAGAAGCGCGAACGTCTTGCCTGATGCGACATCACGCGACTCATGTCAACCAAAAAAGGGGGGGCGGCAAGGAGTAAGACTGTACGAAGCTGTAATTAACAAGTAGGATGAGGAGGTAAAATAAGTCCATATGCGCATTACAAGCTTTGTCTAGATTTCCAAATCTCGATCCTCGAGTCTATCCGTATTATCCCAAAAGAAACGCCGTGCCACCCAAATATCCTTGCATATGCAAAATTTACCAAAAGAAATATCCAGCCACCTTCATCTTCATCATCACCAGCCTTGCCCAGGACGAAGCCTGCTCGTGCGCCTGCCCGCCCTGAAATAGTCGTACGCAGCTGGGTCCTCGTTGGCGGGACTCGCCTCGGGATACTCTGTCTGCGCCAGATTGCTGTACCCGTGCGGTCCACCGCCGAGGGCGCCCATCGAGGGTCCAGGACTGTGGCTTCTCGACGCTGGCGTCACCAGCCCGCTCCTGTCTAGGGACTCGTCGCGACGGTGGGCTGGGGCCATGGGCGGCGCCTGCGCGTTGTACACTAGGCCAGATGACGACCCATTGTCCTGCGAGTACATTGTGTTCTGCGCGCCCATGACGCTCGTCTCTGGCAGCGTAGGTGGCGGCGTGAAGCCTCGCCCATTGGCACCGGGACGGTACGACTGATAGGCTGTGTCCGAGAAGCCAGTGTTCGTCCTGCTGGGCCCGAACGGCGACGACCGACCAGACTCGGAACCCGGCGTGGTCGGTCGCCCGTACATTTCGCCGCCGCCGTGGTCCTCTGCGAATTCGGCGCGGTTCTTGTAGTACTCAAAGTCCATCTGGTTCTCCGACACGAACTCGAAACCAGCCATGCCTGCCGATTTGCCCGGCTTGCCACCCTGCATCTTGTTCAGGGCGTACATGTCCGAGTATCCACTGACGCTCGCAAGATCGTCCGCACCGCCCTCGCGACCGTCGGTCAGGCGACCGCTATAGACAGAGGGAAGCAGATTCTGCGCCTTCTGGTGCACCATGGGCGTGATGAGCTTCTTGTACAGGGCTGGGTGGCCAAAGCGACTGGCCAGACGCTCGCTGCGTTGGCGGTCTTCCTTCTGCAAGCCGGCCTCGGGGTTCTTGGCCACGTTGCGCGTCGAGTAGTAGTGCATCCGCGCATCGAACACGTTCTTGCAGTAGAATTTGAAGCCAAACATGAGGATCGGCAGGGGGCACACGGAGTAAAACTGGTACATCTGGCCGTCACCGCGGTTCCAGAGAATCAGCAGGACGACCAGGTTCGACAGCATGACGGCGAAGATGAAACGGTTGAACAGCACGCGCCAGAACACACCGCCCGATTCGGTCTTGGTAACGAAGCGGTACAAGATGAGGTACTTCTTCAGGTAGTAGTCGATCGCAAAGTACAGCGCTGTCGCCGGCAGGACCAGCGGCTGGATACCCGCGTAGCAGAGCGTGACGGTCGCGTAGAACAGGAAATAGTTGTAGTAACTGGCGTACTCGAACGGTGGCGGTGCCGTCCACTCAATCAGCTCGCGAGGCGTCGGGTTTGAAAACTTCCTCTGGAAAAAGGCATAGATCAGGGGCCAGAGTTGCGCCAGATCCACAGCGGCACCGAGCTGGCGCTGCAGCAGGTACGTCACCCAGAAGGGACTATTGTTGCACAGAGACAAAAATATACCGTCCATGATGTTCTGTTTCTTGATCGCCTCCCAGGCATCCGTCTTGCTCTTGGTCGTGCTGTCCACCACGCCGGCGACAAACGTCCAGATCACACTAAAGAGCGTGAACACAATCAAGTTGTTGAAGACAAAGAATGAAAAGAGCTTGGCCAGCACATGCCTCTCGCGTCCGGTCTTGGTCTTGTCGCCCGCCTTGATGGCCAGCTTGCGGAAGATCATGGGCAGAACAAGATAAACGAGTGACATGATAGCAGGAGAGGCAATACCCTGCACAATACCCCACACGGCTGTATTGCTTTCCAACGATCTTTGAAAGTCGTCCCAGAAGTTGCCCAGGTTACCCAAGTTGACCAAGAAGATCGCAATCATGGCATTGGGTGCGATCCAGAAAAAGGTCAGGAGTGTAACCCAAAGCGCGTTGATCCAGCTCTTCCTACTCCTGGCGGCCTTGGTGAGTGGCATATTGGCCCAGATGATGTCGTTGGGACGCGGGGCCAAGCGAACGGTCGCGCCATGCGGCTTCTTTTTGCGGCAGGCATAGGCAATGTTGTGCGCCTCGACAATGTCGGTGTAACTGGCAAAACCGTACGCAATGGAGCCACGCTTGTCCACGCTGGCGCGGACCTCCTTGATCTCCACCTCGAGCGCGCGAATGCGCTGGGTATAATACTCGATGGCATCGATGCGCTGCTTGGGTGGGTAAGAGCCGTAGGAGCGGTCCTTCTTGGACGGTCTGCATGTCGGTCGTCCAGGGGGCAGCTGGTTCGGGTCCTTGAGGTACTTGGCGAGGATCTTCTCGAGCTTGCGCACGGCATTGTCGTGCTGATTGATTAGATCGGGCAAATACTTCACGTTTCGGGCCACAGCTGTTCGCGCAAAGGATGAGTTGGGCACAATCTCGTCAATCATACGGGCGATGCCTTCGTCCGACCGTCCTTGTTTCGGAATGTCGAACAGCATGAGCGTGCGGGCGTGCAAGCTGCTCTGATACTCCTCGCTCTCGAAATAGGTCCTGCGCAGCTGGGTGATCTTGCGATAGTTCCACCACAGATAGACGGCGATGATGATGTTGAACAGGTACGCCACAATGACTTGCGCCCAGTTGGCGTCGCCCCAGACATACTCGGGCGTGATTTTGCTGAACCACTGAGTGTCGGGCGTGGTGATGGACTCTTCATAGTGCGTCATGTTGACAGGCACGAGAATGCAGATAGCCACGAGCGCGAGCGTGAGGAACATGTTGCGACACATGCGGACGAAGCGCAGAAAGACGGTGGCGTCCATGCCAATCAGGGTCACCAAATTCTGCTCGCTCGTCTTCCACAATGGGGTGAACCACGCCCAGGGCGACTTGCCCAGGGGCGGCGGGGCGTGCTTGTCGTCGGCATGTTTGAGCTTCGGGGCGTACAAGGCCTGGTGATAGGGTCGGAGGAGGGAGAAGAAGATGGTCGATGCTGCTGTGAAGCCAAGCGAGATGGCAAACGCGGAGTATATGGACGCTCCTTGCAGCTGGTCTTGTTAGCGGAGGCAGGGCTACATCGATATATGGTCCAACCCACCTGATTAGCAAAGGGATTCTTGAGGAGCTTGAGAAGCTCCTGGCCAGCATCTTTATCGGCGCCTCCGCCAGCGTTCTGTCGCGCAGCTAGCCATGAAGGCTCTGCCCCTTGGTCCATGATGAAGCGGCGCCCCAGCTGTTCTTGTTGGCAATCCAGGACATGTACCAGTCAGGTCTCCGTTCGGGTCTTTCGCAATGAGGCCTTCCGTCGTCAAGTGCTGGAAAGGTCGGTTTGTCACGGCACTTGCTGGAAATTCAAAGGACAAGGGGCCGCTGTCGGAGTCCGGAGCTTGCCCAATGCCGTCCGAGGAAGAAAGGAATACGTATTGGAAAGCGAGAGACAGTAGGAAACGAAAGAAAATATTAAACTCCCAAGACAGCCGGCGATACGGATGACAATGAGGGCAGGGTACTGAGGATGATGCAAAGGACGAGAAGAATGAAAGAGTGTTCGGAGAAAGAAAGGACGATCACAGTCCTGCACGCGCACAGGCCAGTCACCAGGCCGGGCCTTGTCACTTGAAGACTGACAGGATCCAGTCGGGTGGAGGAGGGATTCCCAAGTCCCAATGTGGTGGTGATGCTGGTCCGCGGGTTTGTGGGTTATGCACGAGGTGCACAAATTCTTGGTGGTGGGGAGCGTGCCCCATTGGCCACCGGCGGGGCTGTGCTATTTCTGTGCGGCACTTAGGGGCTTGTCCCGCTGTGCTTCAACGCTATCCCCCGCTGGATACAGTAGCCGCTGTGGATGAACCAGGTAGGGTACCTTAGTTCAGCCTGTCAATACGAGGATGTCATGCCTCTCCTGCATGAATGCTGGACCGGAATCCGTCGCGTTTGTCCTCTTGCCGAACTGAAGTGTTGTTTGTTGTCTTGGACTGAGCTATCCCGGGTCCAGGTTGTTGACGAAAACTGAAACTCGCCGCTAGCAGAGGGGCAACGTGTGCTAACATTCAGGCACCAGGGGCCGCTATCGTCCTCCGCTGGACGAATGAGGTCCGGTGAAGTAGTGGTTACGCGGCACTACCCTGATCCGAAACAAAAGCTTCAACTTAAACCCCTGCGCTTTTTACAGTTCCTGTGTCCGTACCTACGTACAGTTCAGTACGTTGAGGGCAACGCGCACCGATGCCGCCATCCGTGGAGCGGGCGAGACCATCAGATCGACTGGCTTTTGTCTGACTGTGGTGTGGGTAAATGTAAAGGTTGCCAGTTGGAAAAGTCTGCGTTTGCCACGCAGCTGCAGGGAAACAGAACAGAAAAAGGCAGTGCTGGAATGCGTGTCCTGCACAAGTCTGATAGATTCATGCATGCTGATTGATGCTTTGCATCTGCATCGATCAGCTCAATTAAGCCGATGGAGACGAACTGACGGTCCAGATCATTCGGCTCGGCTGCGCGAGGCTTTGGCCAGAATAAGCTACTACTTCAATAACCAATCCCGGAAGCTTGCCCTGGTTCCCCTGATCGTGATGTTTTTATTATTCTCTCGAGTCTCGATATCCTACTAGGTAAGTAGTTTAGGAGCCACTGCTCACGCTGCAAACCGCGGCCAAAGTTCTTGCCAAGCGTTGACCTCGAACTATTTCAGGGTCCGCCGATCTTCTCCAACGCGCTTCGTATTCCAGCACCCATTGACGTCAAGTCACTCGGTCCTCGTCCTCTTCCGGCTCGCTTCTCATCCTTCTCATTGCCGATACTATAGTCTACGTAGTATAGGCCTACAAGTGATAGCCCTATTGGATTGAGCTGCTCAGCCTCATTCCCTCCTGAATCTTGCATCGGTGCGTGCTTGCACGAGTTCGTCAGGTACACGCCGCTGATGGTTGGCCAATTGCTGCACCGCCTCACTGTCCAGGGCGGCTGACGTCAATGGAAGAGTACCACGGCTCATCATGCGGATCAAGTCTTTGGCATAACCAGAAAGGTTTGTGAAGAGCCTAAAAGCACGGATTAAGAGCGGCGCCATAGACATATGGCGCTGGTGAACTCGTTATTGCTCCTTTCCGATGCCAAGAGCGTGTGCTCACTGTTAGCTTCGGCTCATCACGAGTAAAGACAGCAACACCCAGCAATCAACGCCAAACTCCCATTGAACGCCTTTCCCTACATATCCAAGTAGTTTTACTCAAGGTAACCTAGATTGAACTATCATTAAGGCACCACCAGCTCTTAGACATTCTCTCCGACAGGTGCGCCTTGGCTCCTGGTCTTTCGCTCCGTCCTGCCCACCGCTGGCGGCGCCTTCTTATCCTTCTTCGGCCGTCCGGCCTTCTTTGTTTCGCCCTCGCCGCCCGTGACTTTGTCCTTCACTTCGTGGATTTTATCTGCAATTTTCTCAGTCATTTTGGGCTTCTTCTCTGGGCGCTCAGCGTCTTCTTCCGCCTTAGCATTCCCGTTGGTCGAGGCCGTCGTAGCCGCAGGAGCGTCAGCAGGCGCAGCCTCCGTCTCAGTGGCTAGCTTCCTCTTCTCACCCGTCATAGAGGCCTGGTCGGGCCCGGCTAGATCTTCCTCCGGCTCTTTTGGTGCGCTCGTCGGCTGGTTATTGCCAGGACCGAGAATCGCGTTGGGCTCTGGGGTCTTCTCCTTGGGCGTAGCGCCGCCAACATTCAGCTCAGGGCGAGGGGTTCCGCCAGCGGGCGTGCCTTGGTTCACGGGCGTCTCGGGAACAGAAGTGACTTCGACAGGTTTTGGTGCGCCGACGGCAGGGCCGGCGCCGTCGGGGATGTTAGTGCTTCCCGCGCTGTTGTTGATGACTGCCGAGCTGTCTGTCTTGCTGGCAGCTTCGGAAGTTTGGTTCGCACCCGGGAGATTGTTGATACCTTCAGTCTTGTTGTTCACAATGGTAGATGCGAGGCTGGTGTCTGTTGGGTTGGCGTCAAGCGCGGGGGGCGCAGGTGCCTCTGCGGCGGCTGGACCACTGTCAACAAGATACCCTCGATGTCATTATGCTCGCGCATGCGTCTTCACATATGCGATGACGTGAAAAGAGATTTGGGGACGTTGTCGCTTACCATTGCCAACTGTAGGTGCGGTGGTAGACATGGTGTTCTGAGTATGACGTAAGAACCAGAACAGCTTTGGGAGGCTCGGACAGCTCGAATGATAGATTTGAGGCAGCACACGGCAGTATGATGTGGATGGAGAAGTTCTGAGGATCAACAAGTATTCAATTGAGTGAGATTAATGATTGTCAAACTGGAAAGGATGGGTGAGAGGGAGGAGGAGGCTGGCTCTGAGCTCACCCAAGCTCAAAGTAGGGTTCCACAAACCCGCTACTACAGTACCGCCATAGCTAGGACTGGAGTGTGGACGCTGTCTGATACCAGACGCTTGCCGGTTGCGGCACTTAGCGAGTGCGCCCTAACAGGCGGCAACATCAGGCTTTGTCGCCTAATTCCAGGTTTGACTGTCGCGCAATGGCGTTGTCGAGGAGGATGGAGGGGGCGGCGGGTCTGGGCCAGATCGGGGTCGTGATGGGGTAGACGATGATTCCGCACTGTGCGTTCTGTGTGTTCAGCGTGCAAGAACAGTGCGCAACAGAGCCCGTCTCCGGCGATCTCTTTAGCGGGGAAGCCATATGGGTCGCCATTGGCACACACACTCCCGGACACAGGGTAAGCAGCTCATCGTGATTCACAGGTCGATCAATTCGAGCTCAATTTCTCGTAAATGTCTGAGAGTTGATCAGTCTACTCATGTTGAAGAACTTAGGGTATTAAAGAACCCCCTAGCAATATGTGTTCCTATTCCTGGTCATCGACCACTGTGCTGTGCCCAAAGTTAGATCAAATGCCAAGATTCAGGGGCGCTTAGTCATCTGTCCGCCTGTCAAAGTGAGCTGCGGGCCAGGGGATATTGACTTCAACGCCCGAGGCGCGATCTGGCTTCGATCGAGAACCAACGCGCCGAGCAGCCAACTTTCCACGTTCATTCGCAGCGACCTATTTACTCTTCCATTCCCAATACCCGCAACCGATTGACTGGCCATCATGGCACCCACGAAGAAGAATGGCGGCGGCAACAAGTACTCGGTCATCCTGCCCACATACAACGAGCGCCGCAACCTGCCCATCATGGCATGGCTGCTGAACCGCACCTTCACAGAGGCGTAAGGCCCCATTCGAAGCTGCAACAGGAGTACCTCTCTGACAATCCTTAGCAAGCTCGACTGGGAACTCATCATTGTCGACGATGGCTCGCCCGACGGTACCCAAGAAGTCGCCAACCAGCTCGTGAAAGCCTACTCACCACACATCGTCCTTAAGCCCCGCGCAGGCAAGCTCGGTCTCGGCACCGCCTACGTCCACGGCCTGCAGTTTGCCACTGGCAACTTTGTCATCATCATGGACGCCGACTTTAGCCACCACCCCAAGTTCATCCCGCAGATGGTCGCCCGCCAAAAGGCCGGCGACTTTGACATTGTCACCGGCACGCGATACGCCGGCGACGGCGGCGTCTACGGCTGGGACCTCAAGAGGAAGTTTGTCTCGCGGGGCGCGAACCTGTTCGCCGACACGGTGCTGCGGCCGGGTGTGAGCGACGTCACGGGCAGCTTCCGGCTGTACAAGAAGGCTGTGCTGCAAAAGGTCATTATGAGCACGGAGAGCAAGGGCTACACATTCCAGATGGAGATGATTGTGCGCGCCAAGGCCATGGGGTGCACCGTGTCCGAGGTGCCCATCTCATTTGTGGACAGGTTGTACGGAGAGAGCAAGCTGGGAGGCGACGAGATTGTCGAGTACGCCAAGGGTGTGCTGAACCTCTGGCTCAAGGTATGAGAGCAGCGACAGGGGCACGGGTTCATGAAGTAAGAAGGCATTGGCGGGGATACTAATAATCAAACACACAAACTATCCAACTGGTCCCACCTGATCTATCTACATGTTCCTCCCACCCGTCACCATGATTGTCTGTCCCGTCACATACGAGAACAGTGGGCTAGCCACGGCGAGGATACTGCTCGCCGCCTCTGTTGCGGTGCCAGGCCTCCTAAGCGGAATGTCGGCATTGGCAGCAGCAGCACTGTCCGGCGTAGTGTTTTTCTGCGGTATCCCCAGGGCGATCTTTTCACCATCGGGCCTCTTGACGAACGCGCCGTTCTCCTTGGCGGCCGTCAAGCGGGTGAGGATGTGGCCGAACGCAACCGTGTTCGCCCTGACGCCGAACTGAGGGCCCCATTCCTTGGCGATTGTCTTTGTGAAGCCTGTGACGCCAGCCTTGGCGAGGGCGTAGTTGAGCTGGCCCGCGTTGCCGTGGACGCCACTGGTGCTCGAGATGTTGACGATGCATCGCGGCGCACCGTCTTTGACGCGGAAGTAGGGCGCCGAAGCGCGGACAAGGTTGAAGGGGGCGGTGCAGTGCAGCGCGATGATGTTGTCCCACTGCTTGTCGGTCATCTTGTGGATGACGCCATCCCAGGTGTAGCCCGCATTGTTGACGAGGATGTTGATCTTGCCGTCGCCGAACTCGGCGGCCTTCTTGACGAGGGTGGCAATGTACTCGCTGTTCAGAATGTCGCCTGGCACAGCGATAGCCTGGCCGCCCTCCTTCTTGATGCTGTCCACGACATCTTGTGATTTTTCTTTGCGTGTCTGTCAGAATCATGTCACGGAATTCCAGGTTTAGCAAGTACATACGAGCGTCAATGTCTGCAACGACCACTTTGGCGCCCTCCTTTGCAAAGAGGCGGGCCGCTTCTGCGCCAATGCCTTGTCCGCTGCCGGTGATGATGGCGACTTGGCCGGCAAGAAGACCCTTGGGATAGTTGAGGTGGCCAGCGAGCTGGCTGACGCGGTCTGTCATGATGGCACCGTCACTCAATTGACTACAAATTGACTCAAAAGGGTTTTTTAGCGGGAGGTCGTTCAGGCTGACTGCTGTTTTGGAAACGAGGAACCCCAGACTTTATGAATGTCGGAGAAGGATAGAAGGGGACCGGAATTTGGGGAATCTGGCGCGGACTGCCGAGGTACCCCGCGGCATGGCATCGGTACGGGGAAAAGTCGATGTCGGGGGAGATGTGGGGTGCACCAGTTGGGCTGGGGCTTTCAGCCGTGGATTGATGAGGATTCCTTGAAGTGTGAAGCTCACAGCGAGGCAGGAGAAGCATGGAGTGGTTTTGCGGGCGTCTCAGACCTTGGTGAGCCTAACACAACGCTCCATCAGGTACCCTGCCTTGCAAGGCAAGATGCGCTTCGCATTTACACTCTGATTCCGGAAAGAATACTTCCGTCGAATATGTGCCCGCCACAGCGGTGTGCAAGTCATCTCAGCCTTTTTCACGAAAGTGTTTGAATTGACTGGCTCTAAAGCTTGAAGTCTGCCGTCTGCTTCTCCCATCCAGCAGGGCCCTCGGCCATGGCAGCCGTCCGCTCTGTCAGCGCCATCTTGAGGTTGCGGTTCTTCTCAGCGCAGAGTTCATATACTGTCGATAGGTTGAACAGAAGAGTATGTGAAGAGAACCCAGAGTTGATGAGTTCCTCCATAATCTCGCGGCCCTGGACGTGTTAGCTTTTCCACTCAACAATGAGATTGCGTCTCGCGTATACCTCCTGCAATCGCCCCAGATAAAGCAGGCAAACTGCTGCATTGACGCCAACCATCTCGTCCTGGCTCTCTTCCCTGAGCGCCTCCCACCTCTCCAGGGCAGCTTCGTATTTGGTATCCGCCATGTCGCATAGCGCCAGGATGATGTCCCCGACTGTTTCGGCATCACCATGTGCTGCAGCGCACCTTCGAGCATTGTCCACATCCCCTAGCTGAAGCCACACCAGAGCTTTCGACAAGGCCATCTTCCCATCTCCATTGTCATGCAGGCCCTTTAGGTGAGCTGCCGCACCCGCGGCGTCGTTCATCTCCACCAGGGCGCCGGCCACCTTGACACCTAGCTGGTGCAGTCTTGCCTTCCACAACTGCCGCTCCTCATCGTTTGTAGCCTTCGCAATACGTGACCGTGACTCACGCGCGAGATCGTGGTAGCTCATAATAGATCTCCTCATGTCTCCAAATCCCAGCGCTTGCAGGCGCACGTTCAAGACGCGTAGCTCCCATGGCACCAGGTGCTCGCCCGTGGCCTCATCGACGTACAGACGGGTGTTGTTCAGATCCTCGAGGGCTTTCACTTCTTGAGCTGCCACCTGCGTCGCATCAATCAATGTCAAGCACGCTAGCCGTGTATAGAGCAGCTCAAAGATCCGTTTCGAGTCCGTTGGATCGGGAGGCCGCGTCGCACCTGACCCAGTGAGTTCCTGTACCGCCGCGATCGCTGCGGCGCGCAAGTGCCCTCTTTCGAGGAGCTCCTCGAGGGGCACCTCTGTCCCGGGCTGCTTGTCGGAGTTGCGAAAGGCTGCTGGGATATTTTGTGGCGGGAGGGGATGGTAGATCTCTGGTTTGAGGAGGAAGGAGAAGTCTTTGGCCTGGGGCTGGCCGACTTGTGTGACTGGGAGGCGGGCACCTGGTGATCTTGAGGTCCGCCTTGGGGCTGACTGCGCTGGAGAAAGGTTGGACTTTGGGGTGGAAGAGGCTGTTAGGGGATCACTTGGGGCTAGGTCAGTGCTGTCGGCACAGAGAGGCAAGCTGAGGCATTTCACTCACTCGTCGACATCTAGTGGTCCCTTGGTCGACGATCGAGGTCTCGCTAACTTTCAGTCAGTCAAAGCAAGGCTAGTTCTGGGATGGTTGCAGATGGAGAGCTTGTTGCCTCGGATGAGGTGAGCTGGGCTTGTCAGACCTAAGAAGGGACGCACATTTGGTGACGGATTTGTTTCTGGAGTGGCCTTGGCTCGAAGTGCGCTGCGGCTCGCTCATTTTAGCGCATCAATAAGATCAGGGAGAGTGATTTAAGGATAGATCATTCGAACAATATCGATTTTCGGGCTAGGCGCAAGTGGTTGCTGATGGTTGACGACGCGGTACGTAGTTGCAGCAGTGAGCTTGAGTCTACGACAACTGGAGCCCTGGATGGCATCGCCAGTTGAAAGCCGGCTTACCTTACCCTGGAGCAAACCCTTTCGCCGCAATTGCTACATCCAGCCTGTTCTGTACCTTTAATTTTTCATCATATGAATGAACTAAAAAAGCTCACCTGCTGTGTTCACAGGTTAAGAATGAGCCCGATGAAGCGAAAGCAGCCTGAGGAAGAAGACGCGAGCACTTAGGTACCGTAATATCTCAGAAAGATCGAACAGGCTGGTCCGAGCGTTTTGTGTCAATTAATGACCAGGGTATTGTGTTGATTGGGCCCTCCGCAATTCTAATGGGGCAAAAGCTCGCACCAGCCTGTTCGACCTTTCTGAGATATTACGGTATGTGTACGCAAAGGGTTCCCGCCGCGTTCATGATCCTGATTGTGAAACGCGATGCCTGCACGTAAGCTTACCAACGCAGTGTGGCATGTCAGGTGCACACCAGCTTTTGGCTGCGGCGGAGCGACTGCGTCGTATTAATATCGTATAAATTGGTGAATCAATATCCAGCAGAACCTGCACAACACTGGCAACTCACAGCATATCATATCATCACTTTGTTCTCACCCCTCAACCCACAGCACCATGGCTTCATCAAGTTTCTACGACATGGCCATAGGCACGGTACGAATCCAACTCGAAATGCTGTCCACAATCATCGCCAAAGCCGAAGCCTCACCCATGGCGGCTTCCATCCCCCAAGCGCGGATTCACGAGGACATGCTGCCATTCACCTTCCAGGTAGACTGCGCGACGCACACGATCCACAGATGTCTCGCTCTCACATCAGGCCAATTCCCCATGGCCGACGACGAATGGCCGTTTGACTCCACAACCTATGAGCAGATCAAAGCCCGCATCGCCAAGGCGGAAGAGCAGCTGGCCATTGTCGACAAGGACAAGGTGAACGCGCGGGAGAACGAAGTCTGCGAGTGGTCTCTGGCTCGGGGGACTACTCACCTCAAGGCCACTGCGCTCGAATTTGTGCGAGATTATGTTATTCCCAACACCTACTTCCATGTGGTGACTGCGTACGATATAGCGAGAAAGCAGGGCGTGGAGCTGTCGAAGAGGGATTACATCGTACCAGGCCTGGGGAAGCATGTGATTTCCAGGACTGAGGGCTAGTCAGATGGACCTTGTGCAGAGCTGGACTGGTTTTCTTGGTGAGGTCAGTAGGAATGTGTTCTGATTTGGTAGGTTCGATCAAATACCTACTTGACTGATATACGGAAGATATCTACGGCGAGGTTGTGTGCCGAAGTGCCTCCCGAGGATATGGTGAATAGAGAAGCAATGCAGCCGCTCTCACTTAGTCACTGCTGGATACTTGCTTGGATTCTGCTTCAGTCTTTGGATTTTCTCAACTCGCTCGTTCTGACACACCACCTCGATGCCTCTTGCAAACCGACAATGCTCCGTATCGCCTACGGCTTAAAAGGTCTCAAACAGACGCAGCATACCGGCCCAATTCTCCTTGCCGGATGGGATGATGTTGGATGGAGGAATGACGAAGCCACCGCTGCCGCCAGGACCGGGACGCAGCTCAACAGCCCAAGCGAGTTCAGCACCGGCAATGTCCGCGACCCAATCGTTGCTGCCACCGGCAGTCTGGTAGATCGTCTCGCAGGTTGGACCGTAGACAAAGTCAAGGCCGTTGACAGCCTTGATGGCTTGGGAAACACCTTTGGCGAGCGCCATCTGCTTGCTCAGGTTGTCCACCTTGGCGGAGCACGAGTAGCCGTAGGGGAGGAGGATGAGTTGGGAGAAGGCGTGCCAGTCGACGTAGAACTTGATGCCCTGGGCCTCACCAACGGAGAGTGTATGGTTGGTGAGCACTTGGTTCTCGGGCGTGTCGCCGGCTGAGGCACCCCTGTACGTCTCCGCGCACGGGTTGGTCGAGGAGCCACCGGGGATGTTCCACTGATAGGGCCAGTTGCGGTTCACATCCGTGCCGACGCAGCTCGAGCTTGAGCGACGCTGGCGGTTCTTACGCCACAACCTGTCCCCGCTCTGGGTGTAGGTGAAGCCTGGAATATATGTCAGCTGGTTACGTGTGAGCAGCGGAAAGGGGCGTACCATCAGGGTTGACTACAGGCATGATGTAAAAGTCGTAGCTGTTGAGGGCGGCCTTGACTTTTGCGTCACCACGCTGGTAGCCCTCAACAAGCTTGTATGCCATGTACTCAACGGTCTGGGAGATCAGTATGCGTTGCACATTGTCGCGGGGACCACTTACGGGCGCCACGATCCACTCGCGGGCGTGGACAGTGCCGTGCCAGATGATGGCGGGCTTTGTTCCAGGGCCACTGGCACCGTACAGGTGAATGCCCTGGATGGGACGACCCTCGAGAGAGTTGCCAGCGGTGAAGATCTCGGAGTTGCTAGGGAAGGCAGCTTGCAGGTCATCCAGGAAGTCGAGGTGATCCTGGAACTGATGGTACGAGTTGAAGTAGGACAGATCAGGCAGTGCAGCAGCAGCAAGACCTACATCTGCCTCTTTGCGAGCGGCTAAAAAGGCAACGTCTATTAGCAATTATCTGGCATGTAGATGGATTGTACGCACACACGTAGGGAGACAGGGTGCCCTCAAGGGCAATGTCAGCACCAAGATCCTCATGCAAGACGTCCACCTTCAGGCCAAGCTTTTCAAAGGCGGCAAGACTTTCTGGGGAGACAGCAATGTCAAACCCCTTGTGGTTGCTCTCGCAAGCCATCGAGACGTAGTTGATGTCCTGGAGCTTGGCTTCGACATGGTCAAAGTCCTCGGGCGTGTCAATGTGGAACGCCTTGTAACCGTCGTATGAGACTTTGGCGGCAACGAAGGGCAGGGCAAGGCCCAGCAGAGCGAAGACCTTCATGATTGCCGGCGAAGGGGGATAGACCAGGAGCGAATGCGATGAGAGAATGAGCGCCTTGCACAGTAGTGACTGCAGCCCAGACAAACACGGGGGAAACTGGTTGATCTTATGATGCCTTGTTCCCCTCGATTCATGTGTCATGGATCAGCGTCACACGGACGCCGAAACAAGAGGCAGCCGCGAGGACTCATGATTGTGCGATGGACATGGGCAGGGTCCGCAGGGATCAGCGCGCGTGAAACCAACGATGACCTGCTCGACTAGTTAGGTGGCAATGAGTTGCGGAGGCAAGCGGATGTGACGCTGTGATGGACTCTGGAAGCACTGCGAGATCGTCTTGCAAAAGTGCCGCCAGCCAACAAACGAGATGTTCAGGAGACGGGCAAGTCTGAGTGGCCGCATGAATGGCTTTCCCCATGTCGATCGCTGGTCCGTGAGCCCTCACCCACACCTTCCCCAATCGGCCACAGTCCGCCGGCAGCTCAAATTGCCCAGCTTCTAGACGGAGATATTATGTCGGCAGTGGGTGGCAGCTCAGCTCGCAGTTTGCCGCGTCGCTGCGACGTTAATAGTTCAAGAGATGCCGAAGATGGGAGCTGCGCGCGAGGGCGACATGCATGAAGCATGAACAAAGGTCCTGCGTCGTCGTCTATTGGTATGACATATACGAGGCATCTGGCCTGGGCCTCCCTGGACCACGGCCTTTATTGACGACCGCAGCAAATTGGAGATTGAATAGCGACGGCAGTATCATAATCATGGCACGAGCCACGTACACAGCGACAATCCAGGACGGCGAGAGCCGCGAGACTACTGTAGTTTAAGCGTCGGCAAGAGGAATCAGATAGATTGAAAATAGACTAGAATTTGGCAATGCACAGAATGGCATCGGCGCAAGATATGTTTCAACATCAGCAACTTCGAAGCCTGATTGAACTAGATGGATGCACAAAGGAGATGGTGCATGTAGCATCCATCATATTGGTATTGCATAGTGAGAATCGCTACCTTAAAATCGAGGAACGCGACTTCATCAACGCTCAAAAGTCCAGTAACAATCATCATTATATCGTTGCGCGATTCTCTCAACATCAACAACAGCATCCCACGCCGCCGTAACTGTCGTTTCCTTCATCAAAATTCATAACACGTAGTAGGTCTTCCCGGCGCCTAGTATCGCACTCGCAGCGCAAAACAGACCTCAGCACATCCAGCAACTCCTTCCTCCATGCAGGGTCATGGCCCCCAAACAGTCGTGCTGCGACGTACTCAAAGTAAGCGGGCATGATGTTCGCCATCTCCCAGTCTATGAAACCTGTCACCGCGAGGGTGTCCGGGCCCACGAGGATATTCCGGTCAGACAAGTCCCCATGCGTGAGGACAGGACGGCCCCAGTCACCTGCGCCAGTGGTGCCACTCTGTACTCGCTCGAGGGTGACTGCATGTTCAGCGTCCGGGGCATTTTTCTGCAGCGCGTGCACACGTGAGTCGTCCCACTCTGAGCGAGAGGCGCAATATGCATATTCCTCCCCTGGACTAAGTTCTAAGAAGAGGACGTATGGCTGTTGCGTGGGCCGTCCGTAGTACGAGAAGCGGCGTGAACGCATACGTACGAGGAGACGGCAGAGCTCCGCCTTGACGGCCTCGCGCTGCGGAGGCGTGAGTGAGGACAAGGCCCTGGTTGGTGCGACTGAGCCCCGAGACCTTGACAAGGCTGACGACGCGCGGGACACAGGTCCCCAACATGGAATAGGCGAGTGCGGTCATGATGCCCTCGCCTTCGTCAGTTCCAAGCTTTCAGTTCCAAGCTTCAGGATAGTAGTCGGAGAATGCTTGAAAAAACGGCGTCCAATGTTTGGAATGGTCGGCCCTGAGAACAGAGGGAGTTCGGGGAGAAAGTCCCAGTGCTCCCGAGGAAGCTGCTGGGGCTCCTGAGAGCTGACTTTGGGTGGGATCATGGAGAGCAAGGTAGCAGGCGAGAGTGAGGGGCATGTAAGGTGGTTGATCGTAGACCAAGACGGAGTCCCACGCTGAGGTTATAATCAGCTATTTACCTTTTCTAGGTTCGCGCCATTCACGGTGAGAGATTAGATCAACAACTGCCACGTGTCAAATAATGGTGTTGTGCACCTTGTTGATCTAATATACTACCGTACTATTTACTGGAATATGGGAAAGAATCTTCCGTGACCTTTGCCAAAAGCTTCATTCAACCATCTGAAGTTCAGGTCATCATGCTTTCTTATCTGATGAACGCTTTCACGCCCTCCAGGGCCCCCACCATTTTCTCTGCGGTCCTTATCCTTGGCGAGCCTGATTCCACGATCCATATTCTTCATCTCCCACCCGAGAACAGCATCATCGAACGCCTCAGCGTCACAACCCCATCTCCCGCTTCTGCCCTTCGCCGCAGCGGAGTCACCGAGCGACCCGGTGCGCAGATTGGCACGGTCACACTTCACGTTGGAGATGGCGAGACTGCCAACAGCTTCCTTGACGATGTTGAGACACGGATCCGCAAGCGGCGGGACGATTCCTCCGGCTCGAGCCCAGCGCAGCAGCAGATGGGAACTTTGGGTGTGGCTCAACTCGTGCAAGACGTCCTCAAGCCAGCAGCGATGGATGCAATCCACGAGAGAGAGACGCGAGAGCGGTCTATGAATGCGACGCGGGCATGCCCGGTTTTCATTTATATCAGACGCTCAAAAGCAGGGACGATCCTAGAAGACCCAACGGGCTTTCCTTTTTAAGTTCTCGTTAATCCTTACGCTCAAGATACAATAATACCAACGATGTTTTGAACATCACATGATTTTTATTCCGAATATGACTTGCTTCGTTGAAAAAGTAGTCCAAGAGACTGAAACTAGCGTATATTATCCTGGTCACTTATACGGGAGCCGCCTATAGTTTAGTGCTATAGATATATACTTATATAAAAATACGAATCTCTCGATAGTTTCATATAAAACTTGGGTATTATAACGCTTATAGGCTATAATTATAGCTCGAGATTAGCACTATTCCTAATAAGAATATTGCCTCGCTAAGACATGCTAGCGCTAGCGACTTTATCCTGTGATTACGGTAGTATTGGCTATGCTAGTTTCCTTAACATGCTTTATCTGGTGTGCACCATCGACTCGCATGCCCAAGTCACACCTAGTCTTTTCAATAGAAGAGCGGCTCAAATCCCTTTGTGTCGAACGCATCAAATTGCTCCTGGGTGATTATCGCGTTGTTACATGTAACAAGGCGCTGTAAGATCTGGATGCAATCAATATCTTTGGCAGTTATTGACTGCAAGACAAAGGGCCGGCCTTGAGCCGCTGCCTGGCACTGCACATCAAGCGTGGCGTCAGAGACTGGAGCGTAAGCCCGGATGCGATTTCAACTGAGGCCTGAAGCGATCTAGAGGCTTTTAGGTTCATATTCGGCACCTGCCGGTAGACCTGAGATAGTATCACACTTAAGAACAAGATATGGCCCCATACGATCTGCCCGCTTGTCACCGAGTCCTTGCTGGCATGGAAAAGCGTGCCAGTTACAGCATCCGTATCCCAAAGATAGCTTCACACATATGGGAATTTTTCAATATTACTCGGAGCTTAAAACTGATAGTTGAGTGCCCAATGTGCGGTATTATCCGGGAACTAGCGGGATTGCTTGAAGCACTGGGACGATATGTAATGCTGGTATTGATCCGTGCACACATGCAGAAACGCGTGCTTTACACGCCGGCAAATGAGGCATGGGCCAGGTGAGTTGGAACCTAATCAGAAAGGCAATCTCGAGAATGCGGAGTCTTGAAACTATGTTGGAAGCTCGAGCAAAGGCCTGAGACTAATGTGACGTTGAAATAAGCTGCTCGATTGGCTCTTGGTTCGATCAAGGGTACATGTCAACATGTATTTAACGAAGCAGTATGCTGATACGCTTTTTGAATCACGCAGTGGGCTTGTAAGACGACATGATTAATCCTGATCGATGGCTATTTGGTGTGCAGAACGCTTGCTGCTTCTCGATCTCTCAGAACTGTCCAGCGTCCTGAAGGCGGCGGATGTAGCCACTGCAGTGCCGTACGACACGCTTCATAGACTCTATTACTATGGTCGGCTAAGATCGTTGATTCACTTTGACTGTTTCAGCCAGACTATATAGCTAGCTCTTCCACTACATATCACCCAGACTGTGACGTCCGGGATGAACCTCCTGCTCTTGAGCTCGATAGCTCGAATACTGGTTCCCGCCGTACATGCGCGTGTTGTGAGCATCGGGGGGCAGTAGGTGCTCGGTTGCGTGGGTCCCGTATGCCCCCTGAGTCGGCTGCTTGTACCCAGGTGCGAACGACGGCGGTTCGCTTGGGAGGCGAGACGGCGTGCTGGCAACATACCTGGCGCTGTCTGGTGCCGCTGGGCTGTAAAAGTCCCCTCCGCCCGACCTCTCTGGTGTGACCATAGTGCTGGTATGGGCTTGAAACTGCGATTGCGTAAATCTCATGGGGGAGGGAGATCGAGCCGACTCGTGGCGGCTGTCATATCGCCTGTGCGCCGGCCTCGCCTCCCGGGCAGGCGCTCTCTCCGCTCGCTCATGGGCGATCTCATCCTCGTTCTTGCGATGTACACCCACACGGTAGTCGGTAAAGTCCTTGATGGCGGAGTGGATCTGTTCAAAGTGCACGCGACCTAGGGACCTCTGACCTGTCTCTGGGTGATCCGGCGCTGATGCGTAGGCGAGCGAGGTAGCGATCTGGAAGGCATTGCGAATCTGACGACCATTCCACCATGGTGCATTGGGGTTGACCTGTCGACTTGTCTCGTATCGCTCCATGGCGAAGCTGATAATCTCCTGATCTTTGAGGATCAGAGGCGGCTCCTTGTGTACCTCTGCTCGTTGTGCAGCAATCAGTCTAGCGCGGGCCAGGTTGGTCTGGAATAGCTCGTGCGTCTGTGCGAAGCTGAGGTGTTTGAAGAAGATGCTAATGTGCACTCGCGAGCTCAATGCTTCGTCAAGGACACCAACTCAATTGGTAGTCAAGAACAAGACGCCTGGATAGTACTCGAGTGCCCGCAGGAAGACTACGATGGCGTTAGCACTCTGAAGCTGTCATTCAGAAGATGGGGTACCTACCAGATACCAAAGCGTTTCGTTGCAAGCTGTCGTCCATCTTTTCGCGTCGGGATAGAAAGATGTCCGCCTCGTCCAACAGAAGAACGCAGTCCCACGTGTTGGCGAGCCGAAAGATCTTGGACAGCCTATCCTCAACGGTATTCGAGTCAATACCCAGATCACCACAGGTAATGGGAAACAGCGGTTTGTTGTGAGCATAAGCCACGGCTTCTGCGGTAGCAGTCTTCCCAACACCTGGCGGCCCATGAAGCAGGATGATTAAGCCCTTGCCTTTGCCCGGGATGAAATCTTGTTCCAGGGCCCCTTCCCCCTTTGCCTGGAGCTGCCTGTGAACGCGCTTCTTCTCGAAGTGATCATGGACGACGGAGCGAATGAGGGTCTTGTCCGCGGGGTCGATTTTCAGGTCGGCAAACGGGTCGGGGATTTCTGCTGGTATCTTGCACGAGTTGATGTCGACATTGGTGAAGAACCGGTCACGAAGAGAGTACGCCACCAGCCGCCCGGGCAGTAGGGCCAGATTTTCGTCCGTGAGCACCTGTTTATCTTCCTCACTTTCGTGGCTACCATCTCGCTCTGCGCGCTGATCACGGTCCACAATGTAATCGTCCTTATCTGCGAGCACCTGCCACTGCAGCTCGGTCACATCGTCGTCTTCGATGACAGTTTCTGTGACGCGAAATAACTCCCGCGTGCGGTCAGGTCCTGACCATTGGATAATGGGGAATTTGTCCTGGTTGATGGAAGGGGACCAAACCTCACTCGTATATGTCCTGAAGTCCGGTTTCCAGGCCGGAGCCCACTGATATCCTTCGGCAAAGTCGATGATCACGTTGCTGTCGATGTGGGCGGCGATCAGTCTTCCCGCGGCGTCCGGGTTGAGGATTGAATTCCCAGATGGGTCTTCCGAAAGTGTCCACCCGTCGTGCTCGATAGCATGATGCTCATAGCTTATGAGCTTCTGGAACTTCTCCCCTCTCTTCTGCAAGCGCTTCATCAGAGCCTCGGGGTCTCTCTGGAACCGCAATGGGTATATCGGCAGTTTAGTAATATCCTTCTCACCCGTAAACGGCGCAATCCAAAAATGCCTCGGAACGGTCGAGTACCTTGTTCCATCGTAGTCCAGACGGTATGCCTGCACCAAGAATTCCCTCTCACCGTCGAATTCATGGTCGCCCCGAAGGGTGCTGCCTGCAGCATCGAGGTTATCAACCTTCCAATCGACGACTGGGTTGACAATGGTGAAAACCTTCCATATTCGGCGCTCAGATGCGTGCTTTGTCCCTTTGTTTTCAATCTTTGATTCCTGGTTTCGCTTCAGATCAGCGCCGTCTTGCTGTCGCTCGACCACTATTTCACCGAAGCGAAAGAGCGACCAGAGCTCACTGAAATGGATCTTGGTGCGCGTTTCGTGGTTCTGTGCGTCAAACTTGTGATATTTTGGCACAAGTCGGTCTCTCACAAATTCCACATAACACTTGATCTCCATATAGGCTTGATGCGCAGCTGCCATAGTACCAGCTGGTGCTGGGTCGACAGGTTCTTCGAGTTCCGGGACCGGTGCCCCCTCTGCAACCTCGATCGAGTCTTCAGAGAGAGCCTTCCTTAGTCTTTCGAGTTCCTCTTCCATTTTGTCGTGGAAGAAGATGGGGACCTTGAAAGGACTGAAGAAGACGTGTGGTTGGTCGCTTCGCCACGTCGGCTGGCCCGTGACCTCAGCGAGCAAAGACATGACGGCACTTGAGTTGATGCGGATGCGCTCGATCCGGTGGTCCATGACTTTCTGGTTTGCTTGCGTTCTTGTGGCGGAGAGGTTGCTCTTGCCAGCCAGAAAGGTGTTTTTGGCATCCGAATCAAGGCGCCTGAGCTGTTCCTCTTCCATTTCGCGATCCAGGCCTTGGTCCCCAACAAGCGTCTCAACGGCTGGGACACCTTGCTCCGGATGGTATCGGTTTTTGAACTGCTCCCAATTGCATTCCTTTACTTCGGGAACTCTCTTCATGGTTTGCAGGGTCACATCTTGAGCTGGTTCAACGTCACTGGTCGCCTCCTGGGTTGCGTTTTCCTGCACCTTCCCCTCAACGCTCGCAACACGCCTGGTCAGGTCTTGGAACCATTCGAAGACGACGCCTTTGACGAGGCCATCTGTCACCACCCTCTGAGTCCAATAATCATCTTTTTCTTGCTCGTGTGTTAGTCCATGCCATGGTCCGTCCCTACGGGACTTGGGCTGGATAGGCTAACCTTGGTGTTGGACGCCCGCTGGCGTCACGAGTCCTTGCTGGGCATCCTGGATGTTGGTCATCGTGCCAATGGACGTTTTGATCTGGTTGTTTTCCGAGACCTGCTCTTGCGGCTGGCTCTCAAGTGCTTCTGTGGCCATGTTGCGTGCATGTATGGTGTCCCAGCCAACTTGAATGCAGCACCACTCACTCTTCGAAGGAAATGCTGTTGTGAAATAAGAGCTTGTTGCGCTTCTTATGGGGTCAAATGGCCAAGACCTGATAATTGCAGGGCTGCGAGCCGCAGGGAGGTGGTTGAGAGGCCGCATAAGCGGCATAATGCGTCTGCAGCTGGGCGCTTATCAAGAGTCTAACAACTCCGAGCCCAGGCTTGATGGAGGCCTCATCACCACACCAGCTTGAGGGTATACATATAGATTCTCTTACCATCAAAGCGATTGTGGTCAATCTCGCCTGAGCAATAACTGCGACGAATTCTGGACTTCTCTGTTATGTCCTCGCTGCTTCATGATCAGAAAGAACGGCTAAAGATGAGGCGCATCCCGGCTCGTGCATATGTGCGAGTTCGATTAGCCAGCGGTGCGCCCTATGACCACAATGCATCGAAGAGGGGCTACATGCTGACAGGCGGCAGGATGCTGACACAAAAGCACGCAACGTGATGTGGCAGCCCTTCGGGGGCATCAAACATGAACTGTTCGAAGGCCTCATGCCTCGGCCTCCCGCCCCGACCGCTCAATTTCGTGCCTACATGTATAATAGCCGTCTGACATCTGAGGAAATGGGTGGTTCCGGGCGAGCGTTAGAATATTCATGTGTCCGGCTTCGCTCACATTCCGGACGCTGTATGTGCATGTAAGTAACCCAGCCAAGGCTGTAGCTGCACTGGTCAACTGGTGTTTGTCAGACATTGATGTTGGGACCCGGCAGCCCCGTCATATGCGTTCACATCCCAGCCCCCCAAATATACATTCTCTCCACATCCCAGGGCTCGGAACGCTTCAAACCTCAAGTACCTTCATGCTGTGCAGCAGACGCAGACGCCATGTCGAGCGTTGCAAATGAGCTACCCTATTCCCTGCGACAACAGATGAGTCGGCCAGAGGAGAGGGCCAAGTTTGAGGGTTGGTGGAACCAGAGTGACTTTTCCGACTCGGCAGCGGGCAGGCTCGCTGAGCCGGTTCATAGTCTGAGTGTGGTCTCAATCATTGACGAGAGGGACAGAGCGTGAGTATGTGCCACGTTGTCTAGTACAAAAGGTCTTACGAGATGCAGCTCATTGAAAGAAGCTATCAAGCAGTATTTAGACTCGGAACAGCCAGAGCAGTCGTCGTTCTTTGTCGACTTCCACTTGGATCAGTGTTCTTGGGAACAGGTCTTTGATGAGGTCGGACATGCAAAGGAAGTGTACGAGAAGAAAGCCACGAGAAACCCAGTCAGGAGGTGTTTTCGCCACGGTCATGGGTTCCAACGAAACGTCAAGCCCCTGGCAGAAGTGATCCCCGGAGAGAACGGAATGGGACTCATCAAAGCGTCTATGCAGATTGTCCTCAATGTGAGAAACCACCGGCACCATGTCTCCATGCTTTTGAGAATTGCAGCTGCTGATGAGTAGTCTACAGGCCGTCCAGAGGAGAACTGTCACGTGTGAGAAAATATTCGAGCTCTTTGAGTCCGTTCCACGATGCGTGCGCCACGCAGAGTGTCTGCAAGACATACATCGCAATAACCACGCGCTCAATACTGCACTGCGAGATCTGTATCTCGCACTCGTCAGGTGTCTGCCCTCTCTGATTAGGATACTTCTCAGGGAGGACACCCACTCACGTAGGTGCCCACGCTTTTCTTGAACGTCGGTTCCACACGCCTAACGCCAGCAGCCTTGAAGAAAATCAGCAACACCTTTCTCAAAGATTCAGCGGCTCAGGTGGACCAGTTGCTGCTGCCAGTCAAGCAGTCTGAGGCACGTTTGGAGGAGTGCCAGCGGGAGTTGCTCTCGCAAGGCGTCGTGCAAACCGTCGAACTGTCGCAAATCGCTCTGGAAGAACATGCTGCGACCCGTGAGCAGCTGGGGTTGGTAACGAGGAAGCTGACGGAGGTGCAAGAAACGCAGACGAACCTGCCGAATGCTCTCAAGGACACCCTTGAGACGTTCAAAACTACGTTGCACAATGAGTTTGTGCAACACATGAAGAATCACGTGTACATTGTCGTACAAGACCAGGTACGCATGAACACTTTGTTCCAAGGTACGTGCCCCTCCAGCCCCAGCAAGACTGTGCAAGCTTCATCCAAAAATCTGACAGACTGGGTTCTAGAACAAGCACAACAAGCAACTGCATATATCAGAAGCCCAAGAACGGACCCAAGAATGGATCTTCTCGAAAGCCTATGTGATTCGCGCGAGAGGGCTGCGCCGGCAGAAGATCGCGCATCCGTCCTGCGAAAATATCATCAATTCAAAGCCAAGGCTCTAGCACGCGCGAATCAGCTCATATCCGATTCCCGCTTTGGAGAATGGGTCGGGGTGTTGCACTCCGATATCGTACTTGTCAATGGCCATTGCGGAGGAGACACTATTGGAAACACATCACCGCTGTCGGTTTTCTGTGCGGGCCTAATCGACACCTTTGGAGCCCCTGGCCAGAACACGTTGCCTCAGTCGCCCTTCATCATCGTGGAGTTCTTTTGTGGCCATCATACGACCGAGTCTAGCGGGCTCGAAGGACCTCAAGGGATGATGCGAAGCCTGATCAGCCAGGTTCTCTGTCAATGGCCAGGAAATTTACCCCTGAACTTGCAGGCGCGCCGTCACGAGAACTTCTGTGAGGCACACGGTTGGTCCGTATCGGCCTTGTGTGAGCTCTTTGAGTCCGTCATCTGTCAGTTGCCGCGGGAGCTACCCATCTGGTGCATCATCGACAACATATCGTACTTTGAAACCAGTCTGGATGGCTGGGACCAGGAGCTAGAAGTCATTGTTGCGTCTTTCGAAAGATTCGTCCACGTTGGCAAACGAACCGGTGCTATCTCAGCACCGGTCAAGTTTCTGCTCGCGTCAGGGAACAGGAGTCTGAACGTCTGGGACATGCTGCCGTCGGACGCAGAGATCAATATCCGAGACGGCGGGGTCTTTGCGCGTACTCACGGGCTGGACAGTTTCCGCTCGTCCCTTTTGGGAGAATAGCGACGGGCGAGCCTGTAGGGATTTTCTTTAGCCCATGTGGAAACATGTTGCGATACTCAATCAACGTCAAGTGTTCTGGCTGTCTATTGCTGCCAGCCCTGGTGCAGCCTTGTCCCCACAAGATCAAAGCCACAAGCATATTGTTCCCCTCGCTTGTGAAGCCCCTTTTTGCATGTCAGTCGGCGCAGCATTCATCAAAGGAATATAAAAGGGGAACATGCCATTCAGCGGCAGTTATCATGGTGCCTCCCGCCGGGTCCTCGCCAGAGTGGCCACATGCAGACAGGTCTAGCTCAGCATAGCCAACTTTTCCACATTTCACTGGCTCTCTTAATCTCACTACAGCCATATCGTTGTCTACTGAAGGCCGCCCATATTGTGGATGGAGGGTGAAGTTGGAGACTGCCGTGAGCACTGCTGTCAACACTAACAGCGTTCCCCATTACAGGCGTATTCAGTCCGCATTTGTGCTGGACCCGCTATTAAGCTCTAATCTAATTACTCGGCGCTTTCGATTCGTCAACCACGATTGATCGAAGATAGCGCTGCGGCCTGCCCCTCCCCCGCAATCTGGCTTGGCCTAACCTGGAACCGAGCCGAGATCCCTCCAACTCATTCACAAGCTGCCGGCTCCCGCTGTCCTCCATCAAACTCGACCACACCACCTTCATCAAATGCACTCGAGCTACCATCAACACGCCGTGCCACAGCGTCCCCCCGGGCTGCCGACACCATGAACAGCCCGACCAGCCCTCGCCGATCCCGCCATCATGGACACGATCTCCTCGCGAGGCTCCCTGACCAGATCCTCGTGCAGATCCTCGAGATGGTCTCTCACATTTCCAAGCGGTCCCTCTGCCAAGTGTCCCGGCTCAGCAAGCGGTACCATGCCGTCGCGGACGCGATCCTGTACAAGACACTGCACTTCTCCGACCCGGAGCTACACCTCATCTTCAGCCAGTCCCTCCAGCGTCGCCCACGTCGTGGCTCGGCCATCCACGAGTTCAAGCTGGCGTACCCCGCATCCGAGCTATCGCAGCTGATGCTCGAGGCGCCTGTCCATGGCTCCTACTACGATCAGGCGCCCGTGCGTTACGACAGCCTGTCGCGCACCATCTCTGTCATGTCCAATCTGGAGACCCTGGACATTGCCGTGCCCGACAGGCTCCTGCCGGGGATAGGCAAGCTATTCGGCGGCCCGTTCGACCTGGCGTGTCTCCGATCATGTACTCTCTTCTATCAGACGGAGCATGGGGAGTACTGGGACCTGCAGGAGAACATTCACATTTTCGCGCATCCGACCCTTGAGACCTTGGTGATCAAGCGGGCCAAGCTGGACCATACGGGTTTCGACTACATTGAGCAACCTCACGAGACGGCCCTCGAGAAGCTCCATCTCATTGAGTGCGACTTCAACGACGACGCACTCACCGATATCCTCATGTTTCCCAAGGCACTCACCGAGTTTGTCATGACGCAGACCAGCGATCCCTCTCCGGAACTCGAAGAGAGCTCTGATCGGATGGACCACTACATCTTGGCCTTGCAGTCCGCCTGCCACTCACTAGTCACGATCACCATTGATTTCCCTACATTATCGGGCCACAAGGCCCTCCGTATGAGAGACTTTGAGGCACTCAAGACGCTCCGCATCAACTGGGACTATCAGCTCTTTGGCAAGTCGACGACGAAACCGAGGATGCACTCTGTGGGGCTGCCTCCCAACCTAGAAACGTTGGAGTTCTTCAATCCCCTTGGGACGGACGACGAGGTGACAGATCTGCTCGAGTACACAATGGAGAACATCAAGGTCAACGCACAGCACCTGCGCCATTTCATTGTGGTGGACGACGAGGAGCATAGAGTTCCGCGGCAGGTGATTGCCGCGTGCAGGACACAGCCGCAGATGCACTTGGATATCATTGGTAATCTGGATGAAGACGAAGTAGACGATTAGAACTAGAGTAGACCCATTGGTTGGCTAGACCTTGTTTTGTATTAGGACTTTGTAGGACACACTCACGACACGACTATATTGAATAATGACCAAATCTTCTTGAATTCGTTTTATTCATGTTTCTGTGAGGACACATGTCGTGAAATTAAGTGTCGATAGCAGAACCTTATTATGAATCAAGCGCAAAGCATCGTTCACTACTCGACTCGGCGTTACCCCACCAATACGGCATGGAGATGATCTTACCCGAGCCAAAGAACAAGAACACCAGCAGCATGTTCAGGTTGAATCCGGCGTCGAAAGCGGCCGCGAGAATGTAGTTCCACCGCGCCCATGTCACGTAGCGATACCGGTACGCCCAGAACATGACGACGAACCCGCCCAAGAAGGCGCTGAGGTAGCCGGTGCTAATGTTTCCGTAAAAGAGCGCCATGGTCGCGAAGAAGATGGTCGTGTTCCAGAGTCTGAACTTGACCTTGGGGAACAGCTTGCTGAGTCCAAAGAGGAGCTTGGGGGCGGCAAACCCGGCCAGGAATCCATACGGCACCACGCGGTAGATGTGCATCTGGAACAGACGCCTCGGGCCCTGAGGGGTAAATGTTAGCATAGGCGTCAAATTTGGTATAAGAAAGTAATTGTGTCTTACAATAAGCACGTATTGCACACCCATGGTCAAGTTCGACGCCAAGCTCTGTGCCGTCCACTGATGGGTCGGATCCTCGAGCGCGCCGGTCAGATAGTCGAATTTGGTGTCGAGCACCCACCTGACGACGGCATAGTTGACCGGGATGCCGAGGACAGAGCCAAATACTTGCGAGAAGAAGACCGCCTTGGGTGGGATGTGCATGTAGTGACCAATCTTCATGTCCTGCAGGTTGTACTGCGCGCGGTACCAGGCGTTGCCCGCGATGCTGCCATACACCGACGCACCGGCCGGGTTCTTGTGGCCGCTGACGGCGTTCACCATCAGGCCGTAGAGTAGCTCGTTCACGGTGCCAATGGGCAGTTGGAAGTTGGACAGGGCGTAGAGCCAGCCCAAGGGCACCACCATGAACGCGCCCGTGGCAATGGCGACAAAGTACGTAAAGACCTTTTATTATGTTAGCAAGTACGCGCCTCGAGTACAGCTCTCAAGCCCCATCTTGGACGGGACATACAGGGATATAAAGACTGTTTGTGGCGACAATCGTGACCAGCGACACAAAGGAAGCGGCAAAGAGGGCGGCGAACCACCAGAACGGGACCTCGTCATACGAGCGCTGCAGGACGCTGAGCTGGTCGTCGTACTGCTCGCTGATCCGGACACCCTTCTTTCCGACGCGCGCCCTGATCTTCTGAATGGTCGCCTTGAGCTGCTTAAAGCCAAAGAAGGCTGTCCAGCTAATGGCGGACGCATACGACGCGTAGTCAAAGAACATGGTCCAGAGAACCTGGGTGCTGACAAAGGGCGGGCCATACTCGGCGTAGGCGGTCTCGTTGAAGGAGACGTCGGGCGTGAGGATGGCGTCAATGGGGTAGGCCGTGCCATTCTCGAGGAACGGGCGGTTCGACATGAGTTGCTCGTCCCACTGGCCCAGACCACCGTACTTGGCGGCTGGCAGGAGGATCCAGCAGGAGCAGACGAAGCCGGCGAAGATGATGACCTGGGTCCACCACGGTGTCAGGAAGAGGTTGTAGTTGGTGGCGATGCTGGACCAGTTCAGGGACAGGTTGAGGAAGCCCATGCCGCCGTAGCCGGCGCCGACAAAGTTGGCGACCGGGTTGCTGGGCGCCACCCAGCAGAGGAAGGCCAGCGAGCCCAGCATGGGGAACGCGAACTCGGGGAGGAACTGCCAGAGTGTGATCCCGCCAAGGACGAGGAAGAAGACCCGGGTCTGCTTGCGGGACTCAGGTGTCGGGTTCTGGCGCTGCTTCTTTTGGGTCTCAAAGAGGGCTGTGTGGCACAGGCTGGGCGGATGTGAGTGTCAATTTTTCCCTCGTTATTGAATCAGGGATACTTACGCCGTGAACCAGGGGTACTGTGCGTCGTAGATGAGGAACTGGCGGGCAATCGCAGCAAAGCTGTAGCCAGTCCACACGATCCCCCACATGAAGAAGATGGCCACGGCAGGGTTTACCTTTTGCCCAAAGTACAACTCCGCCATGGAGACGGGCGCGTAGCCCAGGTTGTACGTGGCACCCGAGGCGGCAGAGATGGTGATGAGGACGTGCTCCTTGACGCTGAAGGGTCCCGGGTTCAGACTGAAGCCCAGTTTCGTAAGGGGGATCTTGACGTTCCACGCGGGGAGGATGTCGGCGAGCCAGACGCCCGCGTAGCTGGACGCAATCTGGACGAAGAAGATGGAGTACGGGGCGTAGGTGGTGCGGAAGTGGCTCATCATACTCAGGAACGAGCCGGGGACGACGAAGACGACGGTGAGCACGAAGTAGCGGAACGTCAGCGTGGGCAGCGTCGGGTCGTCTGTGAAGCTGACGATCTGGCGCACGTAGGGCGGCATGTCGCGTACCCGGGGATCATCGTCTGGGATGGCCTCCTGGGTTGTTCCATCTTTGCCTTGCACGACAAAGGTGAATGGTGCTTTCTCCATGTCGTCGGCGGTGGTGCTGGGTGGTCCTGATTCCGGGTCGACGGTGATGGGGTTGATCGCGTCGGCGGGCGACTTCTTCTCACCTGCGTCTATAGTCGCCATCCTGATGGCAAGAGGTGTGACTCTAGCTAGAGAGACACAGTATAGAATCGTATGAGATGCGATGCTGAATAGAAGATGAGTGTTTCCTCCGGCCTACTATGTTTTATACAGCCAGCCAACCGCTCCCTGGCCCGCCTTATCGCGATCATGTTCCGACGAGCACGCCGGACACCCTCGCGATGGCGTTATCTCGGTGGGAACGCATTCGCCATCTTGTATCATCCTATTTGCCCGTTTTCACTGGTCAGGAAATCTCCTCCTGGCGACTCCACGGAAGCCGGCACGTTCACGACCCACGATGCCGGCACTGTGGAGCCCCGTCAAGGCGCGCGGACCCTATTACAAGCAAATTTTCGGGGGCTCACGCTTGGTGAATTGGCAGGAGGCAAACAAAGACGGGCTTTTGTGAGTGGACGGCTGCACTGGCTACGATGTAGTGGTGGGCTGCCAGGTGGCGCCATCGCCAGGTTCGGGTTGACAGACAGAGATCGTGGAGGGGCGTGCAGGGAGCCTCGCAAAAGGTCTATCTGCAAGAGGGTTACTTTGATCATGGGGTAGCACAAGATACCAGATACCAGATACCACTGGAAGTGCATATCCCCGCAGGCGCTTCAAGGATGCAACAAAGGTGACCAATTTGAAATCGAACTTGTCTAACCTCCTCGATGAAAGCCGACTGTGCTCAAGCCTTGCCTGCAATCATGGCAGCGGCTTGCTCCGTCAACGCATACAGGGGCGCCTGGATATGTGCGCTCAGTGGCACAGGGAACACGGAGGCATCGACAACCCTGAGGCCCTCGACACCGTGAACACGAAAAGCAGTGTCAACCACCTTGCCCATGGCACAGCTGCCGCAGGCGTGCCACGTTGTTCCGCTAGCCATGGCCAGTCTCTGATCCAGCTTCTCGTCGCTATCCTCGAGAGTGGCAGGCTCGGCGGGGAGGATATCAGGAACAGTCTCCCCAGAAACATATTCAGAGAATTGGGTGCCCAGCATAAACTTGGTGATGTTTCGAAGGCCCTGCCGATACACAAATCTGTCCACCTCGGTGGAGAGATAGTTCATGTCAACTAGCGAGAAGGGTCAGCTGGTGCAGCTCAAGGATTTTAGGTACTCACTCTTTGGTTGCTCTTGAGGGTTACTCGACCTCAAGGACACTGATCCACGCGAGGTGGGCAGAAAAGAGACCACTCCGGTCGTGATGTGTTCCGCATCCATCGTCGTGCCGGGAAACGGCAGCTTGACATAGGCCACAATGTACTCCAAAAAGGTGCGAGGGGTCTTGAGAAGGCTATGCGTGGTGCTGTCCGGCTCCGACCCCTCATCCTTCTTGATGGCCGCCTTCAGCTCATCCTCTGGTACACCCGTGTTGACGATCCAGTCAAAGGGCATGCCCTGCGCATACTGAGGCTGAGCCCATAGCTCATTCGGAGAACCCATGGTGTATCCGGCCAAGGGATCCTTGACCCGCCAGTGCTGGAAGAACAGCATATGGTCCATCAGCCCTTGGCCCACCTCGGGTAGGTCGACAACAGGCTCGATGCCAACCTGCTTCAAATCCTCAGCCAGGCCAACGCCCGATAAAAGCAGCAGCTGGGGCGAGCGGAAAGCACCAGCGGACACAATGACCTCCTTGGCCGCAATGGACGTGCCATCCGCCAGCTCCACGCCAGTGGCTCTCACAACGCTGTCACTATTGTCCAGCACAATCTTGGCGACAAGCGTGTTCAACCGCACCTCGACCCCCTCGAGCGCGTACGCGTCAGCCGCCCACTGGCGTTTTCCCTCACGCCTTGCCTCACAGAGATACGCGCGGCCAAGGTTCTGCCCAGCGTTCTGGTCCAGGTTTGGCACGCCAGTCACGCCAAGCTCCTCCCACGCCGCAGCATTCTGCTTGCTGAGGGGGTAGATGCGGTTCGCAGCACCCGATGTCTTGACGTGGATATTGCCATCCTTGCCATGGTGCTCCGGGTTCACGTCGTCAAAGGACCTCTCCGACTTTCGAAAGTACGGCAGCTGTCCCTTGTAGCTATACCGCTCGTCGCCCACGAGCGCAGCCCACTCGTCATAGTCGGCGGCGGCACCGCGCTGCCAGCCACAGGAGTTGATGGCCGAACTGCCACCGAGTCCCTTGCCCGCGTTCAGCGTGACAGTGCGACCGCCAAGATGCGACACGGGTTCTGACTCATAGGCCCAGTCGAGGTCGCCGCCCAGGTTCAGGACCTGGGGCTCGCGCACCTCTGGACGGTCGCGCGTCTCCCCGCCGGCTTCGAGGAGGAGGATTTTGGCTTCCGGGTCGTATTCGTGAAGACGACTTGCGAGGACGCAGCCCGAGAGGCCACCTCCGACAATGGCAAAGTCGTATACTGAGGACGCCATTGTGGTGTGTGTGAAGGGTGGGAGAGGATGAAGCGAGGGCCAGACATTGCGGAGACTGGAGGCTTCATACTCGACAGGCGACGTGCGATATGAATAGACTGCAGTGTAGGCGGGGCTGCAGGTCGCTTCGGTCGACCGCGTCAAGTCGTTGGGGTCCAATCCTTCGTGACTGCATGTGGTGTGCCCATGATCACCACATACCCCTCACGAGTGAATTCGGTCAGCATGTACATGTAGGTCGCGAGGGGTGCTGGCATGAACGCAACGCTCAAATGAACACTTTCTCAAATGCATCGCCCACGCCATGCTCGTCGAGCCATGCCTTGAGCACACTCATGTCGTTACGGTTTCCCCGGGCGCCTCGTCTCGTGTCGCCAAACTCATCCGTGATCTCCTGCATGTCGTCGAACACGCGGGTCACATCGATACCAGCCTGTCGATACCGCTCGCTCACCTTTTTGTGCTGCGAGGGAATGTCCTTCCAGCTCTCCGTCTTGATAAACTTCATATAGTCATCAATGGCCTGGGACCCGCCCTCCAGACACAGAATCCCCGGTTTCCCAGCCAGGAGAAACCCGGTGAGGCCGTACGAGGGGGCGTGGTGGACAATGTCGTCCCTCTTCACGCGGGTGCTGATCGAGGGGAAGTAGAACCAGATGCGCACCATGCTGGCCTCTGTACTTGTAGGCGTAGCAGACGACGATTCCCTTTGCTGCGCTCGATCAAGGAGGAGCTGTGATGCCGCCTCTTTGGCAAATTCAATGGCGCTCAGAATGTCTTCGTTGGGAATCTCGTCGGTCAACCGCGCGGCTTCGGCTTTGCTCATCCACGTGGATTGGCGAATCCAGACCTTGGCCTTTGGTGGTTCCGTGTCGTCGTCTGCCTGCCCTTCGTCATGTGGGAACACCACAGGGACGGAGATCCCCAGCTGCAGGTCGCGCATCTCGTCGGCTTCGTCGAGACAAAGGTTGAGGAGAACAGATATAGCCGATGCCTCCAGTTCAGGCAGTTTTCCTCCATCGCTCTCACACCAATGCCGCAGCGACTCCAGCAGCTGTTGAGACGCGTCGTCCATATGCAGCTCTTCGTCGGATGCATACATTGCCTTGAGAAGATCGACCTCGCCGATCTGGACCTCCATGAGGTCTCTGGGTAAATATTTTGGCGCCATGATGTGTGATACTGAATTTTGACGGCCCATACTCGTCGGGTTCACCATCTGTTTGCGTCAGGAGTAAATTCGCAGCTGGTGGAAATCCGCTCAAATGAGCCCGGTCACGTGATCCAGCCGCGTCCGAGTCTTCATTCCTCGACGGCGACCGCGAACATGAACGTGAACGTTGCCCAATACATTGATGTACTATTTACACAACCAACATCAAGCGCTCATGCTTCCGATTCGAATGAACACAAGCAGCAAGACTGAATGCCGCCGATGAATAATTATAGAGAAGTCGAATTGTTCCTGACCAAGATGGTCTTTGACCCCAGTGCCGCCACCAGGGGACCGCCGCCGACAAGTAGCCTACTATCCCTGACCGCAACTCCATGGCAGACCGACGTGTACAAGATAACCCTGACCTAGCGAGGAGTTGAAGCATGCGTTGACGCCATAGTCGTTGTGAAAGGGCCTAGCATCGTCCGCACGTGTGCATTGCCGTCATTGGCTCACCAAGATGAACTCACGTGTTTCCTCACACAACGGAAAGCCATCTTCATCGCTGTCCTCCAGCCTCTTTGGGCGAGCGAGGTTCTGGAGCCTCGTGTCCGAGACAAGGCGACTCCAGAAGCGACTTGCAGCCGCCCAGACCCGATCGATAGCTCCCCGTCCCATGACAAGAAGCTTGCGCCATGGACTCGCTTCGTCGACGAACACGGGCTGGAGGTAACGTTCCCCGTTCTTCGGTGTCTGCAACTCCGTATCCGTGGAGAAAACAACTCGAGGCCAACAGCGTGTCGCACTTGCTCCCGCATCTGCACTCGTGACCCCGATCCTGACTGGGAAAAACGCAGCATCCGAGTCACCCTCTGGTCGTTGGCAAAGCGCCTGAATAGCCATGCTGTGGAACGCCATGCGCTGAAACCCCGGAGGAATATCATGGTAGCGTCGGATCAGAGAATTAAGCAGCAGTGCTGCCAAAGCGACCAATCCAAGGGCAATTGCCAGACCAGTCCCTAACAAAGTGAACCCTCTGGCCGAATAGTCGCTCATGCGAAGACGCTGGCCGTCGGGTCCCGCGCTGAAGGCACTGGATTGAACCAGGAAGATGCTCTGGGATATGAGCCAGTGCAGGAGTATGGAGACTGTCATCAGGGGTACCGAGTACCTGAACGGCAAGGAGAGAAAATGAGATGACCGCTGCATCCCCATGGGCGACGATACGCGCAAAGCCTTCTTGCCATCCTTGCGAAGGAACCGCACCCATTCATCAGCAACCAGCTGGCGTGTGAGAATGCCGTTGTAGAATATGTAAAGGAAGCTGACCATGACCTGCGGGCTGTTGGCAATCAGTATGTTGGCCAGCAGTGCCGTGGTCCCTGAGCGATCGATGCCCGACAAGGAGCCGGGGAGGTCGCTAGCGATCATCGTTGGGCTTACGCCGAAGCCGTCCTTCCATACTCCTGCGAGACTCGTGTCAAGCCCAGCGGCCTTCCGACCGTCAACCGACATCCAGAAGACGTACGAGCAGACAGTCACGCCTGTAGCAAAGCTGTTGTCTTGATGAGCACTTCTCTCACAGAAAGGCTTGAAAGATTTGGACCAGAATCACTTACAGCACGAGTGAAGTCACCCAGAAAGCAGGGCTGATGGCTTTGAACCACGGGATGCGAGCATGAGTACGCCATGTCGCGACGGTCAACTCGACACTTCGCTGTCTAGGGTGTCCTGCCGTTACGTCTTCTACGGCCTGTTTGCTTGGCGTATCTGGAGTGTCAAGGAAGCTCTGAATCGCGTCTCCTGTAGTGATCAAGGCCTGCGTGTATCGCCCCCTTTTCGCTTGGCTAGTGTGATGAAATACAGTCCAGCACACTAGCAAGGTCTCCAAAAGGGTGCAGATGCACACAGTAATCGCAACCTGTGTGCTATAATGGAGGCCGCACCTTTTCGTGTTGTCGGCTCCCTCTCCCACCAGGCAATGATCAACCAGGATTCCCCTCTGCTGCCCCAACGTCCACTGGTCGACAAATGTCTTTGCGAAATCCCAGTTGCAGTATCGCCATATCTCCGGCTGATAGGCCTGGCAGATCCAGGAGTTGGACCACTCCCATCCCAGCCATCCAAGTATCCCACCGTCTATCAGCGAGGAACCGTTGTTCTGCGCTGTGGTCACATTCCGGGCCACCACGATGAGCGGACTGGTGGGTTCCCTCGGGTCAACGTAGCGTCGCACGCACGATTCAACGTCGATACGAGTAAAGTTCGCGGCGGCAGATTGCAGGGTGTAAATCATCGACTTCTGCTCTTCCTCATAGCCAGGCATACGACCCCACCAGGAGGAAAAGTGAGCTAGAGGATCGGAAACTGTCCAGTTGTATGCTGCTGTCTGGAAGTCGGCCGTGGCTATAGTGACGGGGATGACTGCGATTGGTAATGACGTGAAGATGAACGAGTTCCAGCTATGAATTTGGTCCATGTTAGCCTGTGCTCATTGGAGCACCTTGGTATAGTGGTTCCTTCGGACTCGACTCACAAGACATGCAAGAGTGTCGCAATAGCCCCAATCATGACCCACGCGACCGCCCGCTTTGGTTTGATTCTCACCAGGTTTTTGAGACTGGGCACTCCTACCTCCATGGCCTTTCCTTTGCGGTGCGCAGAATCCAGTTCCTGACGAGATGGAGCCACGAGGATTTGCATGCAGTAGTGCCCGACTCCTAGGAAGAGGGACGACACAATGTTGAGAGCCACATGAACCGCTCGATCAGTCGTGTCGATACTGGAACAGTCGCCCCAGAAGAAGGTCCCGGTGCCTCGCTCGTCTGGGGGAAATGCCAGGACGGCCCACACCGTGACTGCCAGTTGAGTCCCAAGTATCACCGCGGCAACTATGATCTGCACCCTGAGCATCTTGATAATCTTGCCCATGCGACCCTTCATGTCCCGAGGGCGCAGCTTCTCCTGCTCAAAATCCGGGACAAACTGGGACAAGTAGTCGGCGTTTGCATAGCGATCAGTTCTGCTAGTCCTTGTCAGTATCGACATCTTGAATGATGACTGTCAGGGCCATGGCTGTCTCGACAGTTTGTGATTTTACCTACCTGTTGGTTGCAGGTACAGAGGTCTGGAGCAACCGTCTGTTCTCGCCCTCTTCCTCGCCGGGGTCTTTATTCGGATTGAGTCGATCGCGGGCCCTCTCACCTTCGAGGGACATTGTTGACGAGATGGTGGGCGTCTCTCCTGCGTGGCAACGGACTCGAGCGTCTTGCCAACGAGAAGCTGGTGGTCGAGGTTCCCGTCAACACTGTATGTAGAAACAGCAGAATATTTGCCGGGCCAGCTACCTACGGTACAGGGAGCTTCTTCACGTACGCAGTGCCGGCGCATCAGGTCGGCGAGTACACGTGCACTAGGTCGGCGAGCTCATGCTGTCTGTGACCACATGCATGGCGTGGCTGGGGCGACGAAGCGAGGCGAGAGAGGTTATGATTAGCACCAAGGCTAGTCATGTGCAGTTGTGCCAAATCAACGTGAGGTTCTCCATTGCAACGATTCAAGAAGCAAGGATTCTCTGTGCTGTGAGCCTGTGAGCCTGTGCTGCCTGTTCATCGGCCAGGGTAAGATGCATGTTGGGTGGGGAGTAGCAGGGACCCCTGAGCCCATCATATGACACTGCAGCTACGGGCTCTGCTTGAATTGGCAGCAGATACCGAGATATAAATAAGCAATAATGGCAGTGTTGCAGCAAAATGCCTCTTTGTGCCTCGAGGCCCTGCTCGAGAGGCTGACGCTCTAGCGGAAGTCGATAAAGTACGGTCTTGGGTCGATCAAAAGAAAATTGCCGCAACTCCCAGCCACCTAGTGTCATTCGTAAGACGCGTTGTATGTACTCCGTATGGTCGTATGACACATGCAGCTGCAGCTTTCCTCCTGTTGTTGAAGGCGTACATCTAACACAGCTTGAGCACCAAGGTAATTGGGATGTCGCCTACACATACATGTAGTCTCATAGACATTCAACTTGACAGATTCGCTGCGCCGGACACCAAGATTACATTTGAGACCTTTTGTGTCAGATGTAATCCTCATCTTTCCGCAGTCTTTGTTCTTCTCGCCTTCGGCCTGCCTTTCCAGCCTCAGATATTAAACCACATCCTGACGAATCTCAAAACGCGGCCGTACTCAATATCCATATACTGCCTCCACGGACTAGCAATGACATGGACCGCAGTACAATCCAAGTCGTAAGCGATTGACCCTTCTCTGTCGATCGAGTTCCATGTTAACGGTGTGTGACCAAGCAAGAGGGCCCCAATGCAGAGGGTAGCGAGCGCAGCCACAGCTCCTGATATGACAGGACCCCCCACCTCATCATTGAAGTAGACCAAATCGCCGAAAGCCGATCTTTCGGGATGCCGGTCAGGACGGAGAATGGCATAAGTCCTTGTGACGGCGGTGATCAGTGGGACAGCCACAAACGTAAACGTCGAGAAGAAGAATAAAAGTGCAAGCATGATGTTTGCAACGTCGTATTGGGCAAAGAAATTCGGGGATTCAGGCTCCATAAACCAACCGTTCCACCCAGGATTGCTCAATAACCACGGGATTGAACAGAGCTGGTCCGGAGTGCACGACGACTGCCCCGGTGCAGAAGCCACTTGTGACTGGACGCAGTCATATCTCTGCGCAAAGTCGATTCTTGGGGGAAAGAATTCTTCCCAGTAGCGGCTCAGGAGGTAACAGCTGATAATCCACTGGACGACAGTTGTAGTCCACAGGATCCCAGACAGGACCTTGTGCCACCTCGAGTCCTCTTTGAATATGCAAGAGAATGGATGATATCGCATTTTGTATGCCAACGTCCAAACGGAGATCCATCCAATGACGGAGACAAAGGCCTGATATTCTGGCCTGGTACACCAGCGGATGAAATCCACCCACCAGTACACTGTGGCGCCGATGGTGTAGACAGCCGGTCCCCAGTCCTTGATGCTTATTCCCTTGCATGCTGACCGAGACTGCCGTGACTGTGAGCCTATCCAGGTGCGAGCAGCCCATGCTCCGACGATTGCTTGGATATTGCATTGGAACCACGTCTTCAGACTGGGGAGCTGTAGAGCTGACGGACGCAGAGTTGTCGGAAGCACCTTGAAGTCCTTCAGGCAGCTGACCATTTCGCACCATGTATATGTAGGATGATCAGCAGTGTTGTTTCGATAGTCGTGAAACACCATATCCATCAAGAAGTGATTCTGTTCATCTCCCTCGGTGGACGTATCGATCGCATTCCCCTGCAGCAAGGTGCAGTCCACGCTTTCAGGTGTGGTATTGACGCATTCGTGGAAGCGGGAGTTTTTGTAAAGGGCGAAATCGGGACTTCTCTCGTCGATGCTGGCCTCGGTGGTGTAGACCATGGCTATTCCTATGGCGAAGATGCCCACTTGGAAGAGCGTGAGCAGCACGACCAAGATCCATCCGAGGATGGTGCCGCCCCAAGCCTCGAACCAGGCCGGCGAATGCTTGATAGATGCAGCTTCTAGCTTGTAGGCGATGTCTGGGTGCTTGCAGATCCGAGCTGGGCCTGGTGACCTGCGGTCACTGGAGGGCCAGTACTCCATTGATACCGAGTCATATTGTTGTCTCATGGTTCTTGTTGGCTGTTGCACGCCGTTAATGTCATGATGCGAGCACAGTGGTGCAATTTGAGTTTTCAAGAGGTGTCGAGAGACGTGTAAAGCAGCGCACGCTTATCAAATGAAGATGTGATATTCGAGGAGCTGCTGCTTCGAGTGAAACTATTAGGATGATGCTTATCCGGGAACGAAATTTGACGGAGCTGGGGAATCGGTCCATCTGAAATATATTCCTGGATACGTAGGGCTGATCTTCTCAGCCTCTCAGCCTCTCTCAGCATTTCCATCTACAAGTAGACAGAGAACGAGTATCTCTTGGCGCGAGGCAGAAGTGCATGTCTAGCCTTTAATTGTTCGGCGAGGTGCATTTAGCTGGGCCAATAAGCCAATGGGGCATTATAATTTGCATTGATGTGACAAGAATCCTTCTGCTTCGTTCCAGCTGGTGGATGCAGCCAGGGATCACGGAAATGGACATCCCAGACCGCTGTCATTCGATGTAAATTGTTTAGCTATCCTCGCCCTAACCACAATCACATGTCGCCTGCATCCGGGCCCTGCATATGCCTAAAACGGCAAATGCTGCGCCATTGCTGCCGCAATATCTAAAGTACTACGCCGTGGCCAGCTCCGTGTTCCTGGTGGCTTCATGCCGTCTTCAATTGGCTGTTAGCCTGCGTTCCTCACTCTGCTCATCCTGCTTCCCAACCACTATTGCACGAGCCATGCTACCTGGGCTGCCGCTCAGAAAGCCTCGAAGCCGTGCAAAGGCCGGGCCGGCTTTCGTGTTCGTGGATACTGGCGGCGTTCCATCGACTGGGCTTGGAAAGAATGAGGCAAAGACAATCGTCCGGCGGCAGGCTGCAAGATCGGGCCGTACCCGTCGCCAAGATCAAACCGCGAGTCAGGAAACCACCGGCACCCTGCCGAATTCTCAAGAGCTGATCCCCAAAAGAGGCAACGCTCGAGGCACACCTGGGGCTGCCAAAGGGAGGGACGGCATGTGGAGGAAGACCCTGCGTGACACTGACGTCCCAAGTCTTGGTCCTATCATGACACAGCCCGTGTCCAGTGAATACGAGACGTTCAGGGTCAAGTATAATTTCGATGTGACGGATCTGACCAGTTTCACGGACGTGGACCTTGCCACAAATGCGTGCCGTCTGCTGCGAGACGAACCACATCGCCTCGCCAGCCTCCTCCAGAAACGGCACTCATCATTCTTGGCCGAGCTGCCAAGCCGTTACGGCTCCTCTAGCACCTGTCTGGACGATGCTATGCATTGTGTTGCTGCAAAGGCGGGCCAGATGCTTGGCTTCCCGATGGCCAAATCTACGCCCTCTGTTCTCTATGGAAAGGCATTGAGAAGCCTACAAGCTGCCCTCTGGGACGGTGAGGAATGCACAAGGTCGGATGTCTACTGCGTCACCCGACTTTTGGTACTTTACGAGGTGAGAAGGCCCTATTTCGGCTTCAGACAAGGAAATGGTCTAATGGTGCCGTCATGCAGTTGATCGGTCCCCCTGATATTACTCGCCTAGCCCATCACCACAGAGGTGGTATTAAGCTAGTTGAGCTCCGAGGTCCTGGATGCTACACGTCCAAATTCGACTGGATGCTTCTCAAAAGCCAAGGGCCACCCATTGTTGGTTCCTCCTGCGCGGTGTCGCCCTTCCAGCCAAGCTAATCGTCTCATAGATAGTAGAGGAAATGCACAGGAAGGAATCGTCAATGTTTGCGACCCAACAGTGGCAGAGCGCCTTTCGGCGCGCCTCTGATCTCCAATCGGACACAGACTGCCGGCTGTGGTGGAAGCTCTTTGGAACAACTGCCTTCCTTCCTGGGATCCTGAAAGATCTACGAAGCCTCCTCGAAGAGACGCCACATCGATGCGACTACTCTTCAAGGAGTTCAGCTATTTATGAGCGGGCAAAGAGTATGCGCGACGCGCTGCACAATGACCACGTTATGTATCAGCATGCAGCACCACACCCGCAGTCACTCTTCGGCCTCCCGACCTCAGCTGAGTCACCAGATCGCATCAGGCTTCGCGTGTTCTTTCTTTATACGATGATGTATGTATGCCGTGTCTTGGCGACTCTCTCGCCGAGCGAGCTGGAGAGGGCCACGAGTGAGGTGGAAGCACAGACTTTCGCAAGTCAGGCGTTGCTCATCGAGGAGGTGACAACCGAGCTGGATCCAGCAATGGCCTGGCATATGCAGCAGAGGAACAGCTTATCATACTCTATCACGCAGCAGAAAGAAGAGTGGTTCGGCGATAATGAACATGGATTGACTGGGGATCAATTGGAACGCTTTCTTGCCGAAAGGTGGCTGAAGTGGGAGAATTCATGGAGAGCTCGAGTCTTGGCGGAAGAATTCAAAGACGACATTATTTGAGTGACATGCTTCCATGTCTTCTTGCTCATGGATGCTACCGGTTATAATTGAGTAATCTCGCTCGTGTTCAATACTCAATTTGAAGTTGTGTGCTGGACAAACATCTGTTCACTTGCGAACTCAAAGGCCCCTCCCATCACGCTGCCTCGAGCGGTTGATTACGATGGATCATGGGCAGAGGCTGAGGGTTAACATTCAGTAAATGCAGCATGAGTGACGAAAAATGGCGAGCAGTCGTTGACGGCGCAAATCAATGGAAGTAGACGGCTGAATTAGCGACAGCCGGGCCGGAAGCCACGAGGTTGGCAGCGCCGGCTAATCCGTGCCGGCATGGTCATCATGAGGCGCCGTGATACCCGTATTGTTGGCTTATGTGCATGGTCTCGGACTGCTGGACTCCGACTAAATGTCCGCGAGGAGTCCGGGGGCTAATATAAGTCAGATCAAACTCGAAGAGCGACTGACATTTTATTAGATATCTTCTCTACCACGCTCACGCTCACTGACAGTATTCGCCATGTCCAACCTCAGAGTCCTTGTGGTGGGCGCGTCCATCGCCGGACCGTCCACGGCCTACTGGCTCGCCAAAGCAGGCGCCAAAGTCACGGTTATCGAGCGTTTCCCCGAATTAAGAAAGGGGGGGCAGGCCATTGACATCCGGACCGTCGGCGTCACGACGATGAGGAAGATGGGCGATATGGAAGCCCAGGTACAAGCCAACAAGGCGCCCATCGAGGGCCTTGCATTCGTCCGAGAAAACGGGCGCCCATATGGTGTGATCGGTTCCACGGGCGACTCCGACCAGCAGTCGCTTCTTTCAGAATATGAGATCTTCCGAGGCGACTTGTCTCGGATACTCTACGACAAGACCAACGACAACCCCAACATCAGCTACGTCTTTGGCGAGCAGATTGCCTCACTGCAGCACGATGAGAAGAACAATGGCCCCATCAAGGTCGGATTCGCAAACAGGCTTCCGCCCGCAGAGTACGATCTCGTTGTTGCGTGCGATGGCGCAACGTCCCGGACCAGAGCCTTGGGACTTGGGATAGGTCTGCGAGACCACACACGACGCCTTAACATCTGGGCCGCCTACTTCTCCACCAAGCATGATTATGTCGACGGATCAAAGATTGGACACGCATACAATGCTGCTCCTGGGAAGGTTGTTGCGGTGCAGACAGCCCCCGAACATGAAGGCGGCAATCGGGTTGTCGTGATGCGCATGTTTCCTCGGGACGGCAAGGATCATACCTTGCCCTTTCGGGACGCGCAGCAAGCAGGAGATGAAGTATTGAAGAAACATGTCAGGGAGGAACTTGACGGTATGGGCTGGATTGTGCCTCAGTTGATGCGCGAGGACATGGACGCCGCAGACGACTTTTACGCCAGCGAGTGGATTCAGGTGAACCCTCCCACGCTTTCCAAAGGCCGGTTCACCATGGTCGGCGACGCAGGCTATGGAGGCGCACCAGGCGCGGGCACATCTCTTGCCCTGGCCGGAGGATATGTGCTGGCTGGCGAGCTCTCACAAAGCAGAGGCGACGTCGCTGCTGGTCTCAAGGCGTACGAAGACAGGATCAGACCGATTTTCGAGGATATGCACAAGTTACCGCCTGGTGGCGTTTCATTCATGGCACCTCAAACGAAGTGGGGGCTGGCTTTGAGGAACTTCTTCTTTGCTTTCCTGGCTCGGAGTGGGTTGATTACTTTTATGCAAAAGGTTTGGGGGCGGTTCGAGGGAGCCTTTGCGAGCAGTGACAAGTACCCGCTGCCAGACTACAAGTTTGATGGCCGGCTGTGAGGTTGGCTGGAAGGGGTTATTCCCCTGATCTTCATGTGGCCTTGCTGCTCCATGGAAATTAGTGTTTTGAATAGTTGTATTTGTTCAAAAAGAGCCTCTCATCTTCAGACATACGTTGCCCTTTACTTTGGCAGAAAAGCTCGTTTTAAAGCCGGTATCACAGCACGAAACTTGAGATCCGTAATTAACAACATTGAAGTCACAGTTATATCAAGGGACCTTGACATCTTACACGCCAGTGCAGTGAGCGCAACACACAGTGGGACGGCACGCGAGCTCGGGACACTCGAAGTTCAAGTGGGCGACACCCATCATCAACTCCATGGCGATTTCCCCTCGTATCGAAACGCGGCCCCAGAGCACGAGAGTCGTAGTCTCATCACGATGCATGCACCTTGATGACACAGGCTTCTGCGTAGAAAAAGGTGCCAGAGCCCATCCTGTCCCCTTACTTTGCATTGCATCTCTGCCGACCACACAGACCAGACTTCGAGAATGGGAACAAGGAAATGGTCCCGATCACGACAGAAACCCTACAGCTCCTTTCAAGATCCCTCAGCTTTGCCTCGGCTCTCCCCAACGGGCCAGATGCAGGTGGTCACCCGCAGCGGATGTCCTATTGCTCGACCCACTCGCCACCTCACTGTCAATGCGAGAAATCAAATTCCTCGCTTACGACATTTGTCCGGAGAAAGCGAGTAACATCCAGCTCAAACCGCTTCAAAGCGAGCAGCAGCCTGGAGAACATGTGGGCAACGCAACTCGGCCCTCGAGCAACGTCGAAGAGTGATCGGGTACGGGGAGGAGGTTGGCTCGGGTGGCTCCGAATAAGCTCAAAAACAACCATAATCAAATTGCTCGCCAAAATTAACGACGCGTCGCTAGCCTCTCGGCAGGAGGCTTGGCTTGCGGTAGCTTGTCAGCCCAAGGCTTGTCATATGGTCGACCTTCCCGAAGCAGCGACTGGTCTCTTTGGGTTATGCGGGGGATTCTTCGACTTCATGTTCGCCGACGGGGGCTTCGCAAGGGGTCCCCGTGCGTCTTCAAGGGACAGACGCGGGTCTTTCTATCCACCAGTGGTTCTTCCGGGTCTCGATTGCGAGACCATCTGGTCCGCCCAGCGAGCTTCCCCATGCGGTGAGCCAATGCTCTTGGCTGATATGCCCCGTCGGTTGGGAGACGACTGCGAGGAACTATTGTCCGGGCGACGGGTTGCGATTCCCGCAACTCTGTACGACTATATGAGGGGAGGCCTGTGTCGGTGAGACGAACATTGGCTCTCCCCACTCTCGCCAGTCTTCTCGTCTACATCACACATAAACACCACCGTCAAGATGCGTTGCTCCATCCCTCTCGTCGCTGCCTTCGCAGCCAGCGCGTCGTGCATGGCTCCGTCCGAGGCCGTGGAGGACCGTGCGGTCAAGATGTACACCCTCGAGACGGCGCCTGGTGAGACCGTTGAGGTGACCGAGGACGAGAAGATCCAGATGATCGACGTAGGTGCTCGCCTTGACTCTGCCATGGGAGCCAATGCTAATATCCACTGCTCAGGACCACATTCACTTCTTCGACATCACCGAGTGGAAGGATCACAAGCCCGTCAACAGCGAGGCCAGACTCATGGCTGCGCGCACCTATCCCAGCTCGGTCAGCCACAAGGCTGCCGTGGAGGACATCATCGCCAAGGTCGACCTCGACAAGGTCAAGAAGCAGCTACAGTGCTTCTCGTCGTTTCACAACCGCTACTTCAACTCGAGGTACGGTGTCGAGGCCGCCGAGTGGCTGTACGAAGAGGTCAAAAAGGTGATCAAGAACAGCGGTCACCCATTCGCCTCGTCACGCCTCATCCAGCACCAGGCATGGTCACAGCCCTCCATTGTGGTGTCGATTCCTGGCCAGGTTCGACTCAAGACCGTCATCACCGGTTCTCACCTTGACTCGGTCATCTCGAATGACCGAGGTGCCGGTCGCGCCCCTGGCGCTGACGACAACGGCTCTGCCTCCATCATGCAGCTCAACATCCTCGCTGCTCTCCTCGAGGACTCCCGCATCTCCGAGGGCGACCACCTCAATACGATTGAGTTCCACTGGTACTCAGCCGAGGAGACTGGCCTCCTGGGCTCGCAGGACCTCTTCAACACATATGCCCGCCTCGGTATCCAGGTTGAGGGCATGCTGAACCAGGACATGGTTGGCTACGCCGGCCGCGACGGCAACGAGCGCTTCGGTCTCATCGTCGACAATATCGACACCACCCAGAACGAGTTCCTCAAGCTCCTCATTGAAGAGTACGCCGACATTGGCTACGAGGAGTCCAACTGCGGCTACGCCTGCTCAGACCATGCCTCGGCCAACCGCAATGGCTTCCCAGCTAGCTTCCTCTTCGAGGCGCCGTTTGGGAACCACAACCCTCACATTCACACTCCCAACGACACCATGGAGTACATCAGCTTCGACCACATCAAGGAGCACGTCAAGGTTACGACTGGGTATCTGTACGAGCTTGCTCACCACAGCTTTGCTTGAACGAGCATGTAGGCTAGTCAGATGAGATAGATGAATATATGAAGTGATGATGCTCAGTTTCGCGCACTTGAAGCATTTTGTCGTTCATGTCGCCTTGGGATATGGGCGTGCGGAACAATGTCGTGCTGGCGATTGTCATTTAAACATCAAATATCTGCGGCCAGCCGAAGCCGGCATCGAAATTTGTCAGAAGACAATACAAGCGCATCTGCGAGCTCCATCGGATATATTTGATGTTTGCAAAGTAAATGCACGAAGGTAGCTCCAGGTCAAGGATGACGGATACGGTTCAGAGTCTTCGTGCGCCGCCTTCTAGGGTAAGTGGAAGGCGCGGACCATTTGTGACTTCATCCCACGTTTTCATTCCAAATTCAGGCCCTCTCTCATGGACCTCTCATCACCAGAACAAAATGCGAACGCGCAAAAGCAATAAGTCAAAATCATTCGTCCTCGATCCTCAGCTTCCCGAGGACGATGACGAGGAAGTCCAGGAGTCAGCTGCAGCAAGTTCCCGCAGCCGACGCCGACGCGCCGATCCTTCAGATCACGATTCCAACTTTGACGAGGACGATGCTGCGAGTGCGCAACAAGATGCGCTCTCTGAGGACGACGACTCAGGCGACGAATCGTCATCCGTTCAGTCCGTCGATGGGGGTGACAGGCCAGCGCTTGTATCAACGCCCGCGAAGAAAAAAATCAAGTCAGGCAACTATGCAAAGTTGAGGACTACCGGCGCAGGCAAGGAGTACTGGCCTCTGGAGCCCATGGCATGGACCATGGATGCGCCAAGAGGCTATGCCGGCACCTTTGAGCGGTACTTCCGAGGCCCTACACTAGTCAAGACCTGGTATGGGCCTGAGGAGGAGATGCTTCGCAAGGCATTCGGTCTACTGGAGAGGTGGCTGCAGTGGCCCCTTCTGCCACCAAGCGCTCCCATCCCAGATGGTGGAAGGAAGGGTGTACGGGAAGATGGAATCTATGAACGCGAGGCAAGCTTTCTCTCAAGGTGGAGGGAGAGCTTGGAGGCCGAGTCTTCCCAGCAGACGACATTTGTTGGCTTGTCTGGCGAGGAAAGCGAGCCTTACCGAATGCACTCTGAAAAGAGTCTACAGATCCTGCTGGGTAATCAATATGACCCGCGAGTGGCGTCAACGAGTTTTGGCACATCTATCAGTATTCAGAGCCATGGGATGCTCATTCCAGAGGAGCAGTTGCACGAGCAGACACCCAGTGGGTGGGTGGTCGATGCGGGTGGTCTGGTGCTGAGCATGGACTGGGCAAGGAGACAGCCTCACGAGACCCAGCTACTGGCTCTGGCCGTCATCCCCAAAGGAGATCAGGAGACCTATGACTACGACCAGGAGTCAGCCAGGCCAGGTTTCCATCAACACGGCACAGTGCAAATCTGGGAGTGCCAAAGCGACGTGACAGAGGGCAGTGTGACAATGTCGCAGCATCAGCCGATTCTGCGGAGAATCATCTGCACTGACAATGGGAGAGCTCGGCGGGTAAAATGGAGTCCGGCGTGCCATCACTTATCCATTTTATGTGGTGATGGATCTGTCCTTGTCATCGATCCCTTGGTAGGCGGCGACACACTCTATCGTAAGTTCAGTGATATGTGCGGGCCGAATAATTACAAACGCTGACACATTCTAGAAAAGGTCGAGCGGCAAATTGCGAGATTCCGCCTAGATGACGATGTTCCAGGCCTGAGTATGACTTGGGTGGGCTTCAACCGTATTGCTATCGGCTACAACGACGGCTCTGTGGCGCTCTGGTCCGTTTACCCCGAGCGACTTCTATCTCGCCATGCTGTCCACCACAGTCCAGTCATCGACGTGGCTTCCGGATACCCCTCGCAACCATACCTTATTGCATCGGTACCCATCGGTGGTATGGTGAGGCTTGTTGACCTGCGAAGGCCAAGCAACGACTTGGCGGAAATCCCCGTGCTTTCTATCAACACCACGCCCAACATTCTAAACTGGAGTGAGCACCTCCAAGGCTACTTCTTCATGAGTCCGTCATCCAGTATCTTCAATTCCGTCATCCAATTCTCGCATTACGCCTCCTTTCCCGTCACGAAACGAGTCTTCACGGGCGACAGCCGCCTGACTTGCCTTGCCATTGGCAAAACGCACCCATTCGCCCTCATAGGGACGACCGATGGGTCGCTTTGGGCCATCAATCCGCAGTTTGAGGTCATGCAGCTCACTAACATCCGCGGCGAGCTCACTGAGCGGATCAAGGTGTTCCAGCATGAACACCGTCCCGCTGAACGGTTCGAGCCGAGCTCACCCGCCTCGCAGCGCGGTGCTTCGAGATTCATGCGCGGCTTCAAGCCCGAAAAGAGCCGGCACGCCGTTTTGGAGACCAAGAAGGGCAAGCTGAAGAACGAGTACGAGGAGGAGGCGGAGGTGGAGGCGGATCATGCCAAGCAGCGTACTGCCAAGGTATCGACGCAGGACCGGTCCAAGGTTGTCATCCACGAGCCCTTGACCCGCGTCACAGCGATAGAGTGGAACCCAAACGAAGGATGTGGTTGTTGGGCTGCCGTGGCCGTGGGCTCGGGATTGGTTCAGATACTCGACTTGGGGTTGGACAAAAAGTGATCAGTCGAGCACACACATCGAACCAAGACCGGTATGGTGGTAGTCGAACGCCTTGCCCATGCCGTACAGGTGCGTACCTGCTGCGAGCAGCACACAGAGGTGGAAGATCTGATGCGAACTGCCCCAGATGTCGAAGCGGCCGGCCGGTCCAATTCTTTCGGGAAATCGAGAGGCGTAGAGGACAGCGCCGAAGATGTACGTCGCTCCATGGAGGATGACGAGGCTGATACTCATTCGATCCTCGAGACCAGAGTAACCGAAGATGGTGACGCCATGGGCCACGGGAATGATGCCAGAGAGGCCAAGCGCGATGAACATGGCAGCGCGGTAAGGACGCCACGCCGAAGTGCGGAATCTGTCCACCCAGGAGACAAGAGCGCAGCCAGTTCCGAGGGTGAAAATCTGATCATTCGTTAGCTTGCAGATACAACAGCGATATCGGGAATTTTCTTACCAGACCCAGGTAGAACCTCATGAGTAACGGCTCACAGAAAAAGCCATAGTACAGTGCTGGGACGTAGCTGCCAACAATCAATAAGACGATACCCGTGTAATCAAGCTTGTTGCCCCATTTCGCGTGGTCCTGGCTGTGACTGAGTAGGGCGTGAAAGGTCGCGCTCATGCCCAAGCAGAGAAACGCGCCGGTGAAGAAACAGCCGAAAGCAATAACGTCTTGCTGGTTCGCACTCTCGTAGCGCGGCTTGATCTGCGTGTAGAGGTACGTCGAGGACAAGACCGCAATGACGGCGCCCAACAGGTGCGACCAGATGTTGACGCTCTCGTTGTGAAGATGCGTCAAGGAAAGGAACGTATGGTGGTAAGAGGGTTTGTCTATGCGATAGCCAGTGGTGATGTAGTGATTATCGCGGCGCCAGTGGTCGATGGCATCCCAGCTGAGGAGGGCGCTCTGGATGGTTGGCTTGGTGGAAGGCGCTGGAGGGGCGGGCGTTGAGGGGTCAACATGGCGTTGGCGAAGGGTGCTCTGGTCGCCCATTGTGTGCAATGTGTTTGTGGTGGTTATAATGGCATGTTTCGGGTGTGATAGACGGGGTCAGTGGCCTTTTCAAATGTCGCTGATGATGTTGAGAGGTTGTGGTGGATCATCGATTTGTTGAGACCGGCAGTACGTGCACATGTCGACGTGCCCGGTCCGAGGCATCAGCGGCACCTTTGCGCCTGTGACATGTCGCAACAAGACCTTTAATGCAACTTTGGTCGATCAGATTAGGTACGAAAGAAGATACAATTGATTGCCGTGCAAAAACGGACTTTCAGCATCTCCGGGTGGCGCTCATCGAGTGCCTGTTCAGTGACGCTAAGTTGGTGTCACTATCACAAACCTTGAGGCTGCGATAGTCGCTGCAGACTTCAGCTGTTCGATATGCGATTCTGTCTTCAACGTTGGGTATCACGAGCAGAGAAGAATGGTCAGCCTTGAAATCATGCTTTCGTGTAGGTCGTCAATTCGTCGCAGCGATATCTACGCCCAAACACCGTGGCTCCCGATGGCTGCCAGCCGTTCCTTGTCGCCTCCCATCCCAGATCAGTCGTCTATTTCTTGCCGCTCTTCTTGATGCCCTGGTTGCCGGTGTTCATCGGTCCCTTGCCACCCGCTTTGGCCGCCAGCTCCTTGCGTGCCTTCTCGTCTATTCTGGTCAGCTGTCAGTCGCTACCGCGATTCGAAGGTTCGTACCGGCGCGCTTCTTCTCGAGATACGCAAGGTCATCCTCGTCGAGGTCCTTGTTCTGCTTCTTCGCAGCCTTCAAGGGCTTGGCCTTGCCGCCTGTTGAACGAGGGGTTAGTCGCACATTGTAGGATCGCTGAACAGGTCGTGCGTACCTTCTCGATTGGCACCACCCATTATGGAAATATGAGGTATTCGGAGGAGGGTAATGGAATTCAGAAGACTGACGGTCGCAATGCGCTGGCGAAAATAAAATTGGCCATCAGGCGCTGCGACCTTCTCGAGCAAAGCGGGATGAAGGGTCCAGGCTGCTGACATAAATAAGTGGGTCTGATAGTCCCACCTCTGCAATCGGCGCCGGCAACCGCCGTCTGGGATGAACTTGAGTTCCACCGTGGTCATCATCGCATGCTTCAGGCCTGCATCTGCAACGCCATCAGCACTGTCTAACCTGACCAGAATCTGCCCTTTTCCAAATTGTCTGCTTGATCTGAGCGCCTATCAGTCATCGAGTCGCACACGTGCAACTGTCATGTCCTGAGCAGTCCACGCTGATCTGGTTCGACACTATTCCATTACACACTCTGTTCAAGGCCTTCTTGCTGACCTTCCATCTCTGCACTCTCAAGATCCCTCGTGGATCTAGATCCAGCTGCACAAACTGTACGCCCACGCACAGCTACAACACAATTGCTCGCCATCATGGCGTTGAGCTCGGACGAAGGCGAAATCTCCGATGCGCCCCATGATTTGAAGGCATCTTCACTGCAGCGCGCTGCTAGAGAAACCGGTGTTGACCGAAGAGACAGACATCGCGATACATCGCCTGAAAATGACACGGCCTCGCGGCACAGCGCCTCCTCGCGACGGAGTCGATCGCCCAGGGGTTACAAGCGGTCACGCGATGACAGGGAATACAACGGGCGCAGAGGAGGCTACGATGATCGTGGGGGAGATCGATATCACCGCCCTAGAGTCTCATACGACGACCTCGACGACGACCGTAACCAGAGTCGTGAGCGGGATCGCGTCCGCGACCGGTACCCCGACAAGAGACAGCGCAATCGCAGCCGCACACCCGATCGAGACCGTCGAGCTGGTAACAAAAGACTTGACCGCTTCGTGAGGGGAAGTTCTGCGGACAGGTATCACGGCTCGAATGGGGGGCTGAGATACGATGACGATCGCAAGGACGACCGTCATCGTCCACGAGAACGGAGAGCTTCCGGCACGACGAGAACGTCAGACCGAGACGATACGCGTGACGCCAGGCCATTGAAAGGTGCTGCTCAAGCGGTTGATGAGGGTATCCCGACGGAAACACGAAAGGAGTCAGAACCTGAGCCAGACTATGCAGAGCCCGAGCCGGTTGACGAAGAAGCAGAGATCGAGCGAAGACGGAAGCGGCGGGAAGAGATTCTGGCCAAGTCAAGCTCGGCAACGCCCCTTCTGCTGCATGCTGTAGGTGCTGGAGATAAAGTCCGCGGCAGCTCACCAGCTCTGAATGCAGCGTCTGGCTCGCAGATGGACGTTGACTCGCCTCAGACACCACGGACGCCGGTCTCTAATCACGGGTCTCCTCTCTCCCCAGCTTCTCGGGATGAGCCATCTCCTGGCGGAATTGACCTCTCCAATGAGAGCAACCTCATGAACAAGCACAACGTCAAAGACAAGGAAGAGGATGGACCATCGGCTGCTGACTACGATCCAACAGTGGACATGAAAGAGGATGAGCGCCGAGATGAGCTTCGTCACGGCCAGGTCGTCCTTCACGGTGAAGTGCATCAAGTCGTCGAGACGACCGAGCAGGAGCAGACAGAGCCACAGAAGACCAGCAGCAACAAGGTTGGAAACGACGAAGACGACGACGATTTCGACATGTTTGCCGAAGACTTTGACGAGGACAAGTACGCCACCACGGCAGCACCCAAAGCGGCACCCCTCGAAAGCGCTGATGCTGGCGACGAGCCCAAGGGTGGCATTCTTGAAGGCGACGACAAGGACGGCTACTACAAGATGCGTGTGGGCGAGATCCTCAGCGGACGCTACCAGGTGCAGGCAACACTGGGCAAGGGCATGTTCTCCAATGTGTTGCGAGCTGTCGACATTACCACCAAAAAGCTCGTCGCAATCAAAGTGATGCGTAACAACGATGCCCTACGTAAGGGTGGCTATACCGAGATTGCAATCCTCGAGAAACTCAACAGTGCAGATCCGGAGGACCGCAAGCACATCATCAAGTTCGAGCGGCACTTTGATTACCGGGGTCACTTGTGCATGGTGTTTGAGAACCTGAGCCTGAACCTACGCGAGGTGCTACGCAAGTTTGGCAACAACGTCGGCATCAACCTCGGTGCAACGCGGACGTATGCGTACCAGATCTTTGTGTCCCTCGCACACATGCGCAAGTGCAGTATTGTACACGCCGACCTCAAGCCTGACAACATCCTGGTCAACGAAGGTCACAATGTGCTCAAAATCTGCGACTTGGGAACAGCCATTGACAAGACCGATGCGGCGACTGCGCAGACAAGCATCACACCATACCTGGTCAGTCGATTTTACCGCGCACCCGAGATCATCCTGGGCATGCCCTACGACTACGGAGTTGACATGTGGTCCATCGGCTGCACCCTGTACGAGTTGTACACGGGCAAGATTCTGTTTGCGGGCGACAGCAACAACCAGATGCTCAAGGCCATCATGGATGTGCGTGGCCGGATTACGCCCAAACTCTACAAGCGGGGCCAGCTGTCAGCCCAGCACTTTGACGAAGCTGGACAATTCATCAGCATTGAGCGCGATCGCGTTCTCGGAAAGGTATGTTTCGCTCTTTATTGATCCTGCACTTCCTGCCCCTATCCGTTTCAGGCGTTGCGCTTTTTCTGGTCTTGTGCCGCATGTGCCGTCGCCGAGCAATGCGTTTTGGCGCCCTGTTCATGCCAGGCATCCAACGGCGCCTTGGCCTTGGGCCCAGGATCACTATGAGTTGGCAGGGGGGCGGACGGCTTCGTCGCAATCCTTCCTGGCCATGTGATTCTGTGAGCCGTTGCCTGGCCATTCGGAATGTTGGCCCATGCATCCCTTTCTTACTGACGCTTATGCGAGGCTTGTTTGGTCGCGGATCCTATTGCATTCAAACCCCAGTCCAGATCCATCTGAATGAGAAGGAACGGTCTGCTGACACGATCATTTAGACGAATGTGAAGACTCTGTCCATGGCCAAGCCTTCCCGCGACTTACGGACGCGGCTGATGGCTGCATCGACTGGCATGGCCGAGGGCGAGACGCGAGAGCTCCATCAGTTTATCAATTTGCTAGAGCAGTGCCTGGCGCTGAATCCTGACAAGAGGCTGAAGCCAGCTGATGCGCTACGACATCCATTTTTCACAACGTCGGTCAGGGGTAGCAGCGGCAGGAAGTAGACAAGGCAGAGACGGGCGGACGGGCGCTGCGGGCTGGCGAGGGGTGAATGAGCACATTGCAGGAGACGCACGGGTTGATAGATGTCCAGGCCAACATGGCGCCGCTGGAGTGTGCATGCGTGGTGTTACATCGGGAATACTACTTGGATATATGCTTCTACGTAGGACTATTCTCTATTGTGCCGCATGCGCTGTCGTTTGTTAAGTGGTGGGACGGTCTAGTCTTCCCGCTCCGCTGGTCTAGACAAGGCGGGAAGAGGCGTTCCCTATGTCACGCCATGATCTTCAGACCACGGCATTATGAATGTGGCGTGGCCGGCCAGCCACTGCATATGGTATGACAGTCACACGCGCTTTCAACCGTGTCACAGTGTGTGACTGCCTCTTCTGTCTGAGCGCATAGCCGCCACATGTCGGTGGCCGCGATGCTGTGGGAGCCTCCGATGGGAAGTACGTATCCAGCGGGCTGGAGCGTTGGCTCTGTTCTCAACTGACATGACACTTCTGTTGGTTCGTACGTATATGCAAGTCATGAGCCAGCGGGACGGTTGGCTACGTACGCACAGACTCGCAGTGAGTGGCTCGGGAATGATGAGTGGAGAGCATCTGTCCAGCTCCTATTCTAGGGATGCGCAGCGCAGAGCCTCAATAACGACGTGGACGCCTACAGGCTCCAAGTATAGCAACAAAGCTAGACTAGCGTAGGTCGCAGATGGGGAGGCCGGGTGGCAGCGCTTAACCGGTACAAAGAAGGGAGCAGGGTGGTCTGTTTTGTTGTTGTTTGTGTCGCGCGTCCCGTGCCTCACGAATGGTCTTGGCCTCTTGGGTGTCTTGATGCAAAAAGAGGGTTCCGTGTCTGAGTCGTCGTCTGCCTGGCCCGTCTGTCTGTCTGTCAGTTCCAATCTCAGAGTCTCGGGTCACCAGAGCCTGACATCATGCCGTGCCTCTTCGCAATTGGCAGGTCCCGCATCTGCAGCTATGTTGACGGTTGACCTGCCAGTGGCAATAGGGACACGTTGTCCGTAGGCAAGGGAGGCAGAAGACTTGATAGAAGGTTCTAGGGTGGTGGAGCCCCAGGGTCCTTGGCGGTTCGCGTCACACATTCGTTCACCTTTGACAGGACAGCCTCCCTTGGAATCTGGAAACAGGTCTCGTGACGGTGTGTCGCGCGGGACCCCTATTCATTGACTCACTCTGTGCTGGCAGGTCTCAGCCAGATCATGATGCGCACTTCGTACTTACACGGCTGTGGCTGTGGATCTCAACAAGACTCGGCTAAGCCAACATCATGTGCTAGACTGTTGCACTATCGATTCTTTCCCTTCGAATCGGGTGCGAGGCAACCAGGCAATAGTTCACGGGAAGGATGCTTTCAACTCTGGTACGCCAAGACCCGTCTAGAGAAGGCTGGGAGCGCATGGCATGTGCGCAATTATTGGGGCATCCTTCGACCCAACCAACCAAAGACCAAGGATCGCCGCCCAAGAGCGCCGCTGGCGGTCGCGGAAAGGGACTATCGGTTGGCGATAGACACCAATGAATCGTGTTGCTATGAGCGAGGTTGATCATCTCGATCGTGATGGTGCTTCTAGGCGCAGCTACCTGCAATGCAGATCGCAGAGTATAGCCGATATTGAAGTTGGGGAGGACCAAGGTCGCAAGTCGTAAGGCGAATTTTGGCTGATCTAGAACTTGAATGACCTTGTTAAGCGCTTGCACTGAGTACTTAGTACGTATTTGTTTGAACGTGTAGTGCTGTCCGACAAAAGGTTGTCGACAGTACATCCTCTGCCAGCTACAGCAACACACTTTTGTACCACAAAGTGCTATCATATCACCTCGCGTCAAAGAGTGCAAACACATAATACTATTACAGACCATACAGAGAGGTGAAATAGTAATTTTGATAAAAATGGCCTGAAGCATCGCCGTGATCTGGAAAACGATACACAGTGTAGGGTAAGCTGATATTACTGACGGCTTCGATGTGTCGTCTAGTAGCATGATTGGACAGAGTAGTAAGCATCCTCCCAGCCAGACGGCGTCGAATCAGGAGGTGCAGCAGGCATCCTCGTCCAATATGCAGGGAGACGCTGCACCGTTGGCCTGTTTGTGCAAAGATGGCTGAATGATGACGCCCGGTTAAGGAAAACAACAAAGCGATTCATCACTCAACATGAACGTTGGCACATCTCTCTGTTCAGGGGGTGCACTCCAGCTGCTTCAGACGGGTCGGGAGTCAAACAGCCAAAGTGCCTCCCTCGTTATGTGCGGATCACTGACGTCGTTGGCGTTTACAGATGTGCTCTGTATGTGATCTGCGCGAAGCATTGAGGAGCCCCTGAGATGGTCGTTGATGATCACTGCGTGATGAAGTTCTGATGATCCCTAGTTATTCATAGTGAGGCAATGGGAAGCCAATGACGGACGCAGGCTCGCAGCGTCGCAGCCCAGGCGGAGCTCGCGTCACCGTGTGAGATTCGCAGATCTGACGCCTAGCCTAGAAAAGGCAAGCGCCGCAAGATACCCGCGTCTTGACCGGGTCCGCCTTGGTGTGGTTCATGCGCTTGAGCCTGAGGCAGCAACTCTGCGCCTGACCGCCACTCTTTCTACAGTCTGCCCGCAGCAAACAATTGAAGCTGAGCACCGCAGAAGCGTCGACAATCAACAACAGCGGTTCAGAACACTGAAACATACCTCCAGCCCATTCCGTCGCAGGGTGCCCCAAACACTGATACTGACTGATCATCTAAGTGATACAATAACAAAAGCTCGCTGACCAAGTTCCAGCTAGCAAGGGTCCTTTGCCTCACTGTCGCAAGAATGCTCCTGCGCGTGTCTATACGAGACAGTTTCAGCGGATTCCCTATCTGGCAAGCCGCAAGCAAGCCAAAGCGACTAACAAATTTCCGACTACGTACCAAGCTCACGATACGCTGATGAATCGACGACAATAATACCTACGTGCGTAGCAAGATTAGCTCGACCTCGTGATTGGGGAGCGGCCTGCCAGAGTCCCAGACCAGCGAAATGGCGCCCCACAGCCTCGCTGCTTCTTGTGACCCACTCGCAGTCTTGCAGTTCGCCGGCATCACGCTGGCTCCATCTTGGCAGATCCGTGTGCTTTGAATGGCCAAGTGCCGACCAGGGTTTCAGTCAGTGTGATGTGGCAGCAGGCCAATCACTGAGCTGACGGGAAGCCACCCTTTCTTTTTTTCCCCCTACCCTGTCTTGCGTGTCAGAGACGGCATACGTAGTAAGCTGCAGAGGATACGTTGAGCGGCAGGGAACGACTAATCGGCGCGCGCTGGGACTCTGGGAGACCCGATTATACTCTGAAGAAACTAATAATGCTGCATCAAGTTGCGACTGCAGAACAACGGCGTTCGACATCACTCAAAGGAACCTGGCAAGTGTTGGATCTGCCGCGGCAATAGCCAGGCTAGCAAAAGTGTCTAGCAGGAATGATAGTCCTGCTAGCCTGTTTGCTGAGGATCAGGTACGACCGTACGAGTCCGGCCGACCATACGAGGCCTGGCGTCAAATGGTCATTTCTCCCGGACGAGCCGGTGGACAATCCTGCACAGTGTCAGCAGCACCCAGCGACTGATGGTCTTGTGGTGCGCAGTGCTCGGTGGTGCATCGGCTGTGTCATAATGCACCTTGCATAACGATCCAGCCATTTGTGCGTCAGAGGGTGGCGAGGCTCAGCGTTGGCATAACTCATCAGGGCGACTGCTCATTGGCTAAATGAAACAGACCTTACAGGAGTGATCTTGGTAGAGCATGGTGCGCCGAGAGGAGTCTTGGGTGACAGAATACACGTCCCCATCTTGGTGGCGATCGTCACCTGTCAGGCAGCAATCTCTTTGGCATCCTTCGTCACCGCATGCGAAGATCTCGAACAGCCATGGCGCACTATTAATTATCGGGCGAGCGTGGATGCTGTGCCCAGGACAACGAATAGCGACTAATGATGTTGGCAGTGCTGGAATGACCGCGCGCATTCCCTTTGCCGCTGCTGGCAGAAGAATGCCAGAAGAACGTCAGAACAAAACAGACTTTGCCTGGGCGTTCCAGATGGCTCGATGGTCCACCTAATCAGTTATCACTTGGGTCGTTAAGGTTCCCGCTCTTTGCTCATCAGGCCGATCAGGCCACGTCGCAAGATCTGGACCGGGTCTCGGAGGTTTTGTTATCCTGCCACAGGCTGCCAGCCATTTCCAACCCGCAGCGATCACGAGATTTATTACTCGCAATCTGGTGATGCTTGACTCGTTCGTCATGACGGCACGAACAGCCTCGGCCGTCGATCAGGTCAGCCGTGGCAGATGAAGCTAATTACACACTGACTGGGGGAGCCTGGAGGGCTCATTCGCTCCCAGCGGTCGGCGCCGCACGGGGCATCCATCACCACGCTCTGCACTAATAATTGATTACCCACAGTGGACAAGGCACTTTGTGCACCGTGGCATTATTACGCAACGGCGGCGTTGGTGGTGCGGTCAGGTCCGCCCGTGAAGGCACTGCGAACGGGCGGCTAGCCAGGTATTCCGTCTGCCTCACAATCTGTGTCAGACGGTGGTGGTGGGCTCCACCCTTGTCCGTCTCGCACAGTCATGTCATGCCAGGCCAGACTTGCGCGGCTTCAACAACAGTGTGTGAAGAATGTCTGGTCGACAAGCCTCACTGGTGTGCCGCCGGGGCCAAGCTAAGACAGCAGGCGTGCCAGGCAGGGATGGGACTGGAAGCAATCTCTGGCTTTGCTGGTGTGTGTGGAACCGACCCGACCCAGTTCTGCCAGGTCTGCCTCCTGAGAAAGGCTGTCCGAGCGCTCCACTCTCGGCCGCGTGCGTCTTGAGGCACAGCAGCATGGGCGGGCGGGTCCAGTCTGGCCTGTCTTCCTCTTGGTCCTGCTGGCTGCAGGCAGGCAGGCAGGCAGGCTTGTTGTTGTTGGGCATGCAGGCTGCTGCACTGCACTCCTGGACTGGAGCCCACCAGGCCCAGGCAGGCCAGCGTCCAGTCCAGTCCAGTCCCCTGCCCGCAAGGTGCGGATGGGAGGGCTGGGTCGCTCCAGTCGCTGGTTCTGGCTCGGCATGCTGTTGTGGAGTCAAGCCTCACCCACCTGTTGGCTCCGGCGTGTCGACGGGCCTGTTTATCAACCCGGTCAAGCCCACCCCTTTGCTAGCCGGAGGTCCTTTGTGCCATCTCTATCGACTATCGCAGCAAGCCCGGACAACCGTCTTCCACCCCCCCATCGGTCGCCAGCAGCAGCACTTGACAACGACCTCAAACCACCTCTCCAACCTCCACCTCTTCCCACCTCGCTTCTTCCATGGATCATCCTCTTCAACACCACGACACTCCTTCACTCCGTTGAATCTCTCTCCCTGACCCGTTGACTCGGCCATCAGGATCTCTTGCGCCCATTGCCATACGTACGTACTGCTACTACCACCCGGGCCATAATACCACCGACTCCCGAGCTTGTGTACGGCGACAACATCTCAACTTCCACCAACGCCAACATCACGGCCTATTGTAATCATACCAAAAACCGGATCAGGATCCAACCAGTGTACCAGCGCTTTCGTGGACTTTACTCACCCTCTGTTTTTCTTTTCTTGTACTTCGGCTCCTTGCCCTCCTTACGTCTTCCTGGATTGGACCGGATATAAGGACTCTTGCCTCTGGAACCTTTTTTTCTTTCTTCTACCACAGGATCATGCAGCAATATGCCCATGGAATTCCGTCGCCTCCGGCATCACCCCAGGTTTTTGACCAGCAAAAGTGTGCCTTTCAGCCTCCCACAGCCGCTGCCGCTCCCCGCCAACAACCACAACAACAACGACCGCGACGATGCGTGCCCCTTGTCGCGGAGGATAGGCTAGGCATGCTGCTCGAGGGGAAACTCCGTCTGACCCAGGTTCTTGGCACCGGCGCCTACGGCGTTGTCTACACCGCTGTTGATGTAAACACCGGTATTCCCTATGCTGTCAAGTGCTTATCCAAGTTCAACCCCGATGGTACACCGCTGGAGCGCCGGCAAGCGGCCTACCAGTCGCGCGAGATTCGTCTGCACTACTTGGCGTCGGCACACAGCAATGTCGTGTCGATGCACAAGATTGTGGACGACGCCGACTGCATATACGTGATCCTCGAGTACTGCCCTGAAGGTGATCTGTTCGCCAACATCACGGAGCGTGGCCAGTACGTTGGCAACGACGAGTTGTCTCGACGGGTCTTTCTCCAAATCTTGGACGCCGTGGAGCACTGCCACAAGCTTGGAATCTACCATCGGGACCTGAAGCCAGAGAACATCTTGGTCACGGACTGTGGTGAGACTGTCAAGCTGGCCGACTTTGGCCTGGCGACTGCCGAGGATCGATCCGAGGACTATGGCTGCGGATCTACCTTTTACATGAGTCCTGGTGAGTGAAAGCGCCTGATTTCACAATGAGACGCATGCTGACTTTCGATGACAGAATGCCTCGACTCATATGCGCGCAAGCCTTTCTACATGTGCGCTCCTAACGATGTCTGGTCCCTGGGCGTCATCCTGGTCAATCTCACCTGTGGTCGCAACCCGTGGAAGCAGGCTTCTTTCCAGGACTCCACCTACCGTGCCTATGCCCGCTCCCAGGAATTCCTCAAGACCATACTGCCCATCACCGATGAGCTGAATGACATCTTGGCCTGCATCTTCAATCCCTCTCCCGCCCACAGGATCACCCTCCCCGAGCTGCGCGAGAGGATCATGGCGTGCCACCGCCTGACCGTGGGCCCCCAGATGCCACCCAGCCCGCCCGCTACCCCCGACCAGCTTTCCAACCCTTGTGGAGTTCCCGAGGAGGCGATCCTGGACGAGTATGAGGAATGCGAGAGACTGTCTCCCACGTCCAGCGTGTCAGATGATGGATCCCTATCGTCAGACATTTCCACCATCTCGGATTCGGACGACGAGTTCATGCAGGAGCAACAGATGCCTACGCCTCCTGAGGCTCACTTTTACGGACAAGAACCTCAGATTGCTCCACAGGATGTTTACTACGCCGCCCAGGAATACATCCCTCAGCACTACACCGGGCCCACACCCCATCAACCCCTTCCGTCGCCAGGTCATCACCAGGCAACGCAAAATGCGCAGCAATTCTGCGCACCAGCACCAGCAAAGTCCTACTTTCCGCTGTGGGATGCGCTGGGCCGATACGTCCAGCAGGGCGCGCCGCATTTCTATGCGCCGCATCACCAGGTACCTGCTTACCCTCAGTTCCAGGGATGCTTCTGAACGAAGCGAACGGATCACTTCTTGGATATACTACACTTTCTCGACATATTATTACCCGCGCCGGATCATGGATTCCGGACACAAACCTTCTCTACACTCTTCTTGTCTTTCGGAAAGCGAGGAGTTTCTGTCTGTACATTTGCTTTACTTTTTATCTTTTACACCGGGGCAGGAGTTATCTATCATGATGAGGCATGAACATGACGACGAAGAAAAACAACAATATTCTTTTAATCGGAGGAGTTGGGGTTCACAGACACTTGGGATTAGATACCAGTTCAGGAGGATACTGGACGGCATGAAAGTAGATACTAAGCTCAAGCTAGGTGCAAAACACCACTGAATACAATGGACGAGACATCTCGTCACAAGCAAGCAATCTTCGTTCGCCCTGCGTGACAATTGAATGGTGGTGATCATCATGGTGATGCTCACGCTCCAAAATTCATCTTCTCAGCATCACCATGCATGCATGCATGTCAGCGAGTGACGAGCACCACCCCGTGTCACCCCCATCGCCCCAATCATCACTCGAATGTGACACGACTCGTGCGTGGCATGCACGCACGACCAACGCTTCACTATTTCAGCCACTCACGGCAGTACGCCAGTCACCATCATGCGCTCCCGTCCCCTCAGCTACGGTGCTTTATTGAGGGGAGCGGGGGGCCCGTGGAGGAGAGCTCTCATCGATTGTGCCATTGGTCCTCGTATGCAGGGCGATGCAAAGGTGAAGCGCGCACATAATAGTGCATATTCACCGCCCATTTTGGCCGTCCAAGTTCATGCTCATTGCTAATGCGCGTGAGTGAATGAGTGAGCATTGTCTCGTGTGCTTCATTCACCGCTGGTTCGCCTGTCAGTTCTCCAGACGCTCATACACACACACACATTCGTCCTCCTTACAGACAAGACAGCGTTCAAGACGAGGGGGGTCCTTATCTTGGAGGAGGGGGCAATAGATGACGCTTCTCAATACTCCGAATCAGCTCACCTCGTGCCCAGCCTGACTCATGAGGATGCCGTAGTTTGCATACGGGGGGAATCATCCGCTCCCGCTCGCTGGCGTGAAGTCAAAGTTGATATCGCTTGCCCGTCATCATCGTCGCCGTTCCATCGACCCGTCGCTGGATCGACGGCTCCACCAGCTAGTTAGTAGCTAGAGCTGCTAGACTAGCACGTAATTAGGTATTACTCGACGTGTCGAAAGCTACCACAAGAAACATAGTCACCGTTTCATTCCAAGTTTCGTCAACCATCGCCACCGAGACGCGAGAAGGACCAAGGTAAGATTGCTCCCGACTGGAATGTGTCAGATAGCCAACGATCTGCCCGTACGTACTTTACAGGCTCTGTACGAGAATAAGTTCTTCTCCACCACTTTCGAGAAGAATGCACCACGACTAGTCGGAGCTCTGTCTCCCTAGTGCCCACCCTCACCGGATACCATGGAGGTTTCTTTTCCTGTCACAAGGCTCTTGCGGGCGGATTCGACCAATCATGCGAGCCGGCGATGGGATAGACTTCCGCCGCAGCGGGTTAGGGGAATGAGGCGGGGGAGATAGTTCACTCCACGGCGCGGGAGGACTGGATGTGGCTTGGTCGAGAGCGTTGCCTTTGACCCTGGCGGGGGGCGGAGACGAGGGAATGGAGATATCCTGTGGGTGTGTTGAAGCTGTGGATGGTGGTGGTGAGTGAATGTGGCTATGAGGTTGGCGCGGTCGATTCCATCGTGACGATGCGGACGGGATGGATGGATATGCGACAGTGCGAGTGATTATCTCAGCATCGCTAGGCTTGCGGACATTAATGAGTCTAGTTCGCGGATGGCAAGAGTCAAGACAAGTTGCATATCCTCTTCTCCGAGGGGGTTTTGAAGCTGTACATGTATTGTCACAACAGCTGCCCTGGGATCCTTCCCTGCGAATACAGTCTGTGAATCAGGTATACTCAGCTATCACGCGAGGCACAGTCGGACCACTTGTCATTGTACCGTGGTGTGCCTCGCGTGGCTGTCTGATTCACAGACCGAAGATACTTGGCGAAGGACGCCGAGCATATACAACAAACCTGTGGTCTTACACGCAATGGCACAATATCTCTGAGTCATGGATCATACGACGAGTGAGGAACGACTGATGTCATGAACGCCCGCTGCCCAAGGTTATTGCCCGGGTCACTCGACGAGACCAAGATATCGTACACGATGCAGCACCCGATCGTTCAGCAGCGCCACGATATACGACCGGGAAGCATATAGTTCTACTATGCATGAACTGTTAGCGCCCCTATTCGTTCGTCCTTGCCCCTCAACAGTTCGAGGCTCTTTACCCGCGAAAAGAAACTCAAGTGGTGCGAGTCAAGGCGACAAGCTTTCCCCCGTCCCTAGGGCTGACCACAGCGTCATGCAAGGCTAGGACGTTTGCAAAGTCAATTCAAATCCGCACGTGAGGAGCAGAGTCCAGATCGCGCCAAAGACCGTCTGGTGCTTGAATCTCGAACGGGAGCTCGAGTCAGGAGCTTGCATGCGCCTTTGCAGGTACACAGCCGTGCCATCGCGGGCGGTTAGGTTCAGGCAAAAGGGGGCTCACGTTGTACTTTGACCTCATGTACATCAAGAAAGAGGTTCTGGTAATCGTTACTTACACTCCAAGTTTGCCAACGTCGTCAGACAAGTATCTATGGGATGGAGAAGCCCTGACAAAAGCTTGAGAGCTCACCAGCCAGCCTACCATGTACACTGACAAGTCCACATGTACACTGACAAGTCCACATGTACACTGACAAGTCCACATGTACACTGACAAGTCCACATGTACACTGACAAGTCCACATGTACACTCGGGATTTCTACCATCAGCCTTAATTAATATCAGCTCGCGAGGCTAAAGGCTAATAGCCACAAAACAAATCCTGGCGTCTAGAACTGAGTCCAGTCGTAGCCCCTTTGTCTCGAACGGCGGCAAGGTCCCCAATCATCATGATGATGGACCGCGGCAGCAACGTTTGTATGAAAGATTGATGAAAGCCAGTCAAACTTAAGAGATGTAACGGAAGCCTCTGGTACTGTACTGGTGCTGACAGCGCTTTTGTAGACTCACCTTCCTAGAGGCTGGTGATTCCATGGTGTTTAGGAACAGTCAGCAACCCAGGGGTTATTGTGCAGATACCCTTCTCGATGGATCACATAAACTAGACCAGAATTTGAAGGGACGTTGTGTATTGTGAATGGTACAAGGCAGTCGATTTTGCATATACACAATGCTTAATGTTCTCACCTTTGTGTGTTTTATCGAGCAACGCCCAGCAGAGTTCCCATCTCAGTCGAGCATCGCCATACGAAGCGAGTTTTCCACATGACTCGGTACGAGTTTGGACTATACGTCCACGGAAACATTCTCTAGAATATGCATTGGGAAACTGCAGGGCTCAATGTCTGATTGTGCACAGTGTTTGTCCCCTTGTCCGGCTGCCTCACAACATCTCCAAATGTCCCTATTCAAAGCCTCCAGAATATCCTTCAAGCCTAATCAATGCTCACGTACCGCCTCTCCGTGGTCTGCACTACAAGCGAGTGCGATGAGTTACGCCCGGCTGACAGTGGACGATCTCGATCGCAAGGCGGTCGTAGTCAACAGAGCCAAGCATGTGGCATGGCCGAGTTCAAAGTCATGCCGACCTCTGGAAGTAATGACTGAGCAACGCAGATGTCAAGCCTCTGCTAGTACGGCAAGAAACTGTCCGTACGGTATGAGAAGGCTTTGAGGTTGATGACTCGCATAGAGCTGTGCACGTCTGCCCGAATGGCAGCCAGCCCTTCTAGCTAGAAACCATTTGGAGGCACAAATAAAGACTACTAACAGTCAGTGTGTGCAGTCAGACGGAGGAGATGCTTTTGCATGTATGCATTGTAAATGAAACGGTGCTGTTGGTGGGGAATGCCCCTATCTCCATGTCGTTTGCTACGACGGCAACCGACACGACATCCTCATTGAGGGTTCTCCTCTCAGGATCCTGTTGACAGATCTGTTTGGACCAGATCTACGATACTGCGTCTGTGTTTGTTAGATATACAATACCGCCTGAATGTGCTCTGACGGTCAAGTGTTCCATCATGATGATCACTCTGGCCATGACCAGTTGCCTCCACGTTGCCTGCCACCTCGACCAGTTCAGAAGTACGAAGCCGAACATGGGGAAAGGGACATCAAGTTTTCATGATATCCGAGAAAGCAATAACATGGTTACGCATAGAATCATGGAATGGTACAGCCTCAGGGGCTACATTTGTTAGCGCAGGCCTTGTAAGGATAGTGTGAGGATCAAAGACACCTAGTCTGAATCACCCATTGCTCCGATGGTATCAGGCATCTTTTGATTAAATCAATCCCTACATATTGAGCAAGAGCCTCTAGCTAAGTGAATCGTCGTCCTCCAGAAAAATTCACCAGCGACAAGCACAGCCGAAGGCAACTGGACGTCGTACCGCGCTAACAATGGGATTCCCTGGGCACTACGTGATCCAGCTCGGGCCGCTGTCGGCGTGTCGCAACGCGCGGTCGCCCCGCATGTAATCCGCCCCATAAGCTTATTTCCTACGTCGCTCAACACAAGTTGTAACACGGAAGTGTAATTAGAAAGAGAACGCCGTGATTCTATTTCGAATGGAATGGCGCGCCAGATACATGCTGGACTCCACAAATTATCCATTGGTATCTAGTGCTTCAAAGCAAAAAAAGAAAACGCCGTCGTGTGAACCAACACATGTCTAGAAAGAGCACTTCCTCCGAAAAAAAGAAAGGGATTACGAAGAACCGCGGAACAGTGATGCAATGGTGGCCGGGCTGAATGAGGACTTTGCGTCCACCAAGTCGAGGTACACGGCACCGTGGTACACTGCCAGACCCGAGAGGACAGCGGCGGATGTGTTGAATGCGTAGCGCAGCAGGCAGTTGTACATCTGGTTCCTGTTGCGACGGCGCGAGCGGGTGACAAAGTCAGAGTTGTCGTTGACATTGGGGAAGGGCGAGTCCTTGGGCACGGGCTCGCCGAGGAACTCGCACAGGGGCTCCCAGCCCTCGGTGACCTTGTACTCGAGGAGGCGCTCCTTGGGCACCAGGCTGCGGACCTCCTCGTAGTGGTTCAGGAAGACCTCCTTGCCCTTGTTGGGGAAGTCGCCCTTGAAGAAGGTGTCAAAGAACTTTTGCAGCATGGGCTGGTACATGCTGGCGGCCCAGTCAAAGTGCGACAGCCAGCGCAGCTCGGGGTCGGTGACGCGCCAGTAGACGGTCTTCATGGTCGAGGCATGCCACGTGTGGACGTCGCGGTTCGTGAGGACGACCTTGGCCTCGGGGTAGGCCTCGATGAGCTCCTTGGCAAAGGCGATGGAGGGCCAGTCGCAGACGGCCTGGGCGTTTCCGAGGAGCTGGTCCCAGTCCTCGCGAGTGAACTTCTTGCCGACACCGTCGTATTTGGCGGTCAGGGCGTCCATCCACATGAGAGCGTCCGGCGGGTTCTCGATCGAGCAGTTCATCATGTGGTAGGTGTCGACGTAGCCGAGCTGCTTCATGGCCGCGCGCATGGCTGGTAACTTGGTCAGCGCCAGGTCGTTGCCATTGGGCATGGTCACACTTACAAGCTGTACCCGTTCGCCCCAAGCCCAGAATGAGGACCTTCATGGGCACCTTGCGGGTGCATTCCCGACGATTGATGTCGGTGTCCGACGTGAAGACATCGGTAAAGGGGCGAGGGGTATACTTGGCGGAGTAGGCCATGTTGACGGTGACAATGGAATGGATGGTGCTACAAGGAGGAAGGAATGAAAAGAAGAAAGACGTGCGCGCAACGTCGGATGGAAAAGTGAGTTGATAAAGGAGTGACAGGAAGGTTGATCAATGGACACAGGATGATTCAGGAGAACTTCTTGGAGGAGAAGACGTTGGTTGCGCGTCTGCCACTCAGTCGCGCGACAACAGAATGGAGCAAGCGACATGGATGGGAATTTGGGAAAGTACGCCCCACCACCATTAGCGCATTCCACTGGCAGGCTCCAGTCTGGGTCTGAGGCTCTGGACGCTAGCCTGATTGGTGAGACTACTGGCTGTACCTGCACGCGTGGAAGCGGGAGAAAAGCCCCCTAACTTGACTCGCATCCACTGCGTCTGCACCAGCACTGCCCCGGGCACTGGAGGAGATCGGTTGCAACTTGCCCAACATGAAGTTTCGCCGTTTCACGTTGTGGTCTCGCGCAGCGGCCAATAATGCGTGGACCTGCGCTGCCCGCCGCTTGGAGCCACAGAGGGACTACAACGCGATGGTTTGGTCAGGTCTCAGTTTGTATGTAATAATTCGGAGCAGGCACGTGTCATTGAGATATCATCGGCAAGCTAGCCTGGAGTGTCGCGAGATTGACTCACTCGAGTGGTTAGTTCAGGCGCGCTGGAATGCTCGGCTGGCTCACGTTCACAACACTGTGTGTGACCACACTCTTTTGAAATTTCGGGCCGTCGCTGGTTGATGAAAGGATCGCCGCGACCTTCCGCTGGTAATTAAGAGAAAGGACTGGAGCCAATGACAGCGCAGTCCCACAGTCCGCTACAGGTACGTACCTTTATTAAATGAGGGAGAGGCAGGCTTCCTGCCGCGACCTCCTGAATGTCTTCACCAAAAGGGGTCATGTCTGGCAGAGCCTCACTGATGATCTTATATTGATTAAAGTCGATCTGCGAGTTAGCCCTGGTTTGGCGTGCTCTGTTGTCAGCTTCAAGTGGCTCGTCGGCTGGGACTTGTCCGTTCTGGAAGGAGAAGGCGGACGTAGCAATTGACGAGACGTCGTCCAGATCGTCGGGTTGTCCCACACTCACACACTTTTTTCTTGACCTGCGTGGAGCTGCAGCTGAAATGAGCATGAAGCGTTGTTGCATGCTCCGTGCTGCATTGGATATCTTCAGCAGAGGAATGAAACGGGGCCATTGCTGACATTTTGACGGGGATCAATCAAGAAGACAATAGCCCCTGAAGTGATCAAGGGCACGCTAATTGCATACCATACTATGTGCACTCGATTCGACCTCAGAAGCCGCTGGCTCAGGGAGGCTGATCATCATGCAATTAATCACAAAGATTTTATTAAATGTCGCGTAAACTCAGGGTAGATCCCCCTTTGTCGCGTGACGGTCTGTTCTTTCATGTGAAGTATCATGAGTGTTTGCGCCGATCTCTTCCTCCATGCGCGGACGGCACCCATCTGCCGTCAGTCACTTTTGCAGACCCCTGGTACTTTACAGCAGGGGAGACGGGTATCGGAAGGAAGCTGCGAAGACTTTTGAGAAAAAGGAGCATCGGCCGTTTGAAATTCTCAAAGCATTTGGCCCAAGCGTGTTTCTATGGTGGTTGAATACTAGCGAGGTATCCGTAGTGGACGAAGCATGAGCCACCTCGCCAAGACCGACCTACAAGTAAATAGTCTGGAATAAGGCTGAGAGCATCCCCTCTACGTACTAACCAGACTATCATCAGTATTGTCTACAACCAAGAGTCAAGTCAACTTGCACAGGAAGGCCTTCCCCTGTGAATGAGGAAAATGAGGCCCTTCATTCGCCGTTCGGTCTCTCGCCGACATGGTCTGCTGCTGGCCGACGACCCGACAGACCGCGACAGTACGTTACGTAGGGCGCTATCGTAGTCGCCATGTCCGGGGTCCCGTAGGCATGGACCAGGAGTCCAGGACAAGCCAGAGTTTGGCCCCCACCACACATTTGTATGTGGTAATTACGGTTACTTACCTTACTAACGTAGCGCTGGTTTTGAGTTAGGCTTGACTTGTAGCTCCCACGCTACCTTATTTTCGATGCTCCAGCATCCTTTCAACCTATGTAATGAGGCTGTGTGTTGATAAGCTAAGTAACTATTATTTTTCATTGTCGACGACAGCTGATGAGCCCCTGTTCATGCCCTCGGTGCCGAGCCACCGATGGCCGCGCAAGTCAGCGACTGGAGTCACTGGACGTCCAATGTCCTCCTTCTCAGAGATAGGCAAAATCAGCTGCAGCCAGCGAAATGAAGCAAGTGCATTAGTGAAAATGACGGAACCCCTGTTCTCTGTTATCCACTAAGAGTGACTGACGAAGTCAATCCTGCGTGCGCCTGAGACGGACTGGCACGCCGAATTGGTCTCTCACGAAGAAAAAAGCCTGCAGTCTTGTCACTGCCGCTCCAGTCGTTGTGAATTGTTTCTGAATAACGTGGACAGCCGCGTCACTTTGTGGGTTGAAACCTCCGTGCCTTACGCAGCGCGTGTCGCATGTGCGTAGGTACCTTACGTAGGCAGCGCGGAGCTGGCTGCTGGACCCTGCCAATTCCGCATACCAATCCCGACGAATCCACAGCCAGCAGCAACCTCAATCCAACCCTCGAGCCAAGTCCAGTCCAATCCCCCTCCAAGCTACCTATCCCTCCATTGATTCCAGTCTGTTATTGTTATCCCTCCGCCACCTCAGCTTACCCTCTGCCGTACGTAGTCACATCATCGGCCGATGTGCTACCGGTGCCACTCCTTAGGCAACATCACTTGCGACCTGTGTTTCAAAGGGTGGATGCGCGCTAGGTGGCACCTCGCTCGCTATTGACATTGCCGACTCGTCAGGCTTGCAAGCAATCTGCCACTGGAACGCATCCTCCCCGCTGCTGCTCGATACTTCGCACAGCACAACGGGACCATGCCCGGTCACCAGCGGTCTTTCAGCAATGACCGAGCGACACTCAAGCCGCTAGAACCACGCAAGCATCGACGAGGCGCCTCGCAGCACGGCTGGGAGCCCACGACACCCGCGACGCCTGAACTGTCATCCGAAGAGAATGAGCACGACGCCATGCACGCCAACAACCCGCATCACCGAGCCGGCACGGCGAGCTCTGCCCTGCAAGATGCCGAGTCCCAACGACCGCTGTCCCCGATTGACGAGAAGCCCTCACCAGGGCGAGGCGCTGGGGCGGGCGTGACCTGGATGTCGCTACCTAGAAAAGACCAGCTCTTCATCTTGTTCATCAGCCGCCTGGTCGACTTTCTCCAGGTGGCCTCGATGCAGGCCTATGTCTTCTTCCAGCTGAAGCACTTTGACAACACGCTGTCGGACGCCCAGATCTCCCAGCAGGCTGGGTTGCTGCAGGGCTGCTTCACGGGCGCGCAGGTACTCACCGCGATCCTGTGGGGCAAGGCGGCAGATGCGAGCTGGTGTGGCCGGAAATGGGTGCTGGTCATCGGTCTGGGTGGCACAGCACTCTCGTGCATTGGGTACGGATTCGCGACGACGTTCTTCTGGGCTGCGTTCTGGCGCGCATTTGGTGGTGCTATCAACGGCACGGTGGGCATTATGTGAGTACGAGCCGCATGCAGTGTGACCACACCTGCGCTGCCAACATCTGCTGTGTTACGTGTCGTGTTGCTGACGCAAGGATATTTTGCAGCCGAACCATGGTGGCCGAGTTCACCGTGGAGAAAAAGTACCAATCGCGTGCCTTCTTGATCCTGCCCATGAGCTTCAACGTGGCAGGCATCTTGGGACCCAGTGAGTTTGAGTCGCTGCTACGTAGCTGGGGATTTCGCTGACCACGGCAGTCATGGGTGGCATGCTGGCTGACCCGGCGGTCAACTTACCGGGCATATTTGGCGACGGCGCTGTGTTCGGGTTTCAATGGATTCGCGACTATCCTTATGCGCTGCCAAGCCTGATGAACTTTATGTTTCTCAGCACAGCGACGGCGGTCGCTTTCTTGTTCCTGGAAGAGGTAAGTTGGGCTTGTCTCGCGTGTCATTGCAAGACTAACATTGTGTTTGCAGACATCCAAAAAGCGCCAGGGCAACTTTGACTTTGGCCTCCATCTTGGGACTCGCCTCAAGCAGGCCATCTTCCGTGGTCGCTCTCACGATGGCTACGCACGCGTCAGCACTCTCTACGATGAGGCGGCAGTTCCCTTACAAAGCCTCAACAAGCCCGAGGCCCCGCGCAAGCCCAAGGTTTCCGCAGGCGTCCTGCCTTTTACTCGCCTCTGGACGCGCAACGTCATCTTCACGTTGATATCCATCGCCTTCTTCGACTTTCACCTGGGCGCTTTCACGAACATTTGGTCTCTCTACTTGTCTACTCCTCGCCACTACACTGGTGGCCACGATAAGCAAGCGACAGATGCCGCGACGCAGAAGCGCGACCTCTTCATGCTTTTCACCGGCGGCATGGGCATGCCGGCATCTACAGTGGGCATGGCGACGTCTATCCTGGGCTTCTTGGGCATGTTCTTGCAGGTCACCTTGTACCCACCTGTACAGGCCCGTCTAGGGACCATGCGCTCGTTCCGCTACTTCTTCATCCTCTTTCCTGTGGCATATTTCTTGGCGCCCTATCTGTCGATTCTCCCATCCTCGACGCCCGCGCCCGAGCCGTCCTCTGGATTCTTCATCTGGGCGGGCATCATCATCGTCCTTTTGCTACAGGTGACCGCACGCACGTTCACCCTACCCGCCAGCATCATCCTGCTCAACAACTGCAGCCCGCACCCGTCTGTTCTCGGCACGATCCACGGCCTGGGGCAGAGCGTGTCTGCTGGCTTCCGCACGGTCGGACCCGTTGTGGGCGGATGGTGGTACGGCTACGGCCTGGACATTGGCATGGTTGCGTGGGGCTGGTGGCTGGTGGCCGCGGCGTCCATGTTTGGCTGTCTGACGGCGTTGGGGATGCACGAAGGAAGCGGGCATGAAGTGTTCCTGCCCGGCGAACGAGATGAAGACGAGGACTGACAGAAGTTCCCGTATAGACTTTGTATATTCATTCCTAGACTCGATGCATGGGAGGCGTTGGGGTTCTCCTATCATACTCGACACTTCATTTACTTTACGCCATGCTGCCAATGCAAGGGCACGATATCCTCACGAGGTCAGCAGTGATTCATTTTCATCGCATCGAATTCGCTCGTATTCTCCCATACATATGTACTCGTCCACCACAATGGCCAACACATGCCTCATCCTATCTCTGGGGTGGATAATAGGTATCTCTACCCACTGCAGGCTCGCTTGTCTTCCCCTTCCCTTGAGAAGACACTCAGCAGCCACGGATGATGCTCTGTGCGAACAGAGCGTAGGTATCGGCGTGGCGGAGGTTCTACATGCTGTCAGACAAACATTCTGCAAAGAGTCACACGTGCTTTACCTGGGAGGCGCTCAGGGAGCGGACAAAGTTGTAGCCGTATCCGCCAAAGTCATCCGTGCCGGCGATCTGGCTCAAGTGCTAGGTGTCTCGTCAGTCTCTGTCCTCGGACTCCGAGGCAGAACGGCTGGAACTTACAGTCACCTCGTGCACAACAGTGCCAATCTGGTTGTTTCCATAGCAAGAGGAAGGGCTGAGGGGCAGGCTAAAGTGCAGAGGGCAGTACGCCATGGCGGAGAGGGAGGGGACAGTGTACGCAATCACACCACTAGAGACATCAGCGTCGATCGGTCCTCACCAGGGTCGAGGAGACTTACCCGCCGCAGACGCCGTAAAAGTCAGAGCAGTAAAAGGTAGAGGCACCACCGCTGGTCGAGCTGCACTCGGAGCGCATGCGCGAGAAGACACCGGCGACGGTGCTGCGGGTGGACGAGCTGGACGACTTGAAGTACTCGGTCATCTTGGTCGCCGAGCCGGACTGGGCGACAGACTGGGCCTGCGAGGCCCAGCTGGCACAGCCGCTCAGGGCGCTGCGGGTTTGGGAGAGGCGCGTGCCGGAGCAGTCCGACTGGACGCGCGTCCGCTTCTCGTTGACAAAGGCTGTGTGGACGGCGGCGGCGGAGGCACCGTCGACTTTGGCCTCGACGGTGTTGGCGGTGAAGGGGACGGAGCCGACGAGCTCGGTTGAGTCCGCCTCGGCAAAGGAAAAGGCGCCCTCGCTGGAGATTTTGAAGGCGCCGCCGGCCGAGAGGTCGTGGTACTCGGCGATGTCAAAGGTGACCTCGAGGGACTCGCCGGAGTCGAGACGCGTGAAGGCGTCTTCTTCCAAGTTCTCGGTGGCGATCAGGAGCTTGACACCGTCAAAGGTGACGGGCTTATCTGTAGTAGTGTTAGCCGAGTGGTTTCTGGTTCGGGGGTTTCAATGGAATAGGGGAGCATACCGCCAGAGAGAACGGAGACCTTCTCCACGGGGGCGTCGTCGAGGAATGTGCCGGTGCTGAACAGCTTGAGGTTGTTCTTGCCGGTGTTGGTGACAGTGGCCTTGACCTCGGAGTTGCCGACGAGTTCGAGCTTGACGTCGAGGGGTGTGGGCGCACGCTTCTCGGTGGGAGCGGCAACGGCCATGGCGGCCATGGCGAGGGCGGCGAAGAACTTCATGATGGCGAAGGGAAGGCTAAAGACTGAAGACTGTGTGGATGGTGGATGGCTGGAATATCTCGTACAAAGACACGGCGCCTGGGAGTTCTTATAGACGAGTGTCGGGTCTCACGATATGCGGCAGACAAGAGCGAATACGATGAGATACATTAAGTCGTTGATAGCAAACCGTCAATGCATTATGTTGGTATCGCCATGTATGGCGAATCACATATAGAGCCGTTGAATGCCACTTTCCTATACTGGCAGGCGCCCGATCGTTCGAGGTTGATGAGAGATATCTAGTGACTGCTGGTGGGTAGATGGTCGCTCTTGGCGAGGGTGGCATTCTTAATAGCATCGTGTCGTTCCCCAACGATCAAGGGGAGACGTTGTGATGAAAGAGCAGACCTTCGTGTAGCATGAACGCATTATGCGAGATAAAGAACGTCGAATATAGCACCGCGGGCAAGCTTAAAGAAGCAGGTCTTTGTTAATATGTAGCCTCCTGCCTAAAGTGTCTTGCGGCAAGAAATCATTCCAAGAACCTGCATCACCAATCTTGTTGAAGCACATGTATGTGGCATCTCTAGGCTCATCGGGGTAGATTAGCCTTACAAATGCAGTCTATCTCGATGTGAACCACGGCTCGGGCACCAAAGCAAAAGAGGAAGGCAGACAGGGCCAGGGATCGGTAGTCAGTCTGTCAGCGAATCGTGAAAGGAAGAGCCGCTCGCCCAGACGTTGGGGTGGGCAGGGCTGCTCTAGTCAAGGCCGCGATTTTATGCATTGAAACATCCAAAAGTCCTTGTTGCTGCGAACCTCATTTCGACGAAGATGGCGTAGTCCTCACGAGGTTTCGTGGAGGACAAGCTGCAGCATCTCGTGAGTTGGGTGTATCTCGCAAGCGCTTTGACCATCCGAACAAGATCGGTTCAGCGACCGGATCGTCTGTTTGCATTGCCACACATCATCTGTGACCATGAGAGTGGAGGAGAAGAGCACTGCCAGGTCGGCTTCTGATCTGGGGGCATTTAGCGCGCGTGATCGCTCAACTGCCGTTTGGGGGAGGGACATCAGGGGGCGGCTCGTTCCTTGTCCAGAGGAAGTCGATGGCACCAGACCCAGGGCCTCCTGTACGATCAAGTCAGTTTTCCCTCCAATGTGCTGGCAGATGCATTATGCACGTAAATCTTGAACCTGCGCTGCAAGGGGCCAACTACCCGACAAGTATCAGTTTCCATAGACTTTCCTCTTTGGGATCATGGCCTCGAATCGATCTTGGCGAGAAGTGTTTGATAGCCAGTCAAAACTCAGGAGCCAAGAGGACATATGTGGGCAATACATTGAGAGTGATATACCAAGTACCGTGCATCGACCAAACCCCCACACGCACCACCGAGCGTCAAAGGTTGAAGGATGCCGGCGATAAGCTTTAAGCATAAGTTAGTTAAGGGCAGATACGAAACATACGCGTGAACTGTCCACCGCTGGGAGTATCAACTGCCTATTAGTGCCCGTCAGCCCCTTTATTCCAGTCAGTGAGAGCAGAACTACACAGCATGGAATTATTGCTATTATTGCCATAGACTTCTCTAATGGCCAAGCTCAACCGGTCACCAGATAAAGACGGTTGGGCTGCATTCAACCGTCTGCAACGAGGATGCGCGCAGAGTCGGAGGTGAGGCAGGGGTCGGCACACCAGTCCTTTATGGGAAGGTGATCGGGAAGCACGCACGGCTCCGCGATTTGCATTTGTCAGAGTCAAGTTGCGGAGGCACACAAAGAGGGGGAACACCCGTTCTAGAAATGTACAAGTTCTGATGTTGTGGTTGTGTCTCCATGCTGGCAGATATCAAGTTTCGGGTTGTTTGGCCTCTGGAAAGACTGAGGGCAAAAGTTACCCCTGGCTACGAGGGAATCTCGCCTACCCTAGACATGTTGGCACGGGTATCGCCATGGCATTGACATGAATGTAGGCAGTCAATGCATACTCATTCAAAGAGCCTAGCAAATGCATGAGTATAGATCTGGGATACAGTATAGCAAAGATTGGACTTTTCGGGATTGAATGAAACAAGTACAGCACGTGCGGAAATCCCAACCAAGCTAGCATCGTCTATTTGTCAAAGTTTGAGTCATCATACGATCACAGGCTAACTTACACGAAGGTGATGATGCAAACAAGACCTCACGTCAGGCACATGATGAAGACATACGGCCAGGCGGGTTCAGCTGTGCAAATCTCATGTAGAACTCATCTTTTTCACGATTTCCAGACTCACAAAAAACACAGGCGACAATGAGTACATGTAAGCAACACCGCATCTGACCAGCGGACTATGGCTCATAAGTAAACTACTTAGTCTGTGAACCAAATCAGAACATCCGGGGATACGAGCCTGGCGCAATCGACGCCAAGGGTTGCGTGACGACCGACATTGTGATTGCCGACCTGGGTGTCCCCCTACAGGCCCTCATCGATTCTCAATATGTCGACAGTCAGGCCATGTCCCAGAGACCAGGGATGATCCTCAAATATCTCCCCTATCTATACGACGGAATCACCGGAAAGCTACTCACAGGCGGGCTGTACCTGTTCGACACGTACGAGAATGCAAAGGACTATGTGCGCTGGGCAAGCGAGGAATTCGAAGTCGGCGAGCCCAAGGTCAAGTTCACTGCGCAGCCCATGTTCAGGTCCTTCACGAGCCAGGTATGGAAGGTGATTGGGGCGCACAGCTTCGCGCCCGTCGAGGAGCATGCAGTGGGAAGGCTGCAGACCTGGTCCTGCTCCGAGCCCGATGCCGAACTCAAGCTCCAGTCGCTGTACGCAAAGGTGAAGAGCGCCGCAGAGAGTGGAAACGCTGCGTCCGTGTGGCTTCTCTACGATCCCGGCACGAAGAAAGTCGGATTGCAGCTGGCGTTTAGGAAACAAGGCGTAGCCGAGCCTGCAGCGGCAGCACGAGATCTCCGCGATGCAGGCTGGACCGCTTTGGGGGATGCCTTGTCACAGCAGCTCCATCTGAAACCCTTGTTTGACAGGACGAGCGTGCTGCTGACGTTGTGGTTGCCCCGGTCGAGGGCGGCGGGTGGCTCGGAACTGGCGATCCCTTACTATCCCGTTGTTCCCGACATCAGCTATGAATACTTCAGAGGCGCCACACACTAGGAAAAGGTGGGAGGTTACAGGGTCTCGTGACTCCGGAGGGTGTTTTGTGTTTCGCGCTGAATTCAAATTTGTATCAGGAGTTGGTTCCGTGTAATTGATTACGCAGTCTGACCCAGTCTATCAAAATCATTGCTTCGTTGCGCCACGTAAAGTTCTTACAGTCCTTTCGTACGGATGATAGAGCGAAACTTCGTCGCTGTGCCGTCCAGCTGGCTGGCATCGAACATCTGCGAGTGCCTTTCCCTAGGCTCATGGATCTGTGATACCTTGCGACAATGCACGGGATGAAATTGATCATAGCGTAGTCCAAGTTGCCTCACCGCCCGAGTCTATCCTGCCCCAGTGGGAAGCAGAAAGCGATTTGAGGGAAGCGCGCCACGTGGTGGCCGTCAAGCTCCTGGACCTGGGGGACGCAATGGAAATCACAAAAATTAATGATAAACGCTAGATACCCTTGCTGCAGAAAATATATTCCAAACACCCTCCCACGCACGTTGACGCCTCAGTAGCCAAAATCCTCCCAAGCAACATCCTCCCCGGCCAGCCATTCGTTCAAATTCCGGAGCAAAACTGGACTTGCGCATAGATAGAACTTGCGACCCTTGAGAGTAGAAAAGTCCGTCGGACCCAGCCTTCGCGCCTCGGCAGTTGCCCCCAACTCCTCCATCTGCTTTACGTGGCTCGCCCCGGCGTCCCCAGTGATGAACAGCTTGGTCACGCCCGCCAGGCCCTGTATCCTCTGAAAGGAGTCGACAGCCAGCGGGACGTCTTCGGCACGCAAGCTCCATACCAGTCGTAGGTTATCTTCCGCAGCGTCATTGCGCAGCAGTAACTGTGCGCTCTGCGCTAGCATCGGCGTGACGCCTACACCACCGGCGACAAAGACGTTTTTCTCCCCATCTTTCATCCGGAAAGACTCCTCGCCGCCGAACCCCATGACGGGGATCTCCAAGGGGATCTGATGAGCGTGGGTGAGAGGTTGTCGCCACATCAGACCAGTAGCTGGCCCATGTTTCTTGGCCGTGATCTCTATCCGTTGATGGCGCTGGTCCTTGTCCGGCGCATTGGAGACCGTGAAAGTTCGTACGTAGTCGTCGTTGAGACTTTGTGGATCCGAGTTGTTCATGTGTGCATACCCGTGGCTCAATTTGTCATAAAAGTCCAATGTGACGTGCTGCCCAGCCTGCCATAGCGGCTCATTCGACTTGGCTTCCTTCTCAGGTAGAGAAATATCGAATGTGAAGCGGCTGATGGTCGGGGTCAGGGGCACACGGTCGATGAGGGTGGCCACGGTGCTGTGTGAGGCAGAGGATACATGGGAGGGCTGTTCGGTGAGCAGCTGCCGGAGTGGCGGATTGTAAGGCGAGTAGTCGATGAAGGATGCGCGAAAGGGTAAGCCAGCTTTGACAAAGCGCATATCTGTGACGGTGATTTTGACGGCTAGCTTTGTGCGAGCGATCAGCGATGTGGCTTGCTCGCCAACGAGGATGGTCGTCGACCCGGTCAGATAGAGGACATTTCCTGTATCAAAGTCGGGCACCACGACGCCCACCAGAGGGTTGACCTTGAGATTGCCCAGGGTCTGGTAGAGACGGTTACCCGAGTACTCGGGATAGACAAGAACAACCTCGTCCTTTTGGTTCTTCAAAATCCTCACGAACCCGGGCGGTCCGCCTCGATGGTTCGTGTCCATGCTTTCTCCGTTGGTGCTGGAAACGAAGAAGAGGTCCGCACGGCTGAGAAGCTCCACCGCCTGCGGATGCAGAGGAAGCGTCGAGCTCAGCAACTCGGCGTCGTCCAAATGATGAGGCGTGACAGCCTTTTTGTTCAGGTACTTGGGACAATTCCCCAAGCTCCCCTCCACGGCCATGGCCATCTGCACCCTCGTTTCGTTCTGGTCCTTGGCCACTGCGCCGGCAACCATTTTACCAGCCAGCTTGACTCTATCTCTCGTTTCGAGGTCAATGGACAGGCCGCTCATCAACCTGCCGTTCCCCTGCACCACAGCTTCACTCTCGCCATCGTGCCCATCCCACAATGCCTTAAACACCGGATCCCAGCGCCTGTCCACGACACTGTTCAGTGCGAGAACGTCTTCAGCCACCCTCTGTGCGAACCCACGCTCTCCGCCCCAGACTGTGCTCCATGGCCGGCCCTGGTCATCGAGTGCCCCCAATGCCACGAGAGGCGAGGCACGCACGCGACTGGCGTAGTGTGGCGGCAGACCCATGGCAGTCGGGTCATCGGTCTGCGGAATGTGAAGGAGGCGATGGATTTCCATCTCGCCAGGATGGAACCCCCCGTTGCGAGCGAGCATTGTTTGGGCAGACATGTCTGGATTGGCACGCGGAATCAAGTACGCGCGGCGAATTCGATTGAGAATCAAGTGATGAATCGTCCCAGGGTTTCCGCAGCCTCGATTATATGTCTGAAGCATGCCTTGGCGCCCGACCTCATGTGAAGCTTTGTAATGAATTGGCAATCCAACAAGTACTACGTATGACGGTTCGGGTTTTGTATACAATTTCGGCCTAGCGCGTACCTGCAATGTCGACAGCTCTCATCAGCACAGCACCAAAGGAATATCATTCGGTCATGTACAGTTCCAATTTCGTATGACTGCTCTCTTACGCCATGCCAACATTCACATGCCGCAATGGCCTGCCGTCATGTGCACCCTTCCTCATGCCCTGCTTCTTAGACTCCGAGTAGCGGCAGCACCTTTGGGCGCAGCCTTTGACTTTGTCACTCTTCCAGAAGTCACACTGCTCTTCTTCGCAGCCTTGGCCGCCGGCTTCTCCTTGGCAGGCGCCACATCCCCCTTGCCCGCACGGCCACGGCCGCGGGTGGTTTTGGCGGGCTCGCGCGCAGACACGGGCGCTGCAGGCTGTGTCTGCTTCGGCCGACCGCGACCTGGCTTGACCGGGTCTTGTGATTGGGCCTTTTGAGTAGCAGGTTCGCGCTTGGTCGGAGTCGAGGGTGTCTTCTTGGGTGGACGACCTCCCTTGTTCTTCTTGACTGGCTCAGGCTTAGGCTCAGGGGCGGGTTTGGACGCTGAAGACGCCTTGGTCTGGCGCGTTGTCTTCTGCTTCTTCGGCTCGGGTTCGACAACTTCTTCTTTGACCGTGCTGCTTCCACGTTTCTTAGATGCCAGGGGTGCCACAGTCGCGGCGGCAGCGGCCTTGGGTGGCCTGCCTCTTCTCTTGGGGGCATCTGCTACCGTCTCGCTGGCCTTAGAGGCAGCAGTTGGCTTTTTGGCCGTAGCAGTAGTCGTAGCTATTGAAGGCTTTGCCTCAGCCTTTGCTGTCCTCCCGGGTCGTTTTGCTGCTGCTGCTGCTGCTGCTGGCTTGGCAGGCTCTGCTCCCTTGGCAGCTTGACCTCGTGTGGGTTTGGGCGCAGGAGCTGGCGCTCTGCCCCTAGTGGGTTTCACTGGTTCGGTTTCAACCTTTGCTTTCCGGCCTCGAGTTGGCTTGGATACCGTTTCTTCCGACTTTATACCAGATGCTTTCTTCGCGCCCTCTCCCGAGTCGGTGGCGGTCTTTGGGGGACGACCACGACGTTTGGGTGGATCTGCGGGCGCGGCCTTGACCTTCGCACTGCTCTTGGGTGTAGTCGCCGCCTTGGCTTTCGGGGTAGAATTTGCGTCGACCTTGGAGACCTTGGGCGCGGACAGGCGGGCAGAGAGGGAGTGTCGCTTCTTAAGAGGAGACGTGCGCTTGCCAGCACTGATTGGCCGCCCCCTGCGCGCAGGCTCTGTGGCAGGGGCTTTCGCGGGACTCTTTGCAGGTGTCTTGACAGGTGTGCGTGCGGCTGTAGCGCTGTCCAAGGCCTTGGGGGGTCTCCCCCTTCGCTTGGGCGTTTCGTCCGTGACGGTAGGAACTGGCCGCTTGGCACTGACGGGAGTCTTTCCAGTGCTCTTGGGAAGTTTGGTGGCTACTTTGCCAGGGGCAGAGCGAGGTGTGCGCGCTTTCACAGCTGGTGATGCTGCCGTCCCTGCAGCCATGCTCTTCCGAGCGGTGGGCTTGACCTTTGGCGTCTTGAGTGCAGCCACGCGCGGTACGGCGGCTGCCTTGGTCTTCTTACGACCGGGTGTTTTGACAGGCGTAGCGGTCATTGCACTGCTCGGCTGGACTGGTGCCGAGCGCTTCTTTCGGTCGCTGTAGTCTGACGAAACAAACATACTACTCACATCGGCGAGCATATCAGCAGCCGTGCGACGACGTCGCTTGGTTCCAGAGTCTGTAGTGGCATCTGCAGCTCTTCTCTTGGGCGGAACAGACATGGAGCCAAGGATGGGCTCTTGATGCTGCTGTTGGGGTGTCCCGGCGGGAATCGAAGCATCCGATCCATAGTCTGGCGATGGGGGCGCCGGAATCTCCAGCTCAATAGTGTCAGCTGGTGGCGATCCCGCAACGTCCTCGGCCGTGTCCATCCTCACAGCCTCGCGCGTCTCTGGCTCAATGTCCGCCGCGGGAACTGGTGTCTCAATGACAGTTTCCACGTGCTTCTCGATAGTTATTGGCTCATGCGACGCGGTTCTTATTGTCTCTTCTTTGTGGGTCTCCTCAATGACCTCTGTGTGGGACTCGACGACAACGGATTGCCCGTTGATCTCTGTCTCAGTAATCTCTGTAGACTCTTGTATGCGCACGCGTGACTGATCGTCGCCTAAGTCAATAGACGCTTCTCTCCCTCCCGTCACCGCAATGGGGGCAGTGTCCTCGAAAAGCGAGTCGTCTTCGACAGTATTGGTGCCGTTGGCAGTCGCGTGTCCCACAGGCGAAGGTGGCGCGTGCGCTGCACCAATTGAGGGAGCATCGTCCGTCGTCGCAATCGTCTCGCGCACTGGCTCAGACGCGGGCGCAGATGGCATCGCAATCTCTGGCGACGGGTCGCGCGCGACATCCTTGTCTTGCGCTGGCGCCTGCGATGCGTCGGGAAGCGCGCCAGACATGGTGGGCTGCTGGGTGGCTGTCGCCGTCGAGGGAGGCATGGCGCCCGACATTGTGTCGTCCTGGTTCATGCCGTCGCCAGAATAGAAATTGTCCATGAACGGCCGGAACGGCGATCCTTGTGCGCCCTGCAGAAAATCATCGTTGCTGGACGATTCGGCAGACATGTGCACCGGATTGACGTTATCAAAGAGGTCCGAGTCCATGGTGAGGGCGCGCAGAATGCGCAGGCGTTTTATGAGCAGAGCACGACCGCAGAATTGATGTACGTATGCGACGATAGGATACCGAGTATGGATGGTGGTGATGTTGTGATGGTGGTGATGCAGCTCGACACGACGCGGGACGCGCGACAGGATGTTATGACCGTTTTGGGACAGGGTAGGCAGCAATCACAAAAAGTACCCAATGCTCTCACATCCGTGAACATGGATCAGAAATCAGAACAACACACAGCACATATGTGCACTGGAACACTCAGCCATCAAGCTACTACAACTTCCCCTTCTTCTCACGCCCTGTCTTGAACCCGAACAAGTATCCCGCCACCTTGCGCATCTGCACCTCCTCACTCCCCTCCGTGATGCGATACCGACGAAAGTGCCTCCAAATGTGCTCAAATGGCTGATGCCGGCTGTACCCGTTGCCTCCATGGACCTGGATCGCGTTGTCGGCAGCCTGGCACACCAGTCGGTTGGCATAGTAGTTACACATGCTGATCTTGTGACCTAGCTGCTCCTCAATGGCCACCCACGCCGGGACCTCCTTGCCAGACGCGTACTCTCGCTGCACCCGGTCCATCTCACTCGCTGTGCGCAGGATCAGGAGGCGGACTGCTCATGTCAGGGTTGATCCATCCGCGGCATGTGTGGCGCATTCTACTTACGCATCTCAATTTGCGTCGAGAGCTCGACGAGTGGCCACTGAATCGCCTGGTTCGACGCCAACGGCTTGCCGAATACGACGCGATCTCGTGCATACCCAATGGACCTATCGACACAGAACTTGGCAGCGCCGCAGGAACTGGCCGCCTGGCGGATGCGGTTTTCGTGTGTGAAGGTCTGGGCGATGGCGAGGCCGCCATGCAACGGGCCCAGGATGGCCGAGTCTGGCACTTGAACGTCTTCCAACAGCACCGTGGCATGGTCGGTGGGCATGTTGAGCGTGTACTCGTACGAGGCAATGGACACACCCGGTGTTGCGCGTGGCACGAGAAAGGCCGTGATGCCGTGCGCTGAGCCAGCCTTGCCAGCCGTCCGTGCAAAGATTAGAAAGTGCGTGGCATGGTGGGCGCCAGTCTGCCATCGTTTGTTGCCGCTGATACTGAAGCCGGGCGATCCGTCTTTGAGCTTGATGGTCGTGGCCTTGGTGTCCATGTGCGTTGCGTCGCTGCCGTGATGGATCTCCGTCAAGCCAAAGGTCATGCCTATCCTGTCAATGGCGGTTACTTGGACAGATCACAGCACTCACGGAAATCCCCCCTGAGTCGCGCTGGGATGTACTCATCCTTCTGTTTGGTACTGCCCCAGTGATAGAGCATGAGGAAATCCGGAAAATTGCCCACGACACTGTGCTCCGTTTGCAGATCGTTGGCCAGACTCACTCCTCCGCCGTACAGGGGATTCGAAGCCAAGTGGAATCGAATGGCGCACATCCAAAGATTGGTATCCTCGTGCTCGAGGCCTCCGTATTCTTTGGGCAGCGCGAAACGGTAGAAGCCCGACTCGTCAGCAATCCTGTGCGCCCGTGCCAAGAGCGCTTCCCACTCAGGCGTGGGCAGGCCTTGGTTGTCCCATTGTGTTCGCGATGGTTCTCGACGGTGATCAAAGAATTGAATGTTCTCCTCCTCCATGGGAAGAATATCAGCCTTGATGAAGGCGTCGAGCTTGGCGAGGTAGGCCTGAAGCTCAGGCGGATAGTCGAAATTCATGGCGAGTGGATTGACAGTTCAGTGCGTCCGTGATGGTTTCAAGGTGAAGAAGCCCTGCTCCAATACCTATGCCTGGTGATCAGTGCTCAGCTACGTATTCTCCGTCTGGGGTAATCATGGGGATAATGCGGGGAAGCCGCAGGCCTCGGCAGCCACACTACGACTGTCCGAGACTCCGTCATGTAATGTATTTCATTCTCTTCACGGGCAGAATTATCGATGGACTCATTCTTTCAGAGTATCGACAATGGCTGGCCTAGTACGACAGCCCATTGACGTTGGAGCCCTCGAGGCCTACATAGGTCAGCACGTGCCAGGCATCGAGTTGCTCCTTGACGTGAAGCAGGTAGATCAAGCTCAGTACCAAACGCCATCACTGCCTAGCTGACTTTGTATAGTTTGGCTTTGGCCAGTCCAATCCAACCTACCAGCTCACCAGTCCAGATGGCTCCCGATACGTACTTCGCAAGAAGCCTCCCGGCAAGCTGATCTCCCAGGCTGCGCATAGGGTCGAGCGCGAACACCGCATCATCGAGGCCCTGGGTCCTACTAATGTCCCGGTGCCAAAGACATACTGCTTGTGCGAGGATAACTCCGTCATTGGCACACCATTCTACATCATGGAGTTCCTGGACGGGCGGATCCTAGAGGATGCGGGTATGCCGGGCATGACTGCCAAGGAGAGAAGCAGTCATTGGAAGGCGGCCGTCAAGACCCTGGCCAAATTCCACAGCGTCGACTTTAGAAAAGTTGGGCTGGGGGATTTCGGCAAACACAGCAGCTTTTATGACCGGCAGGTCGCGACGTGGCGGCACATGTCAGCAGTAGGTGTTTTCTCTTGATGCTGCCTGAAGTCCGTGCTGATCACCCGCCTAGTCCCAAGAAAAAGTGGCAGACGTCAAGACAGGAGAACCCGTTGGGCCCATCCCTCATCTCGACGAGATGCTTGCCTTTTTCTCTGATAAGCGACATCAGCCAAAGGACCGCACAACACTTGTCCATGGCGACTACAAGATCGACAACATGGTATTCCACCCTAGTCGCCCCGAAGTGATCGGCCTTCTCGACTGGGAGATGGCCACTGTCGGCCATCCGCTCCTGGACCTGGCCAACATGATTCATGCGTTCCATTTGGGCCCCCTGCAGGCCAAGCTGGGCTTCCTGTCGGACACCTTCCGACCGGGGACTACGCCTGGCCTGCCGACACCAGATGACATTATGAGGTGGTATAGCGAGGAGTCAGGTTGGGACCCGAAGCCAGACATGGCTTGGGCTGTTGCGTTTGCTGTTTTTCGCGCGTCTGCCATCAGTCAGGGCATTGCGGCCCGGGTGGCTGGCAAGCAAGCGACGAGCTTGGTCGCCAAGCATTATGCAGAGGCTTTTAAGCCGCTCGGTGAATATGCGTGGGAACTCGTTCAGATGGAGAGGGACAGAGTGACTAGGCAGGCCCGTCTCTAGACTGTATTTGTGCGGATTTCCAGCCTCGAGCTTCACCTTGCAACAGAGATGTTTACAAAGCCGGCATGCCAAGTACATTGCCCCCGTTCGCCATAGCCACAGGTCTGGAACGGACGTTCACGTTTGTTCATGATATGTTCAAGCCTGCATGTTCATGTTTCTAATCGTCTCCTCCGTGATGCGCAGAGTTTTCGCAGAACACCATGGGCGTTACGACCACAAGTGACTCGCGCACCGAACAACCACCATGTTCCAAAAGACCTAGGTAAATCTTCGTTTCTCTCCAAGGAGTTGAGAATCCTTCCTACCTTCTCATCACAACTTCTCTGAGAACCGCACGCCCAGGTCATAGTTGCTCAAGATGGCCGAATTCCCCCAGTTCTCCCTCATGGCCCCTGAGCTGAAAGACTTGATCTGGGGCAATGCGGCCAAACTCCAAGACTACCCGTACAACATCCTCGAGCAACGCAACGGCTCCGACATTGAACGAACCCCCGGCCTGCGCATCATCGGCACCGTCCACTCGTCCTTTAGCCAGGTCAACGTGGCCGCCAACGTGGCGGTAAGTAACCACCTCCGGACCCTCAAGTACACGAGCCCCATTGACCATATACAGCGCACCCTTCTCGTCGACTACGACACGTCCATCCTCTACCTGGGCTTTCTCTTTGACGAGCCCTGGGTTGTCAACGACCCCAACAACCAGCTGATCCTGCACGACCCGGAGCCGGCATGGTACTCCATCAGCAACAGCTGCCTGAAGAAAATCAAGCACGTCATCATCGCCTGGCACAGCATCTCCCTCATGTACAGCATCCACCGTCTGGCGCAGGACCTGCCCAACCTCGAGACCATGGTGCTCGACAAGACGTATTTCAACTCCGTCGACCCCTTTGGCGAGACGTGGGAGTGGGACGCCTACTGCGGCGTGGACGACCTCAAGAGGACGCCTGCGCGTCGGGCTCGGTATCTACGCGCCGTGTTTGACCAGACGCCTGCTGACGATGTGAATCGCGACAATCCAGAGGAGGTGGCGGTGGAGAATGATGTGGCCAGGGAGTGGGAGAATCCGCCCACCCTCCGCATCATCACCATGGGTCCTCGATTTTGGTGGCATTAGTTTGTTTGGGTTGGCCAGTCCTAGTGACGGCTAATGGTTTTCTACGAGTTTGCGTCTTTTCTGTGCTTGGCTTTTGTTTTTCCTTTGTATGCGTAAACGCGCCCGCTTTCACAACCAGACTGACAACTGTGGACGCGAGGCTTGGGAAAGGATAAAGTAGTTCAGATAGTGAACAAGTGCTTATTACTGCATGTCTACCAGTGACTGTGTTGCCTGCTAATTGCAAGTGTATCGTACCCTCTTCCCAAAGATGGGCGCAAACTAATACAAGTTCTCAAACATCCTGTTCGATCGGGTGCTTCTTCTCCGAGTCGTGCGAGTGGCGCGCCGCAAGACGGCCCGTGTTGAGCAGATCGAACAAGCCAATCTCCCTGTTGATCTCGTCCATGCGCTCAAAGTCGGCCTGGGCGGTGCCCTCGGAGCCAAAGATGATGTCCTGTGACGGGTCAGCCTTATTAAATAGTAATGGCACAAAAAACTTACCATCTCCTCGAGCGACAGACGCTTGGTCTCCGGGACGAAGAACCAGATGAAGCAAGCACCCAAAAAGGTGAAAATACCAAAGAGGATATATGTGCCATAAGTAATGTTCGCCAGCATGTCAGGGGTGACCTGTCCAACAATAAAGTTGTTCCTGCGCTGTTAGCCACGACAGCTTCACACGAAGAGTGTCCACGTACATCCAGTTGGAAGAAGCACCGAGAGAGACACCATATGGGCGGGTGCTCAGGGGCCAAATCTCGGCAATGAGGATCCAAGCACAGGGGCCCCATGAGTCTAGGTAATTGTCAGCACTTTTGTCCACATTTTCTCTTCAGGGCACTCACAGCCAAAGTGGATGACAAAGAGCCACACCATGACGACGGCAGCCCAACCTGAAGCCTGCTGCGTTTCGAAGTGATCGATATTCTTAGCCAGGATGACGGCAATAATGAAATGACTGAGACTCATGCCCAGTGCGCCGATGGTGAGCACGGGCTTGCGGCCGACGCGGTCAATCCATAGGACAGCGGGGATTGTCGCGATGAACATGACGATACCCACCACGCCGGTCGCCAACAGGCTCGTCGTCGTCGAGGACAGGCCGAGCTGATCGAAGATGGACGGGGCGTAGTACAGGATGGCGTTGATGCCGGACCTACAAGCTGTCAGCATGGTTCATCCCTAGGGGTACGCTGCCACTCACCATTGCTGGGCCACCATGGTGATGGTGGCCACAATCACGCGCTTAAACATGGCCTTTGTCTGAAACAGGGCGAGAATGGCGACAAACTGCAGCTTGGTGGTGTTCCAGGCCGTCTGCGCCTGCAGATGGGGGAACCTCTCGGCGATGCTGCGCTTCTCAAAGAGACTCTGGGCCTTGATCTCGAGGAACTCGAGTTCGACGAGCTCATGGGTCTCGGGCAGATGGCGCAGGTGAGACAGAACCTGGCGGGCCTCGTCCTCGCGGCCGTGGTGCAGCAGCCAGCGGGGCGAGAAGGGCATCCAGATCATGCCGATAAAGAGGAGGAGGGCGGGGGCGACCTGGAGACAGATGGGGACGAGCCAGGCGGCGTCGGACTGTGTCTCGAGGGTGGTGCCGCCAATGTAGTTGCAGCCGTAGTTGATCCAGAAGGAGATCATGATGCCAAAGGTGATGGCGAGCTGCTGCAGGCCGACGAGGGCGCCGCGGACCTCGGGAGGCGCGCACTCGGAGTTGTACAGGGGCACAATGGTGCTGAGGGAGCCGACGCCGATGCCGGTGATGAAGCGGCCGGCGAGGATGGGCTTGTAGCCGCCAGTGATGGAGACGGCCTGGACGATGACGCCGATGATGAAGAAGGCGGTGGCGATGAGGATGCCGTATTTGCGGGAGAAGATTTCGGCGGTGGCGCCGGACATGACGGCGCCGAACCAGGCGCCAAGTTCGAGGATCGACGTGAGCCAGCCCTTGTTTGTGGGGTTGTCAATGTATCCATTGGTGTGCTTGCCAAAGGAGGGCATGACGAGGATGCCTGAGAACATGCCCTGATTGTAGCCGTAGAGGACGCCGCCGAGACAGGCGAAGCAGGCGATGCGGGCGACCCTCCAGTTCTTGACGAGGGCGCGCGGGCCACTCTTGCCCATGAGGGCCTGGCGACGCTCGAGGGCGGCATCGTAGCCGGCGGTTCCAGATGGTGCACCTCCCATGATGTCTGTCTGTCTTGTGGAGATGGCTGACGAGTTGGGCGATCGATCTTCAGACCAGAAGACGTGATGGGGACGCAGGCCAGTCCTTCGGTCTCGTCTTTGTGTATATATATGGTCTTGCTGACATGCTGCTCGGTGTCTCTGCGGAGGAACACTGATCGTGGGGAGGGCCTGGTATCATGACGGGTAAATACATTGGGCAGCGTTATTGGCTGGGTGAAATCGTCCCCGGGTCTGGGGTAATTCAGCCTATGCAGAGGACCCGTTTGGTCACGGCACACACGGCAGTATCCATTATTCTCCGGGTATGGATGTCTGTGCTGTGAGGTCGTCTGTACGGCGTAAAGGAACGTGATCGCCCTAGTGCTGTATGTAAGCCGTCATGGATTCGGCCGTATTGTCATTCGCTGCTCGTCATCCGGCTAATTGGCAAGATTGGCTGTGGGCGAGCATATTAGCCCGTCAAAATGCGTCCTGCAGGATAGTACGCACTTGGTATATCCAGTCGGCATGGCCCTCGGGAGTCGGGAAAGGATGTTAGTTGAGGTCTGGTATTTCACAGACGATACAGCCTTGTCTCCCTTCGGATCTGATGATTCGCCCATCTTCTCAATAACGCCTCGCAGACAGCACTGAGTACCAAAGCAAGGACTGGAGCCCAAACTGGATTGCTTGCTTGATGTCTGGTGGCCAAGAGACCAAGACGGCTCCCGCCAACTACCGTGCCTCCCCATTGGCGCGCATATGCCAAGGTGAGGTCCGCGTATCGATGGCGCTAGAGTCTGGGTGAAGTTGGAAGTTGGAGGTGATAAATGAGTGTCGAAGGAGTCAAGGTGAAGGTTGCTCCATCCATGATGGCTGCTGGCCCAGTTCTAGGGCCTTGTCACTGGGAGTACCGTTCAATAGTCCATGTCTTCAAACACCAGGGCGCTCGACTTACACGGTACGGGAATAATGAATCACTGACCAGAAGCACTGAACCCGCTAGAGCCGCGTCAGTGACAGGGGTCTGTAGGCTGCCGTCGGGTATTGTCGATAGTGGACGGGCCCGGGGCTTTGCATGCCTGATTAGGCAACCGTAGCGGGACTGGAGTGTCTTCGATAGGCATTGAATCTGAACGACAGTATATCTAGTCCGAAGTGTCTACGTATCTCATTGTATATGCTTTCTCGAATGTATTCGAGGCTATAATACGTACGCACTCGTAAGGATTTCACTGCAGTGTTTTACAGCAGGTATCTAACAGTGCCTCATCTGATTGAGAACAGTTGGGGAGATACAGTCCATTCTGCACTAATTCGTTTCAAGGCAGTAACGGACATAAGCTTCACTGTTCCAGGATCCTCTGATAGATGGCAATTATCGGGACAATTCAACTCCTAACGTCACTCAGAGCATACAGATCCGTTCTCAACGTAAGGCGTATGTATCTACTCTTGACGGCAAGGAGCTTGCTGCTAGCGATGGTGCGCCGCTTAAGGTAGGCAATTACCCTGGGCAAGGGTGATACGCTCACGTGACTCCCACCTTGGCCGGTCGCGTCCATCTCCCTCACCAGAACGTCATCCATCACACATCACTTCACATTCGTGCGTTCACGACAGCTCGCTGACGAACGCCCATATTCATTCCAAAAATACACAATGTACATTCGATAATATCGCAAGAAAATATCGCTATTCTCGTTCTATCGAGACCTCACTGGTTCCCGTTGTTGATGAGCGCGGTGGTCGTGCCGTTGGGCGCGCCCGTGATGACCTGCAGGCCCGTCTTGGCAATGTACCCGCAGAGCCCGTCCATGGACTCGCCCTTGCCGAGCAGGTACGCCGCCAGGCCAGCGACGTGCGGCGAGGCCATGGACGTGCCGTCGAGCTCCTCGGTCTTGCCGCCAGGCACAGTCGAGAGGATGCCAACGCCCTGTCATCATTAGCCCTGCTATACCTGACAATAGGGAAGAAAAAGACTTACAGGAGCAATCACGTCGACGAGCTTGCCAAAGTTGGAAAAGTCGGCGAGCCGGTCGTTCGCATCCGAGGCACCGACCGTGCAGGCCTTGGGCTCAGAGGCGGGCGAGCTGCTAGCAGCGTTGGCGGCCTCGTTGCCGGCCGCGACGGCGAGGAAAATGCCCGCGTCCGCGATGGAGGCCGCCGCGTCGTTGATGGCCTGGGAGAAGCCGCCGCCGAGGGACATGTTGACGACGGCGCCCTTCTCGCAGCCCTGGCGGGTGGGCGCGTCGTCGACGACCCACTCGATGCCGGCGATGATGCCCGAGTTGGTGCCCGAGCCGGCGTCGTCGAGGACCTTGACGGCGAAGAGGCTGGTCTTCTTGGCCACGCCGTACGTCCGGGAGCCAATGGTGCCGGCGCAGTGGGTGCCGTGGCCCTGGCCGTCCGAGTCGCCGTCCTGCGTAAAGTTCTCGAGCCACGTCGCGCGCCCCTCGAACTCGGGATGGTCGACGTCGATACCCGTGTCGAGGACGTAGGCGCAGGTGCCCTCGCCGGCGGACTCGTCGTAGGTGTAGGTGGTGCCGCCGGGCGTGGCGCTCGAGAGGCGGGCAAGACCCCAGGGGGCGTCCTCCTGGGTGGTGGCGGCGGCGATGGTGACGGTGGCGTCCTGCTCAATGTAGTCGACGTTGGGGTCGTTCTGGAGGGCCCTGAGCTCGTCGTCGTCGAGGCTGGCGGCGAAGCCGGCGAAGCCACGCTGGTAGGTGTAGTCGGCGTCTGCCTTGATGGAGCTGATGGCCGAGTGGACGGCTGTCGAGACGGTGTTGGACTTCATGCGGACAATGTACTTGCCCTCAATGTGGGTGCCGCCTCGGGGGACGACGACGGGGGCAGGGCGTCGGACGGACGGGGCGGCGGCCGCCATGGGCAGGAGGGCGAGGAGGGTAGAGACGAGCATGGTGAGGATTGTGGTGGATGTACAGGCTGAGCTGGACGTAAAGGACAGTAGAGGCAGTCTGTGCAGGATGTTGGAGAACGAGTGAGTGCGTGAGTAGCTAGAGAGTTGCTTGCGTGTCGGTGAGAGCCAAGGAACGACTTGATGCCGTCCTCTGGCGTCCTTTTAATCATCCAGACATGCACTTTGTGGCGGACGGGTACCTGCGTCCAGTCGGTCGTCGACGACGCCTCGACGCTCGACGATCCAGCCAGGGGAACGAGCCAATGAAGCGCGTCATGGCGTCTGCTGCCGTGGTGCCTCCCCATTCAGGCCAAGAGCTCCGTGGGGAGGACGTTGATCGCTAGGCGGTGTCGGAGTCGGACGCACTTGACAGTGAGTGGCCCGACCGAGTGACCGACCCACGAGGATCGACGGTCAAGCTTCGAGAACCTGCAGTCTGCTCCCGCTTGTTTCGCGACGACGGAGCGAGGGCTGGACGCGCGCCGCTCATTGCTTCAAGTCCATGGGAAATGGCAGCCGATGATGCGTGCGACGCTGCTCGAAATTTGGCTACATGTACGTTCTGCTGTCGTCGGCCCACGCTGCACGCTGACTGGTGCGTGCCGCGGCGCCTTTAATGTCGCGTCCAACCAACGACGTCTCTTCTCTCGCCCTTAACTGGCTGCGATAATAACCATCATGGCCTAGATTAGCATTGAATTAAGATGCATTCCAAACGGTCCAATTGCCGACGCCAGCAGGGCATGCCCGTCTTGGAGAGCAGGTTTGACGGATCGCCAATTCATGCGTGAGAACTAGACCAGCGACTGGTCTTCAAGCGCATGAATATCTCCGTCTCGTCGGTGTAGATCATTAGTCAATCCACATTCTGTATCTGTCATCTGGACATGCGTGACACAAACGGTCCTAATCTGCTGGGTGCCGTGGATTCGGTATCCGTCTTTTTTTTTTATTTTAGACTACGTTTGATATTCCTCCGTCTGTGATCCTCCCGTTGCTATTTACGCCAGTGTTTCAATCATCGTCCAACTTGACAAAAGTGCATGTCGCTGAAACGGGAAGGCTGACAGACAGGCGGACCGATATTGACCAGATCTCATTGTCCGCCAGATGCGCTCGACGGCGTGAGAAGTTCGTGACTGGATGGGACGAAGCAGATCATTCCAGTCGCAGAGCTGGCAGCAGAGGGTTGAGTCGCATCAGCTGCACGTCGTGGTGTCGAGTACATGTAGCCAGCCTGAGGGCAGACCCGAGGTAGCCTCGGCTACAGCACATTAGTATCGCATGCGCTGAGGACCTGTTTCGTTTGGAAATGATCCAACAGGTCTGTTTCCATTGCGGACCTTTTGTCGCCATCAACCAAGGGAATCCATGACCACTCGGTTTCATGCCGTACAACAGAAGTTCTCTCGTGTGACTGTAGCGATTTGCATCGGGTCATGATGCCTCCTGAGCCGATTCACCCGAATCTCCAAGTTTGTGACACTCGAGTGTTTCCAAAACATTGTTGGAAGCCTGATATCGGCTTGAAGTTCAGTCGCGAAACAGCTCAATACACACACGTGAATACATGTAAGCCACATGAAAGCTTCACTGGTGTAATCTCTCCCCAGACCACATCATCTGGCGTCGCCAAGCGGCGCCATTCAGCATCAAGCTTTGCGGCGAATCTCCTGACACGTCTTGGCCCCATTTTGACATGAGCTTGGCGATCGTCGCGCCCCTGGCTTTGCCTAGTGCGGAAAGTGGTATCGCGGCGGGTTGCAAGCATGCGTGGATGCGCCTGTGGACTGGAAGCTTTGAAGATCATTCAAAAGGCCTTCGAATGCGTCCTTTTGACGTGAATATGTGTGCATTCATCTTGAAAGGGGCAGGGGCATTGTGAGTGATCGGAACCTGCCTGTCATGGTATAGATTTCGACCATGCGTTTGTCAGATAGCAGGCTGCACGTGCGAAACCCGAGTACATGGCCTGGACTATCTCTGATGAGGCACTTTCGCGCTTTACAACGCTTTAGAAAGAATTAGGGTTCACTCCTGCCAAGTGGTCCAAGGTGGGATGCATATCCAGGTATCTCATCTCGAGACGCTGGACGCAAAGACTGGGTGTAGATGAGACACAGAACTGCACCGATGACGGGATCAAGGAAGACTCAGCGAATGATAGTGGGCAACTGGCTCGTCATAGAGTCGATAACGGTGAAACTATCCCGAAACAAAATCGGAAGCGGTTGAACACATTGGAGGCAGGACAAATACCGACAGGCCTATGTCTGTAGACGAGTGCAGCCTGGCAGCTTCCTGATCTCATGGATGCTTCCCAGACATTGCATGTCAGATCTTGCATTCAGAGTATCAGGGGCTGCTTTCTGTGCTTCCCAATCTAGAGCCTTCCGTCATCTTACTCCTCGAGATGTTACTACTCAAGCTCGTCCAGACCGCTGGTCGTGCTCTTCTTCGCCCGTCTTGTCCATACTGCCACGAGGGCTGATTTTGGCGATAGATTCTTTACTCATAGTAAGCAGCACCAAAATTACACCGTCAAGAACCCCAGTTCAAAGGCCCACCGACCAGCCCGCAGCCTCCGCCTACACAAGCCGCGCAGTGATCGCGTAAAAAGACGCAACACCCTCCACAATACGACGCACATCCTCCTGCCTGATATTCGCGTGCACCGTCAACCTTAGGACAGGATGCTTCGGCGAGGTTGCGGGCGGGAAGAACGGCGCACCCAGTATACCCTTCTTGGAGAGATGTCGATGCAACCTCGCCATCTGCTCCTCGTCGTCCGCGCAAAGACTCACAATCGGCGACGGCAACGTCCCCGACACGCTGGCCAACCGGGACACCTCGCCCAACTCGCTGCGTAACCGCCTCGACACGTCGAGCAGCCGCGCGCGCCTGTCGTCCGCGTCGCAGATGACCTCCCACGCCGCGCGGATCCGCACAATATCATTCCGCAGCAGCGCCGAGCTGAAGATGTTGGGGAACGAGTGTTCCTTGACAAACAGACCGTGTCGCCCAAACACAACACCGGCCCGGGTCGAAAATGCCTTGGCCAGACTGGCCGTGACATAGTCCACCTCGTCCTGCAGACCGTGCAAGTGGACGAGCCCCTTGGCGCCGTACACACCGAGGGAATGCGACTCGTCGACAACCAGCAGACAGCCATACTCGTTCCGCAGCCGGACCATGTCTACCAGAGGGGCAAAGTCACCGCTCACGCTGTACAGCGACTCGACGAGGATGAGACCCGGTCCGTGCTGCCGGATCTTGTCCTCCATGTCGGCGGCGTCGTTGAGCTGGCATCGATGGAGTCTTACCTTGCGGGCGGCGAGGCCGTCGTAGAAGGACATGTGGACGAACATGTCGGCATAGACGTTGGTCCCAGGCAGACAGAGGGCATGCATGAGACCGACGTTGGCGGCGTAGCCCGACTGCGCGAGGTAGCAGTCCTTGCCGTACCACGCGCCGAGGTCGTCCTCGAGTTGGGTGTGGGGGTTCATGGTCTCGCGGGACAGGAAGAGGGGCGAGTAGACGGCGCCGCGACCGGCGGAACTCTTTAGGTCTTCTATCTGGGCCGCGAGGATGTGTGGGTGGTGGACGAGGTTGAGGTAGTCATTGTCGCAGAGGGTGATGTCGTGGTGGGCGTCCTCGGTCATGATGAGATCGCGGATGATACCCTTTTGGCCGCGCGTGCGTGTGCGGAAATACGTGTCAACTCGACCTGTGAGATTCTCCATGGCAAATGGTGTTTTTTTTAAGTGATGAATGCGAGTCCTGAGCTGTGGACAGAGAGCTGTGACCACGGGTTGTGTTGGCGAAGATGCTGGCAGAAGGGAGCCAAGTTATAGCACAGCATCGGTCTGGCCTCCCATGACGTCCTCAAACAGCTACCTGTAGGTTTCGGAATCTTTCCATCCCGGAACACAAGTATTTGAGGCCATGATCGGATCTGATTTCTTTCAGACAATGCATTGGAGGGCATGGGACGACTGTGTCGTTGTCTCACGGCTTCTGCGTACCCAATGTCTCATGGCTCCGGCAGATGTGCGAGTTCAGCTCTTGGACACAGCCGTCGACCATCTCATTCCTACCAGATGAGCGCAGACAGGTGTTGTGTTCGTTCCACGCATGCGCCCCTGGAGAGCTGAGACTCCCCGGCGCGATCCGAACATTGTCGGTGATTGTCTGGCTAGCCATGCTTCGATGATGCGTCTGGCGCTGGCATGCGAATAGCTGCACCCACGGCATAGATGTACGTCGCTTTAGAGATCTAGACCTATTTCCCTTCTCGCGACACAGTCTTCGGCGTACCATGGTACCGGTGCGCTGGGGTGGATATCTGGAGGCGAGCCACAGCGTTGGGACTGGCCCTGGCGATATCCTCGTCGTATTCAATGTCTCGGTTGATGACATCCAACCCACAGTCAACGTCTTATTGCTCATCAGGAGTCAAGAGCCTCCTGCCGGGTGACAATCTATGTTGGCGAAACTGCAGGCCTTCCACATGCGGTGTGGTGTCTGCCAAGGATCTTCTTGGCTGAGGCTTATCGGCTCTATCGCACGGCCGTCAAGCTTCAAGGGTCTTTGCCTAGGTGAGCTGTGTTTCAAACTTGTTCAGGAAGCACGTTCGAGTCCCTGGTTCGGCAGCCTCAACTTGCAGCCCTGCCTCTCTTGGCTCTGCAGGCCGGGGTGGTTCAGTCGCCAGCCACATGCGATGTGTTCAGTGTGCTGTTTATGTGTATAACTATTGTATATATAATGTCCACGCTCCCTATGCTTTGGGCAGCCCTCCTCCACCTTTCCAAAACCCTGGATCACCTGCACCGACCGACCGCTTATCTGACAACCACCCTTTAGACTTTGTGTGGCGAGGAACAGCGACGACCCTCTTTTCACCACGTGCAAGTCATTGCCAATCTCCATTGCGCATCCAGTCGCATAATCGTCACCGTCATTCGAGGACGGTCGGGCGGGGCGCGAGGCGTCCATCGCGGAGGGTGAGACAAACCCCATTCTGGATCCAGTCCCCAATCGGCGTCCCCGACGCGACATGGAGCGACTCTCTCAATTGAGCTGGACTCTGTCGACCGAGGCTTCAACGAGCTGCCACCAAGCGAGGGCTTAGGGATCATTTCGACATATGCACCCTTTCACGACAAAGGTCCGAGGCCAGCCGCGTCAAACGCGCCCAGTGATATGTCACATTGTCGCTATCAGTTGAGCCGCCCCAACCCATCCTGACAACAGTTAATCAGGACAAAGGACAAAAGGACTGGAGGCCGCCATTGCGACGTCCAATGACGAGGGGGCGGGAGGGCGGCCTCGCACTTGTGCTGTGGGTGGGTGGATTGACTCTTGTTGGTGTCCAATGTCCAATGTCCACTGATACGACCCCATTGAACATTGAACTCTATCCGCCATAAGCTTAGAAGCTACGTACCTTCTGGAATGCGCTACTGGGCGGCTCCAATATGTACGTAGTAAGCCTCCATTTAAGCTTGAGGCCATCCCCGCGTCGACATGGAGACTGTCACTGGACACACTGGAGTCGAGACGCAAGCGTCCGCCCGGGGCAGCACCAAGTCGGGCATTGTATGACACATGGAAAAGGCGAGGCGGCTTGCGTGTGTGGAGAGAGACAAGAGCAAGGCTGAGTCGACCAGCCAATGCCCGTCCGCCCAGTGATGGCAATGGTCACGTCCCAATGGTCCCCATCGCCAAGCGCGCCCAATGACCCCAGGTTCCGTGCGTGCCAAGGAGCTTAGGGGCCTGTGAATGTCTGGGTCTGTTGGCTCGTGCCACGGCCACAGTGTCTGTGCGTGCGTGCGTGCGTGCGTGCGGGGGAGATTGCTGGCGCGGCGATGCATCATGGACGCGCTTCCTTGGAGGCTTCGATTGCTTCGAATCGCCGCAATGGGTGCTCCCAGTGTGGCACGGATCCTTGCTGCCAAGAACCAGCGTCTAGCCGTGTGCCGAAGGCTGAAGATAACGCGGTCCAGCTACGTAGGGGGCACTCGCTCACGTGCAATCGATGGCTGGTCGCTCGTTACGTACGTAGTGAGTGAGATGGGCACGCGGTTGCTTGCTTTAAATGCGCCTGTCCTCCACACTCGGGGCGGATCTCTTCTCCTCCTCCTCCACCACCTTTTCCTCGCCATCCTCCACTCGATTGACACTCGCCAAACCGACCAGCGCAGGTCAGCCAGCCAGACAGCAATCATGGGCTTTGGAAAGAAGATCCTCCACGTGCTGTCCCCTCCAGGGGACAAGGAGTCGGACGGGCGCGACAAGTTCCCCAACCGCCTCTCGTTCATCCTCGCGGCCATTGTGCGTTCTTGCGACTTTCCCCTCAACCGATATCAAATGCTAACACACACAGGGCGGCGCCGTCGGCCTGGGCAATGTCCTCCGCTACCCATCCGTCGTCTTCCAGAACAGCGGCCTCCAGTGGTTCATCCCGTACCTCATCGCCCTCTTCTTCCTCGGCATCCCCGTCCTGCTGCTCGAGCTCAGCCTGGGCAATGCCTACCGCGCGGGCGTCGTCACCTCCTTCAACGGCATGAACCGTCGCGCGCGGGGTGTCGGTCTGGGCGTCGTCCTCACCGGCTACATGGTTGTTTGCTACTACGTGCCCATCCTCTCGTGGGTCATGCACTACTTCCGCTCCTCGTTCCAGAGCCCGCTGCCCTGGGACGGTCGCGGCACCGAGTTCTACATGCAGGACGTCATCGCCAACAAGGACCCCATCCCCGGCGAGATTAACGCGGCTGGCGACGTCGTCCGCTACACCGTCTACCCGGGCAGCGGCATGGTCGGCGAGACGGTCGGCTGGACGGCCTTTATCTGGTTCTGCGTCTGGCTCAGCATGTTCAAGGGCGTCGGCGTCACGGGTCGCGCCATCTACTTCACCATGGGTCTGCCCATTGTCATGCTCATCATCCTGCTCGGCCGCTCCGCCTCGCTCGACGACGCCGTCGTCGGCATCCGCTATTACTTTGCCGAGTGGCACGGCGGCAAGCTCGCCAGCGGCAAGATCTGGCAGGCCGCCTGTGGCCAGATCTTCTTCTCCATCGGCGTCGGCTTTGGCTACTTCACCACCTACTCGTCCTACAGCTCGCGCTTTGCCAACATTGTGCAGGACACGCTCATCATCGCCTTTAGCAACTCCCTGTTTGAGATTGTCGCCGGCTTCGTCGTCTTCAGCATCGTCGGCTTCCTCGGCCTCAACCCCAACAACCCAGAGGACAACGCCGCCGTCGGCACCTTTACCGTCGGCTTCCTCACCTACCCGCTCGCCCTCAGCCAAATGTCCGGCTCCAACTTCTTCTCCGTCGTCTGGTTCCTCACCATTGCCCTGCTCGGCATCAGCTCCTCCGTCGCCCTCGTCGAGTCCCTCATCACCATCGTCAACGAGAGTCTGCTCGGCAACCACGTCAAGCGCTGGAAGACGGCCACCGCCATTGTCATCATCTCCTTCCTCATCTCCCTCGTCTACTGCACCCAGTTTGGCTACTACTTCCTCGACGCCGTCGACACCTGGGTCAACAACATCACCCTCCTCCTCATCGTCTGGTCCGAGATTGTCGCCATGTCCGTCCTCTACCGCAAGCCCGACGTCTGCGACCAGGTCGGCAAGCTCTCCTTTTACCTCTACACAGCCGCCTACGTCCTCTCCATGTTCCTCGGTGTGGTCGTCGGTCAAGCCGTCTCTCCTGGCGCCGGCGCCGGTGTCGGTTTCGGCATCTTTGTTGTCGGCACCATTGCCAGCGTCCTCCTCGCTCGCACGCCAACCTCAGTGGCCCCCCGGTTCTTTGGCCGCAGCGCACTCATCAGCAAGTGGTGGTGGCTCGCCCTCTACTCCACCAACCAACTGCGTCGCGACTTTAATGTCATTCTCAGCCACGGCGGCAACTGGCGGATTCCCTTCTTCTGGGGTCCCGTCCTGCGCTACATCTCCGCCCCCATCCTCGCCATCATCGCCTCCTTTGCCTACCCGGATTTCTATGCCCGCGGCCGCCTCGACCCCCTCCACATCTGCGGCTTCACCTTTGCCCACGTCGCCCTCTTCTTTGCTGTGGCTGGACTTATCGTGCCACGTGCCTTTGATGTCTTTGTCCAGCCGGACCGCCGCAACGAGAGCAAGATCACCGCCGCGCCCCAGGCCCTCATGCCCGGCTTTGTCGCGCGCGTCCACGAGGCCCGTAACGGCGTCGTTCACGGGGAGGAGGCCGGCACCTATGATAATACCTATGACAATGGTACCGAGCACTTTGGCCATGGACACGGGAACGGGAAGAAGCTTGACGGGTAGGGGTGGGCCGGTGGGCGCCCTTAGAGCAGAGTTCTATAGCTAGTAGCTAGCTGCGGCAAGAATCCCTGACCAAACAATGATTCCAGAGACAAAATCCGCATACACGCTGTGAAATAAAGTGCAGTTGATTCATACGTCTCGTTCTCTCATTCATCTCGTCCAAGCCAATGCTTCAACGGAAGAGAGAAGTATGAGTAGGATATCCGGTCCTGGAACTGGCGCGGATAGGGGCGGAGACATGTTCTTCCTTCTTTGCTTGCCTCTTTACCGTTTCTCGAAAGTGAGCATCCCAATTGAGGCCCTGGATGCCATCACGAAGGCGCTGGAAGATGGGCTTGATTTTGTTTGTCAGGTTGCATTCCTGCCTGTGTCTACCGCCGTCGAATAATGCGGATCCTGGTCCTGGTCCTGGCTCACCCGTATACCTGGGGGCGTGAATCTTCTCCACGGCTGCTTGAAATGCATCGAAACTGAATCCATGGAATGGCGCCTGCGGTTGAGGATCATAGAGTCCGAGTGTGTGCAGGCCTTTGGCAAGAAGGCCAAACTGAAACGCAGCGCAGTTATAGGAGCAAGGCGGATCATGCTTATAGAAGCTCTGTAGAAGCGCATGAACCTGTCCAATGGTCTTTGCCACGAGGTCCTGTCTGGCCTTTTCAAGAGGGTCTTGGGGGAAAATTGTTAGAAATGTACGCAACATGTAGACAGCACCCACCTCCTACATACCTCGAATGAGTGCTAAGGGCGGCAGGTCGAGGTGATGTATCGGGCCCCGAGAATGCAACAGATAGACCTTGGTCAGCTTCTGGAACATTTCTTTCTCTTGGAAAATGCAAGACACGAGCAGCCGGAGCAAAAAGCCGGTGCCGTACTGCCACTCGGCCGGCGTCTCAATCTGCTCAGCCCAGACCTGAAAAAAGAAGTCGACGGCTTTGTGGAACTTGTAATAATCTACAACGACAGCCACCTTTGCCAGAAGGTCGAGACTTATTTTCCGAGGGACCTGGTGTGTTTGTCCGTGAACGATGGACATGACCAGTCGTAAGGCTTCAAGGTTCATGTTCTCAGCACGCACGACGTGAGCAAATTCACCAGACTCAGGCACGCTCTCGGCAAACCCCTTTGTCAAGGCACTCTTGAAGTAATCTGAAGCCAGGATCAAGTGTTGCGACGAGAGACGCATCTTGCGCTCGGCTTCATGTGGCGTCGGCACAAATTCCCAAGAATACCCTTTAGGCTGCGTTGAACTTGAGACCGGCAATGTTGGGGGCAGGCCGCCAAAGACAAGAGGCATCGTGGACTTCTCCGTCGTTGAGGCACTGGTCTTGTGCGTTGGCAGATGATTGGGCCACGGACTGACTGCATCCACGTCCACCCAGGTCATTTGAGGGCGGGTGAGGATGAGCAGCGTGTCGCCAGACGCATCAAAGTCGTTGGACGTGTCAAACGTCAATGCCGTTGTCATCTTGAAGAGCGAGGCCGATTACTTGGACAGCGCGTGGTCTGATCAATGATTGATGGAAACTTGCACAAGGAACATGAAGCAAGCTGCTGAAAGTTGAAGTTGAGTGTACGGAGCGTTGGAGAATTGCAGGACATGCTATGCGTTCAAGTTATTTACATAACGGGGCCCTATTCGGAGTCCAGATCTCAACCCCTTGTTGGGAAATTAATTAGCAAGGTGCCCTTCCTCGTCTGTTCCCGTGCGAAGCATAAAGATGATCAACTGCAAAATGTTCATGTTGAAGGTAAAATTGACACAACAGCTGTTTCATGCGGATGGGGTCGAGGACGAACGCGAGTTGAAAAAGTGATTAGACTACCCTGTAGCATGACGTTCGGATCACGACGGGCATGTGACCCATTGGTTTCTCTAGGCAGCACTCGAGTGTTATTTACAGTCCTCGAATTATTCTCAAATCAAGTTCAGACCCATAAACAAAGGCAATCACATCCACTTGGTGATAATGTGGCAGCAGCTGTCATGGGGGGGCTTCCCTTTAACAAGCACGTGGAAACTCAGCGAGGCGTTTGTCCAATTATTACTGATATTGTATTACGAACTCGAGATACGAAGAATCTTTCCTATGCACCTCAAGATAAATCATCTACATCAAATAGACCATCCTCATGCATCTGCCGCACAACAGGATAGACAGCCCGCGCAAAGTTGCTCCTCCTCTCCAACACATATAGTGGTGTGATCTTTTCGAAATTGGGGACTTTATGACCCCAACGAGCCGCCGTAAAAGCATGCAAGAGATACGTAGACGACCAGTCTCGGGCCCAGTCGGGAAAGTCTCCAGGCGTCTCCCACCGCTCGTCAAACGCTTCGTCGTACGTCGGCAGCGGGCTAGTATCAGTCGCGTTGGCGAAATTGGATAGCACATCGTCGTGTGGCGCAAAGAGCTTGTCCGTATCGTCATTTTCCCAGCTGCCAGGTGCAAAGGCGTCGCGCTCCATGATGAGCATCTCTCCTGGCTCGCGGACGAGACGCTGTCCAAATTTCGTGATCACCTCGTTGCTGTGCGTCGTCCAGCCTCCTGTGTAGGCAGTGTGCATCCCGTGCATCCATCGCTCGACCATCTTCCCCCCTTTGACGGACATGAAAATCCCACTGTTGATCTGGCCGCCTAGCTGCCTGCCAGCAATCGCTTTGAACCCGCTTTCTCGGAGGATGCGTATGTCTCGCAGCGCGTGGACGTCGAAGTCAATGTACACCCCACCAAGCTCATGCACTTGTTTCACTCGTACGAAATCGGACCTATGCTCCATGCCTTGGATTTCCTTGCCGGTGTTCGTATGCGTTGGTGCCTCGACGGTGTTGATACGGAGATTATCGAACATGTTGAAAATGAGCTTGTTCCACTTCCCAGACTGTCCCTCGCGTGCTCGTGTTATCGCCTGCCCCTGTTCGTCGGCATTGGTGTGGAGGTAGATGACGTCTGGCTTCCAGTAGTACCATGCGGCGTACATGGAGAGGAAGTGTTTGAATTGGAACGAAAAGTCTTTTTCGGGGTCTGAGAGAACGAACACAAAGTGGACGTGGTTGGGAATGTATCTATGTTCAGTCGTCGCGGGAGTGTCGCAGGTCACTGATGCCGGAGAGTTTGATGCTGGAGCATCTGTTGCTGGAGGGCGCGGCGATATACTATGTGTGTCTGCCACTGAGGATGCAAAAAAGAGGAGATTTAATGTCAGAATGAAAATAGCGAATGACAAAATGATCGCTTTGGTGGAAATATGGCTCCATGCCACGAACAACCGCGATGTCCCAGCTTTCCGCACATTGCTGGAATCCGGTATCATGACGGCGGAGTGTGGGCAAGGATGAGTGATACAAGAAAAGAAAGGGGAAACAGAAATACAAGAATAAAGAAGTTATCGCTCTCGCTTGTCGCTTGAAAATTAATGGAGAGAGGAAAGTATGCAGACAACACCGGTCGGGGAGGAATTGTTTGTCGAGAGTAAGCCCCCTAATCCTAAGCGCGATACGAAGTAGATGCAGCCCACCAGGTGAGAACACGAAAGGGGAGACGCTAATTATGGAAAGGCTCCCGGTGTCAACTGTCAAGGCCAGACGGCGATTGCCGACGTAGTATCCGTTGGTCAGCTTGCAGCATGTTGACAATATGTCGAGCCAGCCGTGCGTACGGAGTACCAATGTCAAGACTGGTAATCGGGTTGATGATTGCGCAGAGCTTGCCCTCAAGTCTCGAAAAGCCAAATGAGAAATACCACGGGTTGGTCCGTCACAGGCTGGAAAGATTCTCATTCCAAAGTCTTGAATTTTTCTCTCGATCGTTCTGCCTCTCTCCCTGATACAGCGTACTCCGTACACATACCTGGATGATGAATATGCATGTTGGTTCTGCTCAAACGCAAACTGCATCCCAGTAATGTTGGACGTCCTCAACGGGCAGGGGAGATAAGACTCAGAGACGTCGTCTATTGGCCTATGACCGGGATAACCCCCATTGAGCATCTTGGCGCTCACGGCCCCAAATCCCGATGCCCGAGCGGCTCAAATCGGCATCTGATTAGAGCCGCCCAAACCACACGCCTGGTACCAACACGTCACTTGTCGTCAGTAATGATTAGCCTAATAGGGCATGGTTCCTTGAGCTCGCCTGACGCCAAGACTGTTGGTTGCGACGATATTGAACAAGGCTCGCAGAAGAAGACTGGATTCACCAGGCAGCTTGTCCATCGCTATGATGTAGAAGCTGGAGCCTGTATCCGTATCAGGGCTTTGATGGCATCCAGAAATTGTCACCTCTCACGTAACCAGGGTATATCGATCTAGGTAGAAGGCGGCGGCACGCTTAGACCAATTCACGTCTCTGCCTACGTGCTCGGCTTCATGCAAAGAAGCCTGGATTCTCATGCTGTTGGTTCACCCCTGGTTCTTTGCGACAAAGATCCAGCCCCTTGGCACAGCGTTGGCATTCGTGTGTCGTAGTCCAGTCGTACTGGGAGTATTGCCGCCGTCTCTGGACATGTGCACTTCGTTTTTGTATGACCCCTTTGATCTGTGCTGAGTTCGCGATACCTGGAACCCGCAAGTAACACTCCTCAAGAGACTGCCATTTTCTCAGTACGACTCGACCGATGTATTACAGAGACTGAATTTCTTGACACTTCCAGACACCAATATGGGAACATTCACGGGTCTTCAAGGCACAGTCCTCGGCCCTCTCACGACGTCGTGGGTGGCCCCATCGTTCTGCACTGCTCACGTGCTGCCTTGTTCAACATGCTCGGAAGGCTTTCGTGGGCAATCCTGCGTGGTTGGCACGGATGGAAAGGCAAGCGAGCAGGATAACTGTTAACCAGTTGCTGGCCACCGGCAACTGCGAGAGCGGGCACGCCGGTACATCCCTTTGTTGGCTGGGGCTTCTACTCTCCGGGGACCGGATGCCCTACAGGATATTCAGCAGCTTGCACCGCTCGCTACGGCAAAGGTCCCGAGTGGAAGATTCAGTTTGATCTACAAGAAGGCGAGACTGCCGTCGGCTGTTGTCCAACGTGAGTTCGCTCTCCGTCGTATTGGAAGGCTTCCTTGACTGACTCGCATACAAACAGGGGTTTCGATTGTACCAACCGAAATGGTAATACATGCATTCAGATTGCCGGAACACAAACGGGCGAAAGTGTGGTGGTACAGACAGGGACCTGCTCCGGCACCGAACTTGCCAATATCCGAGCGGCGACATTTCCCGACAAGATTACTATCACAACCACCCGGACAGACGACGGAGAAAAGTCTACCGAGAAAGAGATAGTCAGACGCGACGTAACTCTGCTGGCGCCCATGATTCAGATCAACTACCAGTCCTCTGACCTGTTACCGACCGAAACGGACCGGACCTCCACAATCAGGAGCACCACGGGGAGTAGTCCAGGGGGCACCGAGACTGGGCAAGAACGACCTCAAGACCTGGGAGACGATACCACACCCGGCATTTCCGGCGAAAAGATCGGAATAATAGTTGGCGTGACAGTCGGTGGGCTTTTGGCAGTTGCCGGTGCTGCTTGGTTCATCTGGCGTCGAAAGAGACGGAACAGGACGAGGAACCCACCGGCACTTGAATATCACGCCTCTCACAGCGATACTCACGAGCCAAAGGACCGTTACGATAAGAATGCTTGGATGTATCCGGCGGAGATGCCAGGTCAGCATGTCCCTGTGGAGCTACCGGGTAGCTATGCACCTGCTGGACGATAGGTTTATACAGTGTACATTCACATTATTGCTCATTTCTTAGATTTTTCCTACAAGCGCTGAAAGACCGTTTTGCTATTACGAATGCTCTTAATGATATGTGCATGCATTTTGAACCACCTCGTGGGCAATGGCACTTGGAATCTGCGTTGCGTCACAAGGGCTCAAATCGCGAAACCATTGAATAGGGGCTCAACTCACCGGTTGAACCTCACTCCAGGTACCGGCGTTCGACTGGTAGAGCCCAGTGTGTCGTAGAATCAGCGCGTTCGTCTTCATATTTCCATTGATCTCAATGCCCCTTTAATACGGTGTACACCTGAACGATTAGTATTGCCGGGGGTCGGGACCAGCCGCCGGGGTGGGGTTCGCGGAACGCGGTCCACACCGGGGTGGATCGTGGGTTACGGATACATCTTATATTCTCCGGAGTCCGGAGTCTAGGCCGACCTTCTTACATGTTGCTACTCTTGAGTGCGACCTGGTGGCCTCATCTAGACGTAACGTGAATTCAGTTTCCCCACAGGGTCTAGCTCAGCTCAAGCGGGCTCTCAACCCCTGACAATTATCTCAATCCTTTTTCTCCTCTTGCAACCGCAGCGAGAGACGAAAAGGACATCCATGAGCCGGAGTGCTTTATTGTATGTTATCTTTGGGAGAAAAGACTGTTATTAAAGGAATGTTTCCTTCAAAAAAGCCTCGAACCCACAGAATTCCGTGTCGGATGCCGCGGACTGCACGTCCCTCGGCTGAGTGATGAATCCCTCATGAATGAGGCCGACCCAGATACGTGGAAAATCAAAGCGATTATAAACTAGAAATATGCTGATTTCTACCTATATCGAGTTGAGTGGCTATTTTGCATGTCCACACGACTAGGCTGATCGCCCGCAGTCGATAGTGAGGAGGGCGATTCTTCTGACCTCTTGGGGTCCCTCGTTTCACAATCTGTGAAGCATAAGTTAAAGAAATGATAATTTCTGTAGAAAGGAGGAAGAACCTACCGGGTATACAGAACCCAAAAAGCAAATAGCACTTACAGCCCAGTAGACTATCGCCCTGTCATTGATTTATCTCTACCCTGGGTCATTTATTTTACGAGTGTATATCAGGAGGTTTGTGAGTGAATCTGAAGCGTGTAAGGTTGCTGAGTAATCGCCTAGATGACCCTCCGTGGCCCATTCTCGGGCCGTATACCACAATGTGGCTTTTAAGGTAGGGAACGAGCCGAGTATAGCAGAGAGCGGCCTGTGTTATCTACTTCGTGGTGTTTTGGTTTCTTGAGCTGGCGAGGACTGAGGTATCTGCCACGTTAGACGGCACAAGCGCGATGATTCTGAACTCAAGAGCATGTTTCCAGGGATTGCTTTCTGATTGGCAAATTCTATTTTACTTGTTAAGAAGCAGCGTGCATGTGACACTGTTAGCCCACTCACGAACCCGGTCTGTATCAGAACATAAAAGTGACTTGGCACGTTCTCGAGTGCTATCACTCTAGCAAATCATCCATTTTTGTCCAAGCCAGTCTTCCAGTCAATCTTCCAGTCAATCTCCAATTCACGCTTACATCCGCGCCATGTTATCGCAGATCTCAATCAGCTTGGCCTTTGTACCATGTTCCTGTGCATCTGTCAGTAGTCCTCTTACGATGAGGAACAGCAGACCAGAACAGCGAGAATGAATATCCACTATCTGAAGAAGATGCTGATGCTCAGAAAAGTGGAAGAACGCGACAGCGCGAAGATGCTGCCTTTTGAGGGCAGCTGTGGGCCGAATGTGCAGCCTGATGTAATATCTCAGAAAGGTCGAACAGGCTGGTCCGAGCGGTTTGTGTCAATTGGCGACCAGGGTATTGTGTTGATTAGACCCTCTGCAATTTTGATGGGACAAAAGCTCGAACCAGCCTGTTCGACCTTTCTGAGATATTACGGTAACCTTCTGGCTTCCATGGCGGACTTACATTTGCGCTGTGTCCCGCGTCGGGGATCATGTGTAGCGTTGAGTTCTTCAGCCCCTTGTGGAGCTCCCACGCGGTGCGAGCCGGGCACACCATGTCGTAGCGGCCCTGGACGATCTCACATGGTATATCCTCGATGCGCTCCAGGCTGCTTGGCTTCAGCAGGATGCCATCCTCAAGCCATGCTTCGTGGACAAAGTAGTGGCATTCAATGCGAGCTTGTTGAATGTTCCATTTCTCCGTCCGAACGACCTTCTGCATGAGTCCAGGGTCACGGGTCAGTGTGCTCGCCGTGGTCTCGTACTTGTTCCAGACGCGCGCAGCGGCCTTATGGATGCGCGGGTCCTCATGACACAGGAGGCGGTAGTACTCGCTCAGCATCGTGGCCGGTTCGTCCAAGCTCTGAGGGCCTTTGGTGGACTGGGAGCGCAGGTACTGCATCAGCTCGTCGTATTCCTCTGGGAAGACCTGGCTGATGACCCCGTGCGCGCCAAAGTTATTCACCAGCTCGCTCTTTCGCACAGTGAAGATCCCTCGAAGAACGAGAGCGCCTACAACCTGTGGGTGTCCCTGTGCATACGCGAGTGCGAGGGATGATCCCCACGAGCCACCAAAGACCATGGCCCACTTGTCAATGTTCAAGTGCTTCCGCAGCTGCTCTATGTCTTCGACAAGGTGGTGTGTGGTATTTTCACGGATCTCAGCTACAGGTGTTGACTTGCCTGCTCCGCGCTGGTCCATAAGAACCACGCGATAGACTTCGGGGTCGAAGAAGCATGTGTTGGCCAGTTTCGTGCCGCCTCCGGGACCGCCGTGGAGGAACATGACAGGTCGGCCATTGGGCGCGCCATACTGAGCGTACCAGATGTTGTGGATGTCGCCGACTGGGAGGAAACCAGAGTCGAAGGGGTCTTCGTGCCCATAGCCTGATGATGGCTTGGGGGTGGAAGAAGTCATATCGGGCTTTGGCTGGAGTCTGATTAGGGTCACTTGATAGGGTCATATAGGTTGAGATGAAAGGCCAGTGATGGAAATTTATTCATTCCAGGGCAGCCTTTGTCAGAGCATGATGAGTCAATAATAGGGGCAGTTGTTGATCTGATATCCCATCGATTAGTGTATTGTTAGTCAATAATAGTGGCAGTTGTTGATCTAATATCCCACCGTAGTAACACATGCACAATGCGCAAACGAATATTCGTTGTTCACTCTCAGCAGGTATCGGCATATGGTCAGCCCGCATACAGACCACAATCACGGGATACATTTGGTCTGCATTCGTCTGTGCGGGTGTGATTCACGCTATAATTCATTTTCAGGACTCATAGGGACCGTACGGGCTCAACGATTGCTACAAGAGCCATCGATACTTGAAACACTGCTGGCTACAAGGTGAAAGACTTGCTAGAATAATATCACCCGAGAACTTGCTGAGTCACTTTTGCGTTCTGATACAGACCTCCTAACTCTCCGTCCGTCCACTCACAACTTACTCCCCATATTCACATGCACCGCCTTGATCTGCGAGTACGCCTCCAGCCCAGCCTCACCAAGCTCCCTCCCAATGCCACTCTGCTTCACACCGCCAAACGGAATCCGCGGGTCCGAGTCCTGGCTGCTGTTGATCCAGACCATACCCGCCTCGATCCGCTCGGCCATCCTGTGACCCCTCTCCATATCCTTTGTGAAGATGGACGACCCGAGTCCGTACGTCGAGTCGTTGGCGAGTGCCAGCGCCTCTTCCTCCGTCTTGAAGCGGCACACGGTCACGACCGGACCAAAGATCTCCTCCTTGAACACACGCATCGAGGGCTTGACATCCGTGAACACGGTCGGTGCAATGAAGAAACCCTGACCGCCCTGGTCCTCACGCAGGGTCTTCCCGCCGGTAGCCACTTTGGCCCCCTCATCCTTGCCAATGTTGATGTACTCCAGGATGCGCTTATACTGGGCCTCTGACACCTGCGGGCCCTGGTATGTGTTGGTCTCCCATTGGCTTCCCACCTTGCTGACGGTCTTGATCGTCTTGAGGAACGTCTCCATGAAGCTGTCATACACACTCTCCTGCACGAGGATGCGGGATGTAGCTGTGCAGATCTGCCCTTGGTTGGAGAAGATGCCGAGATGGGCCCATTTCGCCGCCTGCTCGAGGTCTGCATCGTCAAAGACCATAAGCGGCGACTTGCCACCGGTCTCTAGCGTGATGTTCTTGAGCGTCTTGGCGGCAGCGCCCATGATCTGCTTAGCTGTGGCTGTCGAGCCCGTAAAGGCGATCTTGTCGACTAGTGGGTGTTGCGACAGCGGCGAGCCAGCCTCCGCACCGAGTCCGTTGATAATGTTCACGACACCCGGTGGGAAGCCAGCTTTTTTAATCAAGGTTCCCAGGACCAAGATGGACAGCGGCGTTTGCTCCGCTGCCTTGATCACAATCGTGTTACCGCACGCGAGGGCCGGACCGAGCTTCCAGGCGGCCATGCCCAATGGGTAGTTCCACGGGATGATCTGGCCAACGACGCCAATGGGCTGACGGATGGTATAGGCAAACTTCTGGCGGGTGGTGCTGATTGTCTGACCAAACACCTTGTCCGCCCAGCCGGCGTAGTAGCGAAACGTCGTGACAACCTCCACAATGTCCCCTTCCAATGCGTCCGCGTACGTTTTGCCTGCGCAGCCTGTCAAAAAACAACATCAAACACAGCCCGCGCCAGAAACACTCACCATTGTCCCAGGCCTCAATCGTCGCGAGCATCTCCCGGTTCTGCTCTACCAGATCCGCGAGCTTGTACATGAGGTGTCCGCGGTCAGTCGGGGCAAGGTCTGCCCAGGCAGGGTCATGCAGCGCCTTCTTCGCAGCTTGCACGGCCTTGTCGACATCTTGCTCGTTGGCTGCGGCGACGGAAGCAATGGCCTTCTCGGTGCTGCGACATGTCAGTTTTCTTGCACCTCCCAGGGCATGTGTAGCGCGACTCACGCTGGGTCAATCGAGGTAATCGTCTTCCCACTCGACGAAGGGACAAACTCGTTGTTTATGAAAAGACCCGTGGGCTGCGTGTATTTGCGCCCATTGGGGGCTTCAAGGTCTACAGAGAGAGGCATGATGATGGTGATCTGATGGGGGTGACTGTGTAGGACATGTGAGAGAGCAAGTATCGCAAGGGTGAGATGATTTTAAGGCGACGCTCCGCAGGAGCTCGACGCGTTATCAGGACATTCGCCTCGGCTGGCTCTGGAGCGGAGCAGGCGGATGCCCCCATCTCCTCATGGACAAACAGCGTAACATCTTCCATCCATCCATTGGAGAAGAGGGTGATGACAGACTGGCACAACAGATACGTCGATGAGGTGGGGGTGGACCGTGGGACCCTGAACAGCCGGTTCCGGTCCGGGCTCGCCAGGTGGATGAGCATAAGGACACGCCCGTGGCGTTGGACTCGAATCTTCCCCAAAGGGGTAAAATAGCCATCCTCCCCAAGACGCGTCCCCTCCTTCTTGGAGTCCTGAGTCGGATGCAGGCTGATGATCACGAGGATTCCCCGCATGGGCTCGAGAGGCAAGTGATTGTTGTTCACAGACTGTAAATGGAGAGTCTTGGCATTGGGAATTTCTCACGCTGTTTTGTTGCCATGTACGTATTGAGAATGTTCATGTATTAGATACAGAATTTACAGGATAAGCACCTGCCCCCCTAAATGAGAAAACATGGCCGTCCAGGTCATCTCGGTCGGCTGCTGCGCCCACACGGCATTCACACAGTCCGTCATGGCCTTGATGGAGGCAAAGCGCATCTTATCGCGGATAACTTCCAGCAACTCCACGACCTCGGCCCGCTGCTGACTCGACAACGCGTGCGCGCCCGCCACAAACAGCGGGAACAGAATACAATGCAGCGCCTTGGAAGGCTTGGATATCTCAGAAATGCACGCCAAACAGGACTGCACGCTCGTCTGCACAAGATGGTGGTGGGTCGGTAGGCCGCACACCGCACGATAGAGGAAGATGAGTGCCGCGCACTGAAATGACCGAATCAACGCAATGGCGTGGACGGCATCAGGAGCATCGTGGGCCTTGTCCCGCGGACTAGCCTCCCCGTCCACGAGGGTTTGGGGCGAGCGTGGCATGTTCTCCCACGCAAATGCCACTTCAAAGTTACGAACCTCGTCCATGGACAATTCCACGACGCCCCGGGCTATTGACTCGTGGTAGAATGCCATGGCACTCATCTCTCGCAGGACCGTGGCGAGCGACCCTCGCCCGAGGGGATCACGTCCCCACCACACGGCGCCTTCGTCCACGGCCTGCCATATATCAGGGGCATAAGACGGCGCAGTACCTTGCAGCATTGCGGTCGTCAAGTCTGCTGACGCAAACTCGGCTAGCAACATTTGCATGGGCTCTGGACCAGACCGTAGAACACTGACAAAGCCACCGAGTTGGGCGAGGATGGCTGTAACGCCCTGGCGATGACTAGCAGTCGACGCATCGGCCCCATTAGGTTCCAGGAATCCGTCGTGCAGGTGCAGTAGTAACACAGCGAAGAGCAACACAAGCAAGGAACCTGAGAGTCCCCTTCCTTCGCTGCAGCAATGGTCAATCTCTGATTTGATAGCTGCGAGGCACTCGAGTCGTCGGACGTTGAAAGTGGAGCCCCGATCAGTGCCGTTCTGCAGAATGCGATGCGACTCGGAGAGCACGCATGCAGCGAGAAGCACGACGCGATGTTCGAGAGCGACGGGGAGAGGCGGGGGGCAGATCTCCTCGGATGTCTGGAGCAGCGGCCAGACGCGACAGTGAAAGTAGTCGAGCGCTCTCTTCTCGCTCCATTCAAGGCCGTTGTTACCCAGCCCCGGTAGACCCTGATGCAAGCCTGGCGCGGCGCGAACTGGTGGGCGCGTGCTCCATCGGATCAGTTGAGCGTTGTAGTCGCAGTTCGCGCCCGACTTTGCGCAGCGTAGACAGACAGGCTTGGTGAGGTCGCATTTCGTGCGGCGCTTCTTGCAAGGCCAGCATGAACCCTCCACGACCCGGATTCTCACCATGGAGACGTTTGTGCTCGGCCAGGCGAAATGGCGTCGATTAGAGGAGGCGGCTGGAGGCGTGGATGCTGCGCAGCCACTGGACTTGCTGGTGCAGCATGAACGAGTCTGCGTCCTCTCGGTGAACGCGACGTGTGTCCAGCATCTCCTGGGCGCTGCCGGGGCAGCAGGCTCGTCGATGCTGCGTGGGATGAAGGTTGGTGTTTGTGATGCTGGATGTTGGTGGTGAGGAATTGCTTCTGTGTGATTCTGGCGATTGCTTGACAGCCCCTCAGTGACGATTTCTGGCCAGCGGACAGATCTTGTTAAGCCCGAAAGCCGAGCGTGAGACAAGAGTGCCACTTGGGCCCGGCCAGGCCCTTATCGTCGTGCTTTGTGTTGCGATAACCTGCGAGCACGTTCAGCCGCTAATCGTTACGTACGACCGCCCCAGACCGGAGCCTGGACCGGATCGAGTGAGGCCTCACGTCGTACTCACTGCTCCGGCCGGTAGCGACTGTAGGGTAGGGTGGGCAGCAAAGTTGCCCATTTAGGTATGGAGGCGGGGATGCGAGCATAGCTGGCGGAACGTGGCCGTTATCGCTCCCGACCAGTCGCGTCGATCAGGGCTTGGTCTTACGTACGAAATGTCCCCAATTCCAGGCTGACCCTGCATGCGGTCAGCTAATTAGCTTGGCTATATGCAGGCGGGCCAGACGCGTTTGCGATTGCGGGATGCAGATGTTAAGGGACCGGCAACACGCGGTGGGTAAGGTGGAGTGACGTAGCATGCTATCTGACCACAACAGGAGAGGCAGGAACGACTCAATCACGCACGACTACCATAAGGACCAAGAGAAAAAGAAGATTGCAAACAAGAAAATCATTGATTACCAGCTACCTTAGCTATTCAACTACACAATATCAAAGGCGCAACGCGATATACTGCCGCATGCCATATAGTCAACTCTTCTTGCCACCCTCGCTATCCTCGTGAACCACGGGATCATCCATCGACTGTGCCGTGATCGAAGCCTGCTCAACAGCCACGAAGCGAAGATACGTCCCGTGTCCCTTGATGAACCAGAATCCGATCGAAACCACAAGCATGATCCCGAACACGGCGACCGCGTAGTTCATGCTGGACCCCGTCGGGTTCGGGCTCTCTGGGAAGAGGAAGAAGATGGTGGTGACGATGCAGTAGATTACTGCAATCCAGTTGATGGTGGGACCCAGCTTTCCCAGCGAGTACACACCGCCAGGCGGAATCTTGTCGCGACCGACCAGCAGCAGTACCATGATGGGCATGCCGTAGGACACTGTGAGGGCAATGGTAGACACGCTCAAGATTGCCTCGAGAACTGTGTCGGCAAAGGTGTAGAGAACACCCACCAAGCCAATGACGATTCCTTGGAGCCACAAGGCGCGGGAGGGCGCGTTCCAGTAGACACTGACACGGCTCAGGAACGCGCTCCATGGTAGCCCACCATCACGCGCGAACCCCCAAGTGAGACGGGACCCGGTCGTCAGGATACTAATGGCCTGGCCCATGCCGTTGAAGATGAAGAGGGCTAGGAGAACCGTGCCGCCTTTGACGCCTGTGGTCTGCACCAAGAGTTCAATAAACGGCAGTCCGGTGGCGGGGTTCAGCACGGCGTCCAGATCCTGGATACAGAAGAGACAGACGACCATGAAAATGAAGCCGGTTATGGCACCCATGGTCACGGAGAGCCACAGAACTCTTGGGATGGTCTTGCGCGGCTCGGGAATTTCTTCGACCATGTGAATGGCTGCGTCGAAAGCGGTCAACCCATAGGCTGCCTGGACTAGACCGAGGAACCAGGTGACTCCGTTGTTCCAACCGCCCTGGTTGATCCACGTCCCAAATACAAAGGATGCAGGCTGAAAGGAGAGGTCAGCCTTGCCACCCACGCAGGCGAGCAGGACGACCGAAAAGATGATAAAGAGCCCGATGAAGCAAACGCCGACAAAGTTGTTCACCCATGGAAGGATGGGGTCCCGCTTGCAGCTCACGATATTGACCACCGTGAGACAGAAAGTGAGGCCCAGGTACACCAGGAAGTTGATCCATCCGTCGGACGCGTGCGACCAATTGGGCGCGTATAGTAGCTTCATGCTCAGGATAAAGTCGGCCATGAAGGCCAGCTGGGATGCCGAAAGCGTCCACCAGCCAAAGGTGTTGATCCAGGCACACATGTATGATACGAAGCGGCCCCAATCCCCTGGCCAGAGACGGGATATCCAGTACGCCTGGCCCATGGCGGTGGGCATGCTGCTGCAGAGCTCGCCCAGCGAGACGGCGACGCATAGGTTGCAAAAGGTGACAAAGACGAGTCCCCAGAGGATGGTGATGGGGCCGCCGCTGACGAGTCCGCTGTTGAGGCCCTGGGCAAACGTCGACCAGGTACCGAGGACGATGAAGGAGAGGAAGAACATGCTGCCCATGCTGAACTTGCGATGCAGGGCCTGCGTGTGGCCCATGGCCGCGAGGTCGCGCTCATCGCGCGCGGCTTGCTGCTCGGCCGCGATGGCTCGCGGGGAGGGAAATTGAGAGTCGGCGGTGGTATCCATTGCGCATTCTCGACGGAGTGTGTTGGTGTGCTTTGTGGGAGGTGCGATACGATGTGAGGATGGGATGCAGTCTGGTGTCTGGACGTCTTTTGAGTCCTTGTCACTTGACAGCTGTCGAGTGTTTATATGTCGTCTGCCCGGGTTGCCTCTAGCCGGTCTGCGCGCTCACAGGACGACTCCTATCTCACTCATAGTCGAACCCCAGATTGCCAAGGGGGACCTCCTGCGGCGGTCGCGACTCGCGATAAGGTCTTGGGCTGATGAGATGGTGTGGTGACGGTTGTCATGCTGCAGATTTTCCCGGGGTACGTGAGAACTTGTGGGGAAGATAGTTCACTGGCGTATCTCTCTTATCGCCTCGTCGCTCGCTGGTCACGAAAGTTTCCCGATTGAGGAAAAAAACCGCAGAAGACGAAGAGACGCAAGCTCCTCGCCGCATATCCGAGCGCGGCGCCCTATCAGATCGAGCCCGATACCAATCCGGGGGGTTCTCCAACGTCTCGACGCCCACACCACCGTGTGCGTATGCTTGTCTCAGGACCAGTTTCTTGCCTATTCTTTACTAGCAGGCGATTTATCATGCTGTCAACGTGGTGTCTTGCATCAGGCTGCGGGGTAAGGACCAGTTTCTTGCCCTTTTGGTTGTTGGGCGCCATGACAAACGATCTCGACAACCACAATTACAACGCCACGACACACGGTCGTTCCCGTCTGCCGGTCGCCGTGACTATCTCCAATGGAGGCCGGCGTCGGCCTAGACCTGGCATGCGGAAGCTGGCATGATTTGTGTGGGTCTGTCTGGCCGATGGACGACTGGAACGATCCGTTCACTGGCTGCTGGCAACTCCAAGGTATAAAGAGGTCCCGTGAGGGCTGTGATGCCTTGGCTTCTCTCCTTTGTCCGACGCACAGCACATACAATCTGAAGAAGCTCCTATCCAACGCTCCAACACAAGGCCCAAGGCCACTTGACTCTTGAAACACTCCATACTCGGGTCCCATCCCGACCTCTCGCATGGCACAGTACACCACGCCGAACAACCACCACAATGTTTGCCGACACATCGTCCATAGCCGGTTACACCATCTTTCGGGAAGAGCCCAACGACGCCGCTCCCGATCTGTCCAAGCAGCGCTCAGTCCATCCTCTAGATCAGCTGTCGATTGAAGAGATCCGCGTGGCGTCCAGGCTGATCCGTGATCATGCCCCCTCAAGCACCCTCAAATTCAATTGCCTGACTCTTCGCGAGCCTAAAAAGGCCGAGTATGCGGCCTTTCGCGACGGCCGTGGCCCACGCCCCGACCGTCGAGCGTTTGCCATTGTCCTGGAAAAGGGCACGCCAAACGTCCTTGAGGTGGTTGCCAACCTCACATCCGTCGTCATCGAGGAGTGGACCAATGTGTCCGACGTCGGGCCTACTCTGACTCTAGAAGATCTGGACGTCTGCGAGCGCGTTGCGCGCAATGACCCTAGGGTCGTCCGGGCCTGCGAGGAGATTGGCATCACCGACATGTCCAAGGTCTTTCTGGACGCCTGGGCCATTGGCTTCGACTCCCGCTGGGGCACAGACCGTCGTCTGCAGCAGGGCATTGCGTACTGGCGCAACTCGGCCTCGGACAACCAGTATGCTCATCCCCTGGATTTCACTGTCGTCGTCGACACGGAAAAGGAGGAAGTCCTTGCGGTAGATGTCCGCCGCGTCAACGGCGAGCGCACGCCTCCCTCGTTTGCCGAGCACAACTACCTGCCCGAGTTCATGGGCCCCAACTTTTACGACAACACAAAGCTCAAGCCCATTGACATTACGCAGCCCGAGGGCGTGTCGTTCAAGATGCAGGGCAACATGATTTCCTGGGCTGGGTACAAGATGCACATTGGCTTCAACTACCGGGAGGGCATCGTTCTCTCCGACGTGAGCATGTTGGACCAGTACGAGCAGCGCCAACGTCCTCTCTTCAACCGCATCAGCGTTGTAGAGATGGTTGTTCCCTACGGCAACCCAGACCCTCCCCACCATCGCAAGCACGCCTTTGACGTTGGCGAGTACGGCACAGGTCTGATGACCAACTCCCTCAAGCTGGGCTGCGACTGCAAGGGCGCAATCCACTATCTCGACGCGGTCATGGCGACGAGCTCGGGAGACCCGGCCATTGTCGAGAACGCCGTCTGCATCCACGAAGAGGACAATGGCCTGCTGTACAAGCACACAGACTACCGCGACGGCAGCGTCATCTCCGCCCGCGACCGCAAGCTGATCATCTCGCAAATCATCACGGCCGCCAACTACGAGTACGCATTCTACCACACCTTCTCCCTGGACGGCACCTACAAGCTTGAGATCAAGTTGACAGGCATGCTCAACACGTACTGCATGCACGAGTCCGAGTCGGCCGCCCCATACGGCACCGAGGTGGCACCCGCCATCAATGCCCACAACCACCAGCACATCTTCTCGCTACGCGTCGACCCCGAGATTGACGGCCACAGCAACTCCATCGTCCAGAGCGACGCAGTCCCTTCAGACGCCGAAGTGGGCTCCCCCGAGAACCTGTATGGCAACGGCTTCTACTGCAAGAAGACACCCTTCCGCACCGCCAAGGACGGCGTCGCGAGCTACTGCCACGAGACCAGCCGCTCATGGGACATTATCAATCCGCACCGCCTCAACCCGTCCTCCGGCAAGCCCGTCGCGTACAAGATCCTCAACAACAACTGCCCCGCCATCCTCGCCAAGCCCGGCAGCATGGTCTGGAAGCGCGCCGCCTTTGCCCGCAAGTCCCTCTGGGTCACACCGTACAAGGACTACCAGCTCTTCCCCGCGGGCGACTACGTGTGCCAGTCGTCCGGGCAGCAGGGCCACCCGTACAACTCGACGGTGGAGGACTGGGTCGCGAAAGACGAGTCGATTGAGGACACGGATATCGTGTGCTACGTGCAGTTTGGCCTCACGCATTTCCCGCGCACCGAGGATTTCCCCATCATGCCGGCCGAGCCGGTGAGCGTGATGCTGCGGGCGTCGAATTTCTTTGTCAAGAATCCGGCGCTCTGGGTGCCGCCGTCGGATATTGCGATGGACAAGTCGTCCAAGAATGCGTTTAGCCAGAAGCAGGCTGGATCGTGTTGTGCGTCCAAGTCGGGGGTGAACAGCAAGCTGTAATGTTGTTTTGTTTTGACCATAGCATGAATTTAATGAATGGCAATGAAGTATACATGTAGTTACGTTGACACTCGCGATTCGTGATACGATTTATTCGCTTGATTCTCAGACAGGAAAGCGATCTTTGTTTGTGTTGTCTTGGATGGTGTTACGTGCATGTAGACCCCGTCTCGAGGTAGCCAGAGTCTAAAGCCACTACAGTTACTATTGGGTCAGCATTCCCCTGTGTGAGCACGGTTGATTTGAAGCTATTTGAAAAATGGGGTAGTATATGGTATTTTTCCGCTTGCACATGCAGAAAGACATTTTTGCACGACTTGTATCCAGGCATCACACCACCTCACCTGTCCTGAAGCTGGGAGCTACCCTGTACCATGAGGAAGAACTTCATATGGACCCTACATGTACGAATCAGGCCGAGAGGACTTTGATCATGCAATGTTTCCACAGTGATAGCTCGAATTGTTTTCATAATATACATGTAGTACCGCTAGAGGTTTGTAAAAGGGTGCCAGAACAAAAATTGAATCTAAGAGTATGCGTTGCAAATGAGCAAACAACAGATAATGCTTCGCTTTCTATTCGCAATCTACAAACTTAGCATATCTTGTAAACTCTTCATCTTCCATGAGCATTTTCAACTCCTCCGGATGAGTCCCCATGACCAACTCAACGCCCCCATCCGGCTTCATCGGGAAAATCACCAAGAAACGGAATCGACCACTGCCCCGATCAAGCTGCGGCCGCATCGACTCTGGTTCTCCGCCATTCGCAAAGTGCGCATCCCCAAAGCAGACCTCGCCCATCGGGAAGAGCATCATGTTGGAGATCATAGCGTGCATGTGCTCCAGACCCATGTTGGCCGTGGAGAATCGGGTGTGGTCGGGCAGCGACTGCAGAATCGACACGGCGTCATGGACGACGGAGGGTGTGATCCGGGCGGCGGACTGGCGCAGCTGGTAGGCCACGCGTCCAATGCTGGTCTCGGGCGCGCAGAGCGTTGGTATTGGCATGGTTGTTCGGCTCATGATGAGAAGGCTGCCCATGTACGTAGATGGCAGCAGTGACGAGAAGTAGGGTCTTCCGTCTGTGGGTAGTTCCAGGATGGAGAGTTCATCTTCACGAAACTCCTGTCCCCTGATCTCACGGGCCACACGGTACCGTGATCGGATGGCGGCCCGCCAGAAGAATGCCTGCACAATGTCACTGATGGACGTGATGACACCCCTGGCCTCTGGATCCGCTATCACGTCTTGTTTCATCTGGGCCACCTTCTCTGGTGTGATAAGGAACAAGGTTGTCTTGAGGCATCTCTCGGCACGTGGTAGCGGCCACACCGAGTGGACAGGGTACTCTGGTCGCGGTGGCAGAGCACCTTCCTTTGGCGACAAAGCAGATGATTGTGTCTTGTACTGTTCAGGAGGGGAAAACGGCAAGAATCCCCACGTGCCGGGATTGATATCTTCCACAGGCCGAGCCCAACCCTCGTGCTTGTGAAGAATCTCGGGAAGACTGTGATTGAAGCTCTCCGGGTCATACCAGGAGCACATGGCAGACGTGTCGCCTTGCAGATACCGGCAATTCTCTGCCCAGGCTTTAAGAGCGACAAAGGCGCCAAGGCCATCGAGGCAGCAGTGGTTCAGGTCTACCGCGAGGATGCATCCGCCTGACACAAAGTTGACCTGCCCGACAAAGATGTCCGCGGGCATCTTGGGGAAAGGATCATCTCGCAAGACGAGCCCATCTCTAAAGGCTGAGGGTGCGAACCCGGACCTCCTCAAGTCGTCGAAGCATGGCAGGACATCCGTCAAGTCCTTGTACACGAGGCGATTGTGCACAGACGTAGCCATGGAGAGCGGTGGGATCGACACACAGAGATCCCCCTTTACGTAGCCAAACTCCTGCTCAGAGCATTCCATAATCTTCCCGCCCAGGGCTGGAATCATGTCAAAGGTACGATTCAGGCCTCGCTGCAGATTGTCAAATACGTCGGCATAGCGGGCGTCTGGACGCAAAGGCAAGTAAAGCATCAGACCCATGCCGTGGTTTGGATTGACGTAGTCCAGGGCGTTGAGCCTGAAGGACTGGCGTGCTTTGTGTTGCGCGATAATGTCCTGGAGAAAGTCACCATCCAAGGGCTGCGCAGGTGATGCCCGTGAGGCTTCCTCCCGTTCGACCACCATGCGGGCCACGGTGTCAGAGATCCCTGCGATTGTGGGAGAGGCATAGACATGGCGTGGTGCAATCTTGTCTCCCAGAGCGGTGGCGGCTCGTATGCTCTTGACGGCAGCAAAGACACCGAGAGAGTCAAGACCCAGGTCAAATAGGTCGGTATCGGCCGAGACACTCTCGATCCCAGGCAGTGAAGACGCAAGGATCCCACGAACACAGGTCATGATGGACTCTCTCGATTTCAGATCTACAGAGTAGGTCTCGTCAAGGTCGTCACTCCTCGAGGTGTAGAAACGCTCGATGTAGTCAGCATAAAGAGCCAGAGTCGCCGAGCGCTTCACGGTCTGCTTGTCTGTGCGGATAAAAGGCTTGTCTGGTTCAGAAAATGTGACAAAGTCGCGTAGAAGCTGATTCTTGTGTCGAGACATGGAGTTCGCTTTCTGAACTGTCTCCCATATGCTCTCGATTAGCTCTGGGGACTTTTGCGATGGGTCCTTGAGCTCGATGAGCAGACCAGCCTGGGGTCTGCCTGTTCCAAAGATGAGACAGCCATGGATGGCGGGATGCGTGGTGACAAAAGCCTCCGTTTCAAGCGGCGATACCTTGTATCCGTTTGACAGAACAACCAGATCGTCGCTTCGGCCTTTGAAGGCCCAGAGGTTGGGTTTCGTTGGGTGCCTCATGTATAGATCCTTGAAGTTGATTGAGGTCTTTTCGGGGAACGTGTGGTAGATGCCCTGGAAGAGCGGCCAGTGCTCGTTCCGATGCACCCAATGTTCGTATGTGTCTTCCTCGACCTGTTTGAATTCGAATCCAGAGTAAGGGTGGAAGCAGAGCCAGTACCAGTCCTCTCTGTGTGGCACGAGGTTGCCGATGAACAAGCCCTCCGTTGTGCCAGTGAGGTTCAGCACACGGATGACTTCGTTCACCTTGCTGGCGCTGACGGGGCTGACGGGGCCACCAGAGGCGCAGATGAATTTGGAGGGTTTGAGCTTGGCCAAAACCTCTGGGGTCTCACCGACTTCGTCGACGAGAGAGGGGACCATACTCCAGATGTCAATCTTGGCGGACTCTGCCAGGTCTTCCACGAGATTAATGTTCGGAAGCACGCCCACTGGGCCCAAAATGCAATGGAGATTAAAAAGAGCCGGCATGAGAATGTCCATGATGATGCCGGCACCCTGCGCATGTCAGCTCGAGTTTGTTCTGTAATCAGTCACGGAGGGGCTTACATGGCTCATGGGGAACGAAGAATAGATCCTATCACCCGCCTTCCAGTCAGCGGTCCAAGGCAACAGACCCCCATCTCCTTCCACTGGTGGAAGCAGACGAATGGCGTCCATGGTACCGATCAAACCATGGGACCAAGGGATGGGTTTGGGCACACCTGTAGTCCCTGATGTGTGCAGGAAGCAGAACGGATCGTTGGTGGCTTCCTCAAAGGTCTGGGTGTAAGGGAATGGCGTGGTCTCGTCGTTGTCGAGCAAGTCGTCCAGCGACGGCAGTGCTAGGAGTTGCATGGAACGCTGCTGCAAGACCTCTTGGACGAGAGGAACTGGCAGAGCGTCTCCTGCGCTGACCCAGATGTTGCAGTTGGTCGCCTCGAGGACCGCCAAGGAGCCTTCTGTGTTGTTCTTTGGTGATAGGAAAAGGGCCTGGGGAGGAATATCATCGTTAGTGCCTATTTACTCATGAAAACAGCTCGAGAGAGGATCTGATCACGTACCGCGTATCCGACCTTGACGCAAGCGTAGGTCAGCAGCACGTGGCGCAGGTCGTCTGCATGATATTAGGTCGCGATTTCCATGGGACCGCACTCTGTGAACTCACGTGGTCCAATGTAACCAACACATTTGATAGTGTCAGACCGACCAAGTGCCTCTTGGAGCCACCATGCCGTCTTGTCCACGGCCTGTGCAAACGTACGAGCTGTGACGTGTCGGAAATGCAATGAACCTTCTAATCGAGTTACTAATGAGAAGACATGACGATCTGGCTCTGCAGCAGCCAGTTCGTCCATGATCTGAGGGATAAGCCTTCTGCCGTATTGCGTCTCATCTTGCCCGAAATTGTCCTTGTCCTGCGTCACTTGCCGCGGATTCTCTGGATCGCCTTGAGCGGACCCCTCGGCCGATTGAATTTCAGGTGTCGTAGGTGTGCTGTCGGTGGTGACCGCGTCGAGTGAAGAGATGGAGGAGCCTCCCTGACTTTCACCCAAATCTGGCGTCACGATGCGAGGCGTGCTTACTCCGCTGAGGTAGTTTTGGGCGCTGCGTGGTGTGGCGGGCTGTAAGTAGGTGGCATTCGCCTGTGTGATCCCGAGGGCGTCGCTACTCGCCTGCGCGAGCTCCCTGTAGTAGCTCGGACGACCATCGTCGTACACAAGCTCAAGCCTGTCGTCCTTCTCAAACTCGCCCATCGGGGCGCTGATCCACTCGCCATTGGCGAGCTGTGCAACGCTGCAGTGCCACGGGGTGGTGAAGCCACTCCTCGTGTTGAGGAGGCGCATGGAGACTTTTGTGCCGCCCACTGATTCATGGATGGACAGTCGGAGATGGTTGGGAAACGCATTTTTGACGGCGCGCGCAAAGGCATGCCCTCGAACTAGCATCTGCTTCGCGAGGTACTTGCAATCTCGCTTATACGAATTCGCGGACCGATCTTGGCCTTGGGGGAAGATGTACTTGAGATCGGACTCGAGAAATCTCTTGTACCCCAAGAACGTTAGTTTTGTGTCGGGATTCGTGGCGATCTCCTGGTCAATGTCGAGGTCGTCCTGGCCGTACTTATTCAACAGTAGGCGACGAAACGTGGTGCAGTTGGCAACATAGGTGATCTCTCTCAGGTCTTGTGGGACGGGAAAGTCCACCAGATCCTTGATTCTGGCAAAAGCAATGCTGTCAAACCCTTTCTGGGCTGCCATCTTGCGGAGAGCCTCTCCGTACGCCCAAGTGTCCTGATCTGATATGCAAAGCAGATCTGGTCAGTCATGTTAGTACCCGCTCCACGACTGGACGTTATCACACTTGGACATACCATTGTACGTGATCCCATCCGAGATGATCGTTACTTGTGCGCCTGGCGTATAGACCTCTTTGATCCGCCGGCACATGGTATCGAGCCGGTCGAGCGCCAGCTCCTCCGCCTTATCGGGAAGATGGCCAAGCACCTTGTAGACCTTGTTGGCCGACTTGAATGGGAATGCAGGAAGACATGCCTCTACCCGTGTCCCAGCGGAGACAAAGTGCGCAATGACAGCGAGGAAATTCTCGGCGCCTCCTTCGAGCCGATCTCTGGAATCGTCGAATTTGTTCAGAGCATACTCGAAGATGATATCCAAGACGAGCTGTGCCGTGCTCAGGTCGGCATCTGTGGATTTCATGGTGTACACCCGGTTGCGGCTGGACTGGACTTGACAGGAGCAAGGTGCAATGGGAAATTCAAAAGTGCACCAAGTAGACGTGATGGGTGAAAACGTTAATTTATTAACAAGTCTCGAAGCACATGCAGTCTCTAGCCTTACCAAACATGTGTACTCGCTGGAGCAGGCCACGAGGTCTCATAGAACGTGGGACGTCCACATTACCTACTCTAGCCCATACCAGTCGGCCGCGCCGTCTGACCATCTGACGGCTTATTTTGCTGACGGCTCGCTCATGCTTGCATCTGAAGAACCCTGGTCCGGCAGGCGGTGGCAGCTGAGTGACTTAACGCAGCTATAGTCCGGCTGGCGATGTCTAGCGCCGGACGCCCCAGCTATAGCTGTGGAGCGGAGCAAGTTTGCGCCAGATTTTATGCATACAGTCTAACTAAGGACGGGTAGGCAGCATCATGATGTATGCTCAGCTTATCTGTGGACTTCTCCGACGCCATTACGAGACCGGTGTGAACCGAGGGCATGGACGGGGGTCATACCCCAGGCTAGCACATGCGTACATACAAGGGACACGCAAGGTACCATGTACACCACGCAGAGCGGGTTATATCGGCAATGGTCGACTTTCCTTAAGAGGTACGCTCTCGGTTTCAGACGACAACTTGAGAGCGTGAACGTGACCATCCTGACACAGCACCAGCAGCTCGAGCTCTTGCGACAAGAATACCACTCCTTTGCGCCATGGAAGGCATGAAAAAGCTCGCCAGACTACGACCGCTAGGTTTGTCTCTGCTCTCCTCTCATTCCTATGCTTTCAAAGCCGAGCTCCAGTCTGACACGTAGTGTGATCCAGGGTAAACTGGAGCAGATCTCGGCGGCGTGCCATCACCTGGGCTATTTCAACAATGTCGGCGTCTCTGCTCACTACCAGCTGTCGTCGTCCAAGCCTGGCTCACTTACGAGTCTGACTACGCGGGACTTGCGCCACCTCATCTATACTGCCACAAGAGAGACAGTCCGCAAGCACCGCATTCTATCTGCGATTCCCGTCGACGAGGGATCTCCCGAGACCTACTTCGGTGGTCTGCCCTCCATTGATCTCGCCCGAACCATCGCGTTCCATCGACGGTCTCAGGCTGTAGCAGACGGTGGAGAAGGGGAGGACCGAGAGCTTGATGAAGTTCTCCAAGACCAACACAACACCAACTTCAAGGCTGATGAGGGCGAGCTGCCATTCTGGCGCTTGGTGATCCTTCATAACCCCGAAGACACAAAAGCCTTCACGGTCTCCTTCATCTACCACCATGCCATTGGTGACGGTGTCGCCGGCGTTGCGTTCCACGACACCTTTCGTCAGTCTTTGAACGCGGCTGCTATCGAAGCTGAGGTTACATCCGTGATCACCGTGCCGCATCGAGATGCCACACTACCGCCGCCTCTGGAAGAAGTACACCCCCTACCTCTGAATTCAACCGCTGCAGCACCGCCAACAGCGTCGGAACTTACCGAATGGATGGGAAGCGCGATCAGCACGCCATGTCGGACGCATTGGCAGTCGCTCTACGTCGCACCAGACGCCTCAAAGGCCTTCTTCCAGGCGTGCAAGGAGAAGGGCCTTTCTGTCACGTCTGCGCTGTCATCGGCCCTCGCGCACGCAGTCTTTGACGTCCTTCCCACTACGCAAGAAGCTTTGACCTGCATAATCCCCGTCGACCTACGCCCTTGGCTGCAGCTCCCTCGAGGGACGTCCACTGCCGCCATGGGGACATATTTTGACGCCATGCGTGTACGATTCACCCGCGCTGAATCAACAACAGACGCGTGGGCAGGTGCGCACAACGTGGCCGAGACGCTTCGTGCATACCGCAACAATGTGTCGCCCTCGGGAGAGCCTTATACGGCCGTAGCCGCATTCCAGGGGATCCCAGACGTTGGCGTGGTCTTTGAGTCTCTGCGTGGCAAACCACGCGATGCAGCCCTAGAAGTGACCAACATTGGTGTCTTTCCCAGTGTGAGCAGTGAGAATGGCGAAGCTGACGGGGGAGTGTGGAAGGTGGGCAAGGTGTTGCTCAGTCGTAGTGCTGTCGTGTCGGGTGCGGCTGTGACCATCAGCGTGGCCACCGGTGGCAATGGATCGATGACAGTGGGTTTCAGCTGGCAAGACGGTGTCGTGGAGAGTGATTTGGTGAAGGAAGTCAGGGAGAGAGTAAGGAGATTCCTCAGTATGTGAGGTTGGATGAGAGCTAGTGCCGTAGTCCCAAGCAGACCTTTATCAGACACTCCTTGTTTCTTAGTTCCTCACCACCAAGCACATTGCCTCGCCCCTTGTTGAGCCACTGAATAATTTATAGAACCAAAACAATAAGCTCAAATGGACACAAGAATCTAGTTGTGTAAGTCTGCAGATCAGCTTACAAGGCTCCGCTTTCCATGCAGGATGCATGCGCAGGGACCGCATGGCCAAGAGATTAAACGTGCTCAAAGTTGCGCACAATTACGGTGGGATATTAGATCAAGAACTGCCACACCGTATCAACCCCGCAGACATAACGATAGTATATATCATAACCACCTATATATACTAATATCCGTGATTTTTAAGATACCGCCACGCACTAACCTTAATAATTATTAAGAAATAATTCTTAATATACGGATGCGTGGGCTTCCTATAAGTAAGATACTTAAATTTCTAAATAATACGATCGTTCGTGATAGTAATAAGGCTATATTAGAAATCACGCTTAAGAGAGCTCTAGTAACTTAGGCCGTCCCGTGTCTAGTCCCCCGCTAAAACTTAACTACCTTTAAAGACTATATTTACGGCTAGTATTTCTTAAATATCCTTATTAATAAAATACTTTAAGATATTAATTCACGCCTCTAAGATACTAGCGATCCTTTAATTAATAAGCGGACCTTATTCCGGTAGCTTAAGATATAGGGCTTAGATATAAGATACTAGGCCTTAGATATATTAGACGCCCTTATCGACCGGGTTAAATACTTATTCTTTAACTTTAGCTTCTTAGATATATCGATTCTTTATAAGCTTTATTAAGAAAGCTTCTACGCCTATCTTTAGGCGGTAAAGAAGGTCCGCTAATAGTATAGTATAAAATTATTGAAAATAAGGGACTAATCCCCTAATTAGGTGCCTTACGAGGCCCTCTCACAGAACCCTTACAGGGATCTATTCAGGACCTATTACAGGGGTCC